ATGACCTGCTTGTCTTAAGAGTAAATCAGCTTTTGTCATTTGTGTTCTAGGTTTGTAAGTTAGTACAAAGTTATAGTCCTACAGTTCTAACATCTAGTAGGCTTAGTAGTAGTTGAGCTTCTAAGGTGCCTGAAAGTATTAGAGATTAAAGTGATTACTCCAAATCTTAAACTTCTGTACAGTACTAAGGAGATATTAATACTACTCCTCTAGGGAACAGACAATTGTAAAGAGTTCCTTGTTATAAATAAGGTAGTTCTGTTCTGTTATAGAGAGGGATTCTGATCAGAACACTATTAGACACTACTTTCTGTCAATAAACTAGGACAGTACTACTCTATTCACAAAGTTGGAAGAGTTAGCTTTGACTCAGAACTTGTCTACAACTGTTAGAACTACTAATATAGGCTTACTAGTAATAGCCTGCTTGAGGGACTCAAACACAGACTGTTACTGATCATCCTATTACTAAGGAACATCCTTACTAGTAAGATTGTGAAGAGGCTGGACAATAGTACTGAAGCCTTGAATAAAGTATTAGTAGTAGTTTGTAAACTTAAGGAATACTTAGACCTGTTTCAGGTTCTAAGGTTGTAGCCAGTTCTAGACTACAGTTACTTTTGCTAGATTCATACAGACCTCTCCTCTACTAATTATAAAGCCTAGATAATCTACTAACTCCTGTACAAAAGAGTACTTTACTTCTTAGAGGAACAGTTTATTATCTTAGAGCTGTTATAAAACTACTTAGATTAGTTAGTAATAGTGCTTGACTGTTTAGGTAAAGATTAGAATGTTGTCCAGATACACACTAACATACTCTGAGTTAATCAGATCTGTAAGAATGTGATTCATGAATGACTAGAATGTTGTAAGCAAGTTGGTTAGTCTGAAGAACATTACAGTCAGTTTGTACAATCTGTGATTGGTTCAGAATACAGTCTTCTACTCATCTCTGTCTTAGATCTGAATATTATTGTATCCCTATTGAATGTCCAACTTAGTAAAAACCCTGAATGTATACATCTTATTAATGAGCTCCTGAATCAGAGGGAGTAGGTACTTATTTTTGACAGTACCCTTATTAAGATAATAATAATCCTAGACTAGGTAAAGCTTCCTATCTTTCTTTTTGACAAAGAAGAAAGGGGAGGCTATAGAGGACTTCAAGGGTTGGATCTAGCTGTTCTGAAGATTTTCCCAAAGGAACTTATTAAGTACCTCCTACTTGTCTCTGTTAAGTAAGTAGACCTTACAATCCTTAGGTTAGAAACCTTTAGTCAATTCAATTGTATAGTTCTAGAGACAGTGTTTAGGAAGCTAGTCAAATTCCTCTTTACTAAAGACTTTAGGGAACTCTTAGACAAAATCCAGCAGGCTGAGTCTATGTGTGTTCTAGAGTAGAGTTGTTCTGAGAGGGTTCTAGACTGGTTCTGTCTTGAACATTCTTCAGATTGACTCTGTTCTGCCTTGACTAGAATATGTATCCACATATCTATTCTAGTCAAAGAAGAACAACTAGTCACCTTTATTAGAACTGTTAGTAATGTTAGGAGTGTCTGTATCCACTTAGAATAGTAGTGTAAGGTAGTTACAAGACTTGGGACACTAATCAAACATGAGTGTCTACTCTAACTAGTCAATAGTAGGGTTGTAAGCCTTGAGCCATTTGAATCTAATAAAGACATCTGTCTTTCTGAGGTTAGTAACTCTGAACTCAATACTTTCCTTATAATCCTGAATAGTTATCTGTAGTTGGACAAACTTAGTGATCTGACTATTCTAGTTCAGGGTTCTGTCTGTATTGTATACTAGGATTGGAAGTAGAACACATTAAGTAGAGAGGTAGTGTTCCTACACAAAGGCCTTGTTGATACACAAACTAGTATATCTACTATCTACCAGAGTTATTGTTTGAATCTAGGAGGATTCTAAGAAGGGAGCCAAGAGGATAGGGACCTAGAGCTAGTGTTTGGAACATTCTCAGATAAACTGCTACTTGTTCTGAAGGGAATGTACAGCTTGTACAGTCTTGTTGTCTAAGAGGGTGAGTATATGTACTAACATTTCCTTATTAACCTCTCTCTTTTGACAAGGACAGACTCATGTCCTTAGCTGTGAACTCAGCTGAGACTATCCCTACTTAATACTATAGACAAACTACTGAGTAGTAAACAGGGCTGGGTAGTGTTCCAAATGTTCTAAGATCTTAGAATATAAAAGTAGTAGGTCAGATTGTATAGATTTAGACTCAGATAAAGTGTAAAGAGAAGAATCAAAAGAATTAGAAGAAATAGGAGAACTATCTACTTTTGTTTTCAACTTTTTTCTTTCTAATAAATAATTTTGTTGACTTATTTTTTCTACTTTTTCTACTTTTTCTACTTTTCTTACTTTATTTACTTCTAATCCTACAGTGTCTATTGAATCAAAAGTAGCCATTAAAAAATCTGAGTCATAGCCCTTCAGTACTGTATTCACTGTTAGGCCTTTACAAAATCCTAGGGTACATAGTCAGGGTCTGAGAGTTCTGAGGTGACTTTCAGATTTGTAGAAAAGACTTCTTACTACAAATCCTGTTTATTACTCATTATTACTCTAATGACCTAACAGATATACTGTTACTTCTGTAGACAGTCCTTAATCTAGTACCCTGACTTTCTGTAAATAAAGTATGCTCCTTACTTTCAGGCTTCTCTAATGTCTATTAGAACAGATTGATTGTGAATTATAGGCAGATCAATCTGAGAGCTCAGAACTGTCAGAGTCAGACACATGTGTGAGTGTTTTGTATAGACTTAATACATTCAAGCTACAGCTTGGTTGAAAGAGATGGCACATGTCTTCCACTCAGTGTAAGTGACCAGTTCTAGTGTTATTCTAAGGATCTTATTAACCAGTTCTAGGTGAAGAGCTTTTTCAAGCATTCTAATAAGGACATTATTAAACCTGAGCACAAATCCTGCCTTCTGAGCTAGGATATCAAACTCCTGAAAGAAGGTATTAGTAGAATGTTTGTCCTGTCACAGAGATGCAAGCTTGTTCTACACATTGTACTTCTCATTTGGATTAATGAAGGAAGCATAGAGCTGCCCTATGAATTCCAAATATGACTCATTATTCTAAAGTTGGATCAGGCTTCCAATCTAATAGCTTTTGATCTAGTTCTGGGCCCAGGTGGTTGTGTTGCCTTCCTTTATGAAGGAGAGGACAAATAGGACACAATCAAGATCTAAGGATAGATTAGTCAAAGTAGTAACCACATATAGTTTGACTTAGTACTAGAAGTCCTTAAAGTGCTACTTATTAAAGTCTGAAGGGTAGGCTACATACACTTTCTTTCTAGAACAGGTTGTGACTTTCAGAACAATCAGAACAGGTTCTAAAGGGGTTAGGGGCACATAGTTAGTAAAAGCCTCTTAGATAGAGGTTTACACATATTAAGCTAGTTCTACTTGTAACTGCTAATCCAGTAGGACAGTAGGGGTAGCAGTTAGTGTAGGAGGGTCTATGTTTACACTATAAAGGAATTGACACTAAACTAAAAGGGGTAATGAATAGAAGAAGGGTGGCAAAAGTTTAAAAGGGTTTAGAAAGTTTAAAATTTAAAAATGGACTATATGTATGCTGACTCTTACTACTACCCTTCCTTACTTTATCATTCCATTCCTTTGACCACTCCTTCATTCTTTGTTCATTCTATAGTCTCTTACCCTTTGTCCATCCCTTCATTCTTTATACCTTTATCTTTGATCTTCCCTTCTTTCATTCTTCATGGTTTATCATTCTTAGTGGCTCATGCTCCCTGAGTACTCTTGTGTAGTTTAGTATATATAGGTGTACAAGATCAGACTAGTCCTGTAGTCTTGATCTTGTCTACTCTAGGTAGTCCTGTACTCTTAGGCTCACTCTATATACTCTACCTTGTCTCACTCTCTCTCTCTCTCCACCTGTTCTGCAAGTTCTGACTATGTTCTAGTGCTTACATTCTGTATTTCTGTTGTGTAGGATAGTTGTAGCCTGGGTCCCCTTACTGAGCCTTTGGGTCCCCTCTACACTGTTGCTGACATCAGATTAAGACTACCCATTACCACCCTACAACTCTCCTACATTTTAGGCATTAGTACTTACTGTTACATCAATCTCTTTTCTTTGTCCTAACCCTTTTACATAGACAGTGCTCTCAAGGGACAGAAGTCCCAAGTTCTGGTACAGAAGGGTGCAGAACCCTTGGAACTGAAGGTATGAGAGTATAGAACTGTAACACTTTAGAGTGTATTAAACAGGACTATGATTTCTATCCAGGAAAGTGTAAAGTATAAAATAAGTTGTATTTTTAATTAAAATTCATTATATTATATTTTACACCTTATTATCCCTTGCAACTACCTTCATAAGTATTAGAACTGTTGGTTCTGCAGCTCCAGACCAATCTTATAATATTACAAAATGCTGCAAACTTAAACACAGATGCTTCCTATGCAAAATGCATACAAGTATTAGGCAAGCCAAACCAAGTAATAACAAAAAATATGTTGCTGAATAAATAAGTCCTGGAAAGCCTTGGCAATGCATAGCTTGAGTTTAAAGAGGCAACAAAAGCATAACCATAAAAGATAAATTTATTAGGTGATGCAACTTGTACATACTATATGTTGGCAAGCAATGATCACTGTGCATGTCTGTGTTAACAACAATAGTCAAATACTGAACATGTATTTTGCCATGTTCTCATTTTGACAATATCATGTCGTTTTCCGGATGCATGGAGCAATATTGCTTCCGGAAATAGATTAATCTACGTTTGAAATGCAAAATATGTGCGTCATACCATCACATTGCTTGACATTTCCATTATGCAATGTTAGACAATATCAATACAAAGGGGTGGAAGGACTGGATTGTAATTGGACTTGTTATTGTGTCGACAAGTTCCCGATACAAACTCTGCTAGGCTGCCTTGAAAGTAAACAAGTCCTCAAACTTGCATATATTATAAAATGAACGGGAATTGGAGGATTGGTTTACAGTCGCACCTTGATCTGAGTACGTTGACTTTGACGGAAGAGCAAGATTCCTATGACCAAACTTCTTCAAATCCCACGAAGAGAGAGGGAAGTCATCTTGAGGCTAGGCGCAAGAGGGACAACGGTGAAGTAAACATTGCCGCGAATAACGCAGTGGAAAATAAAAGGCGTGGTAGTTCAACATACCAGCCGAGCCCAGATGATCCGCACCCAGAACAATCCCAGCCTTTTAGAAGGAAGTCAAGGTCGTCAACGTCAGGATCAGGAAGTAGAGTCGGTTTCGTCGCAAATGTGACCATGATCGAAAGTGGCAACAAGGTCAAGAGGGGTGTGATTCACACTGAAGATAACAAAAAGCCCAAGTCTAAAGGGGTGTTCAGAAGAAAAGAAGACGAAGAGTATCGTGCAGCTAAAGAGGGCAGACCCATATATCCAGGAGAATGATAAAGCTTAGAGTTGCAGAGATATGGAGACTGTATCCGAGTCTCCTATTGCTGTGAATGAAAGTTGATGCGGTTTATTGTTGTGGGAGGGTGTAAGAGCAGGAGACTTTGCGCGACACGAACAGAAATGCATGCATTGTGTGAGCAAACTGTTAGATAAGTATTGCAAGAATTGAAAAATACGCATGAACCGACAGACACGACCTTTTCTTGAGAGATTCGAATGGTTGAGATTGGTAATTGACTAAGAATCCCGAACAGCCGTAAACGTCCTTGAGTGATATTAATGAGTGTTGTAATTCTGCTAACAGGGATTCTCCTTATAAAGAAGTTATGAGTACTGGATACTGTTCAGAAGCCACACCCAGTTACATAACAGCAGTAAACGAATACGGCGTATCCTGTTTTATGTCGCACTCCGTACACAACTGCATTAGTCCGACATAGTCCAAGTTACAGAGTATCCGTCTATACCCTTTCCTATACGCAATTCAGCGATTACTGATAGAATAGCTCTCCATTCATTGACGATCTAGTATCTATGGCGTTGAAATAGAAGCCTGTGTCCAAAATCCGCTCCAGGGACGCATCTCATGAAGCTGCAGGGTACGGATATCCCCTGTGTCTGGCATGGAGATCGGTACGGAACGTAGTAGATCTTGGCCTTGTATAAGTCGTAGTTCCCGTGTCCGCATGCGCCTCACAAGGCGTTCTGGATCCGTGCGGTCGCGCTCCTCGTCCGTGGCGTCGTCTGTCCGTGAGAAATTTGCGGTTGTGGAAACTTGCTCGTCGGTGAGTTTAAGCAAGGCGAATGTTTTGGATAAAGCAAGCGATGTAGCAATTGATAGAGGCGTATGAGGAGCATCGTTGACCTGTTTCGTTGGAAAAGTAGAAGATTGTACAGAACCCGAGTCAGAAGTTCGGTTTGGATTAAAGTGTGCAAGGACTAGCGCGGAAAAGAGGTCACCAACACCCGAGAAATATCCCGGGATGCATGGAACAGTGTGAGCATGGACCGTTGACAGATTAGCGTTATGCAGGGACGCGTCGTGGTCTATCGAAACGTTACTTGAAGAAAGGCTGGAAGATGAAATGCAAAGGAGATGAGAACCATCCTCCGCAAGTCCATTCATGGCCGACTCGGAAAGCAGCTGCGAAGGAAGAGCTAAGCGTAGGAAACCATGTAATGGTATCGAGCTCATGACAACATGCGGAACGAGATATTTGTTGTGTAGAAGCGTAAGAGCAGTCCGGAGTGATGACATGTCCTTTATCGGTACATTCGTCAGAGTCCTAGGGATTCGTCAAAGCAACATCAGCAAGGCACCACATTGAATGCCGAAGCAGCACATCTCTCTGTACTTACTCTACTTCGAACCAATTGGGAGTGATAATTGTTGCTTGCGGTAAGAGCTCTCTATAAATTGGTATAACATCCGGGGCCACATACAATCTACCGGAGTCCCCTAATACAGCTTAAGCGACAGTCAGCATGCAATGCACTTTGGAGCTCTCAATCTAATAGCTTACGATCCAAAAGATAGATAATCTCGGGATTTCTAGCCTTCAACTTCTTCACGAGTTTTGCGACGACCGAAAGAGTCTCCGCACCGGGTATGTAACCTATTAGTCCGTGTAAAAAAATTACGGGATTTGCTAAACGCAGTTTGTCTACCTGTAAGCAACCTCTGCTGGGTGAGTAAGTCATTGGCATCCATCGTGTCAAATATAGTTGTGAGGTCCTGGGCGCTTGCCTTTGGCCCGCCAAATCTGCCATAGCCTGAGAAGATCAGCTTTGTTCGTGGAAGGAAAAATAACTAAAAGTTTGCGTTCTCACCACTGTGGTTTGAAAAATTGACTGTATTTACTACCTGTGAAGCTCATGAATGATCGACCTTGGCATAGAAATATTGATGAAGAGGAGGCTAACATCTACATCATATCCCAGGCACTGTAATGGAAACACAGCTGCCTTCCCGCCGACATAGCCATATGCTACGTGGGATTGAATGCTCAATACACGCCTGTTCATTCCGCTTGGATCAAGAAAGGATGGCGCAATTTTGGTGCGAAAAGTTGAAGAAAGAGGAGAACTCTAATAATAAAAATATTTACCTGCCAGGTCCTGCCTGACTCAACGCGGTACTTTGTCATCCTCGTGTTACATCATAGTAATTTACTTTTCTGGATCCATGAAGCGCCATATTCGATGACTGACAAAATGTGTATATACATATACTTATATCGGTGAATGGAGACAGCAATAGACTTCGCTTGAAAAGATTACAAGTCAAGAAAGCAACTGCAACACATTCTTAGGCGAAGTCGGTAAATTACGAAGGATACTTTGAATTATGAATACAAATACGGGATAGGCACGCGGTGCACGTGCCTCGGGACCTCCGCCACGATGAAAGTGACGTTGGTCTCTTCAAGCTTGTTGAGTGCCCGCAGCATTCTGCTTTCACCAAGGCCGGCCTGAATGACTTCGGACGGACACAAGTATGTTCTCTATCAACTTTGGTTTCAGAGTTCTCTCTTATTCATACTCACTACTTAGGCTTCAAGATGCATGGGCTAATTCACTGAAGGACGCGCTAACTACTTTCCGGACGCATTTAACTTCTGCCCAAAGCTCGGCCTGGAAACGTGTCCCTCTTCCTCTACGAAAGAACTCATCTGGTAGTGTTAAGGGGAAGTCTCCTCGTCCGGATGCCAGAGATGTCTGTGTTCACCGTAGGACGACGAAGGCTGGCGATGTGTATCGAGTCATTCTTGAATTTCCAGCCACTGACGATACAATCGATCTTGAAGTATGGAAGGCCGTCCTTGTCACTCCTGAATTACGCGGAGAATGGGATCCGGCAGTGGAGTCTGCTCAGGTTCTCGAAATGTTTGATCCGTCGACTCGAATAGTAAAGACGAACTTCACTCTTGGGTGGCCCGCAAAGTGAGTATACACATTGACAGGGCGGAGAGCAGTTCTCATTTCTTTCAGTCCGCGGGATGCCGTGTTAATTTCGCGAACTTTCTACGATGCTACAACGCTCGTCGATGTATCCACGTCTCTACCACGTTCTGCTGACGAACCATCGTACTTGAGACCGTCTCCTCCATACGTTCGCTCGCGAGTTGACTGTCAGTGCTTTTCAATTTGTGATCTATGATTTTCTCTCACCATGATGTCAGTATTTGCTTGGTGTATTCAGATCCTGTCTCCGGAAGGTCGGGCCAAGCGTGTACGAATGACTTGCTTTTGGCAACACGACCTTAGAACGGTCTGGAACATAGGGGCTCCTGTCAACGTACCGCAGCAGCTGTCTACCATGACTATCGGCTTGCTGGATGCCATGAAATCCAAGAAGGAGAGGATACCAGTCTTATCTTCATATGGACTCGGCGTGGCTATCGGTCGAATAATATTCGATATCGGCAGGGCAGCATTAACTATCGACTATGAAATCCTTCCAGAAGATCATGACACTGTTCAAGACAAGGCCCTGGTAAATGGATTGGACGATCTATATACTCTTAGACAACAACGGCGGTTGCAGCGCAGTTTGGAGGTTTTATTACCTTCCCGTGATGGCTGGGATATACGTATCGCGACTCGAGCATCCTCCGAAGCTGTTGCACAGCTCCCATGGTCTGCCAATACAATCAAATGGGGTTCCTCCAAAGTCTCATTCCAGATCCAGCATGCGCCCCTGCTTGACGATCACTCAGTACTCAAAGTGAAGCTTATTATGGAATTCTCTGCAGCGCTCAAAGGTGTGCGAATAAACGGTCTGCCCAAAGGACTCGAAGAACGTATAGACCACGAGCTTGAGTCTTTCGCTACAGCTACGGAGCTTTTCCAAGACGCGTCAAGTGCAGCGGCCTTCAGTGTCGGTACAGCAAATAGTTCCGCAGCAACCGCGGCAAGTGAGGCGTCGAGTGACTCGTCCGTGCAGAGACCACCTTTCCTACGTACTGATTCAAATACTGGTGCTATTCCCCGTGGACCGGCATTTGACAAAAGCATACTTGCAAGAGTACGCAGAAATTACATCTATTTTTCTTCGTTGCTACAAGAACCGGAAGCAAAGTGGAAGAGGAATTCTGACATACGCGGCGTTTCAGTGACACAGCTTGATTCAATAGACCCGACACTTGTCGTTTATAAAGCCGAAGCAACTTTCGTTGGAATTGGGCTTTGGGATCTTTATAGCACAATTGTTACCCCGGGCACGCGTGCGCAATGGGATCGTCAATATGATGATGCGACAATGCTTGAAGACGTTAATGAGTTAACAGAACTTTGGCACTACAAGACAAAGCCCGCATGGCCTGTGACCGGACGTGACTGTGTTTTGCTTAAGACAGTGTATAAATCGCCGACGACGGTCCATGTTTTCTCTTTCTCCATTGATGACCAACGGCTGTTCCCAGCAATTCCCCCAGTAGATCCAGGGACGATCAGAACGCAGGTGGACCTCCAAGGGTGGGCCATCGAGTCATTAAGCCCCACTACGACGCAGTTAACCTTACTGGAGCAGAGCGATCCGAAGGGATGGGCGGGCAAAGCAACTGTCCCTCAACAGATGGTTGCGAATGTAGCAGGTGTCGGCGAATTCGCCATCAAATGTGGTGGACCACCGGTTGTGACGCGTTTAAGCGGTGCTCGGTCCATAAATCAGCGATATGACCACGATCGCGCAATCTTTCGTGTAGAGTATGAGCCCGCGGCCGACCGGCGACCAAATTCGACACAAGAAAGCACGTCACGACCCCTTCATACACGACAAAACTCAGTCGATTGCGTGCAAATGCTGGCTACAGGCGCCAGCGTAACTGCTGAACAAGCTGAAGAAGAATCCTCGTCCACATCTATAGAGTGCGAGTTACGATGTGATGTTGATACATGGGCATCTTCCCTTGACATCGTGATTGATCCTCCTCCCCAATCAATATTATGTCTTCGACGACATCGTCTTTCGGCTGGTGGCGGTGGACTCTGGTTATCGGTTGGACATGATATTTCATTCAACAGCGAGGAACGCTTGCAGGTCATTATACGACGTGCACCTTTAACGGCAGCCAAAGAGAGAGGTGTGGTCATGGTGAACGGGAAACGTATAAATGTCGACGTTGAAGAATTACCTGAAGCAGAGGTGAAATCCCTCACGAAGCAGAAGCGTGTTAAACCTGCCAGAGTTCCTCTTGACCAGCCCCCTGTAATGGGTGTCATACGCAGACGTCGAGCAGAACTGGACGATGGCGACTCCAATGGTACCAGTACCGATTCGGGAAGAACTAAGCGGCGCTCGGGAATGAGCGCCATCACATCGACTGTTCCAAAAGTCCCGAGTCCACTTTCGACGTTTTTCACAACTGCGTTGGAGCAGGTAACGAACACCACTCAGCAAGCGGTCGCCGTCTTTGTACCTCCAGCGATTTCATCGACGGATGTGACGTTCCCTGCTACTAAAAGGCCAGTTCACTTTGCTCTCGACGCTCTTGCATTTGCTCAGGCGTATCATCATGGGGCATATCGAGACAATTGGACAACAGTCACTGATAACGGCATCCTCGTGCAGCGAAGGCCGTCACCTAACATCTCGCCTGCTGTACCTGTACATCGAGGTGAGAAAGTCATTGAAGGCGTCACTGCCGATGAAGTCGCTTCCGTTGTCTTTAGCTACGATTGCCGTAGGCAGTGGGATGACCGGTTTGACTCGGTATTCGTTCTCGAAGAGTACGGGGCAGATTGCCATACCTCGTTCTTAGTATCGAAAACGGGGTTTCCGTTTAGAGATCGTGGTATGCTACTTGCATCACTTGTAGCACGCGAGAAGAAACATACTACTCTAGCAATTCCCACATCAAACTCGGAACAAGTGCAAACCCCGGCTGGCATCTCCAATGCGATTTACTGCATTTCTGCATCTTTTAACCCTACGTCCACCGCTTCCTTCTCGCCGACAAAATATAACGTCCATACTCTGCCGGTCGGTCGTATCTACATTGATGCTTGGATCCTAGAGACTCTTGATCCATATACGTCCGAGAATTATGCAATTCCGTCAACAAAATGCATGCGGCTTGTAGCGGCCGATTTTGCTGGTTCGGTCCCCGTTGCATTCAACTCGATGATTAATGCATCGCTTCCTCGTGCGATACTAGCTGTAGATGCATACATGAAGACATTTACTCCATTTCCCGAGATGCGTTTGCCATCAGCATATTTCTGCTTAACAGGGACCGAGATCGATATAGAGGGCAGGACATGGAGATTCAAGCCCGGAAATATGGGACCTATATTGCTGAGTAGCAAGCTTGATGTACCAAACAAGATTTTCAGAGCGAATTTACTGGTGACCTTTGATGGGCAGGCTTCAGAATCGGAGAGGGCCCTCCCTTCTGACGGCAAGGAAGCAGAACCTTCGCAAGTGACACCAAGATCCGATCATGATGGTATTTCATCACGCCCAGGTTCTCCTGATATACTGCGCCGTCGGCGAAGGGAAAGTACAAGCCCGTTAAGTCCGTCTCGTCGCCATAGGAAGAGCATGTCCGCCGATATGGACGTTACTCCCAATTCCGCGAGGGTGCGGTCTCACTCCCGGGAGCCGATGAGAACATCGTCATCGACATTTTCCATTGGACGAGATCAGAAAACGCGAGGACCAATGGATTATGTCGTCGCGGAAATCATCATAGACATGCGAACGCATCCTGAAGGTTATGAAGTACAGTTTACATCCCGAATGGAGCGCAATGGAAACTCTCCGAGTCCTATCCAATTTACTCACATTGATGAAGGGAGTAACGATGCTTCCAGCACGTTGCCTATCGCGCACAACGTGATTGTCATACCACCATCGCCTCTTTACACAGCAAATACAGGTGTAGATACGCCTGTGCGACACCTCTTGCGTCTGACGCTTCCGACATCGCAGTTTGAGTTACCGACAGTCGAAGATCCTTTGACCGGAGAAATGCGCAGTGCTCCACCTAAGCCGCAGTGGTATGTGGATCTCGAGAGCAGAGACAAATATGCTTTAGTACAAGTAGCTGTGCGACCTTTACCGACTGACAAGAGGAAGAAGGGCAAGAAGCTGGTACTTATTGACGGAGCGTTTGTGTCACCCACCAGTGAAAGGGATATTAATAAAGGCGCCATTTTGGAAGAATCGGGTGTCGGTATTCTTTCAAGGTTAGCTTTTTTTCGTAATTGAAACGGCTGATGGCTGACTCGTTCGTGTTACAGTTCGCAGATTCAGGACGGCGAAGATTGCTTGACTCTACCGATGCGACTCTCATCTCCTTTAGTCGTTAACGACTTGCTCCTCGGTGAAAGTCAAGCGGAGACCCGGCCGCATACCATCCCCTCGACGACCGATTCCCAGAGCGACAACCAAAGCGGTGATAGCGAAATGGGGGGAACGGAAGAGCATGGACCGTTCAATGTAAGTGTCTCGACTGTTTCCCGTATTTCTTATTGTTCTTTAACATAATATGTTTGAAGACGTCAAGGCAAGCAACTCCTACTGAAGAACAGAAAGTCACACGACCAGCCGAGGAAAAACGCGGACTGTTTAGCCTTATTAGCTCCTATCAGGCGTCTCTTCCTTTGCTCGGACGTTCAAGGCCCACGGGGACATATTCCAATCAAGATGCGCGGAAGACATCTGCTCCCAATACATCTCAAGTAGAGCCAGAGGATTTACAATCAAGTTCTCGTCCGGAACTGGTACCTCTGCCTGGGTCCAGTTCCAATAGAGCAGCTTCGTCTGCTTTAGCCGTTGTTCAATCAGCAAGAGTGCCACGCTTTTCAATATCGGCTCTTATCGCGTCGATGTTAATTGCCTTTCTTCTGGGTTCGCTATTACGCTCCTTGCTTTCGCCAGCAGACTTCATCTATGTCGTCACCGATCTGGGTGATGTCCCGGGTGGCGTGACGCGCGGCCCGAACGGGGGGCTCGGTACCGTCGAGCCTGGATGGCGGGAAATCAAGAGACTTGTGGAATTGAAGTACATCGTTGGCGGATGGGATTTCCAAATAGCGGTAGTACGGAGGCACTAGGACATAGCGGAATATTTTAACCTCTGTACCTGCTAATCGTGTTCTGAGATTTACAGCATCCTTTTCGGCATACTTTCTTACCCACACACAGGCATTTGTACCAGTGTATTCGTTCCGTCCATCGCATTGTATTGTATGTATATTTCTTAATTGACGTGATAATAGTTGTGACCGTTGTTTCATGTGCACAAGAAATGGAATAATTCATTCGGTTAAATGGGCGTGCGAAATGTTGTCTGAATGTGCTGGTGCGCTTGCAATCGCTTTCTTGCCGCCCAGCCGGCCGCTGCACTTCCTTCATTTACTCTCTTTTCCCTTCATTCCACTCCCTCTCACGTCTGTGTCCCTCGTCGCCGCCTCTCTTCCATATATCTGTTAATGCCCAACGTCCTTGGCCACTTATAGCCATCAGTTCACGTTCCCTTCAAGCACACAATCTATTCTATTTTTGGCAAGACGCGCTCGAGCTTATACATTGAATGGCCCAAGCTTTGTACACCCAGCACCCCTTGGACGAATATCTCAAAGGTACGCGCAGGACTCTCGCAGTAGGCGCTGGTCCTGACTCTTATATCTCCGTATTTTTAGAGTCCGGAGATAGACGCGAGCGCCTTCCCGGTGCATTCCTGGATGCGTCGGACGAGGAGCCTGAGGCCAGTCTGACAGCGGACGAATGTGCTGAGCTCACGCTTCCTGTTTCTTCGCTGACAGACTTGCTTGAGGTACGTAAATGCAGTGGACGTACGGGCTTACTTGACTCAACTTGACCGCAGGTCATACAACAGTGGGCAACCGTTTTTCGACACATCTTCCTTTCCACAAGTGACGACTTTGCTGAACGATTCAAATATGACCTAATCTCTTCCAACTTGCTTTCGTCTTCCGTATCTCCTTCGCCAGTCTCTACGCATTCTCAACCTGCATTTCCTGCTCGTGATCAACGTCTACCCGGCGATCTGAAAACTCCACAGCAGGACACTGTGGAGAAAACAGATCAAGACCTGAAGCCGCTTTCAAGCGCCTTCGTTCTTCTGGGACTAGTTGCACTCTTGAAGCACCATCGACTAACTGCTTTTCTGGCACTATTGACATCCGTCTCCTTCGCTAAGGCTCCGGGTATCGGGTCGTCGAAAAGTAGTTACATCCCACAGATGTTTGAGGCACTAGATAGTTTGAAAACAGCTGGGGCTGCTTGGGACCTCGCAGTCAACGACGCCATTACCATGGTTGAAGCAGAGGAGCGCAGGTGAGATTCTTCTTGTCGGAATCATTTAACACCGTGTCTGATCAGTTGTGCAGTACGTACTACTCTCCATCCCCTTCGGCCTCACCTCCGGCTTCATCGGCACTCCGTGTTGCGCTTCACTCAACCTTGCTTACAACGCAACAGCAATGTGACAACGTTCGGCCGCTTTTGGCGGCTTTGGCGTCGCCCATGGAACTGTCGCAATTGTCTGAGATGTATGGTCCGCCTGATCCTTCAAAACCGTCATATACTCTCCAAGCTCGAAACTCACCGCCTCGACATAAACACAGTTCTTTGTCCGAGAACAACATCTCTCGTCTTTCGCCGCGCTCACCTTCGGCCTCGGAGGAAAAACGTCAAACATGGAACGGATCCAATATTACAATTTTGGGTCGTAATGCTGCAACAACATCCACAATTCGGAGGAAGGACCGAAGATCATCTGATTTGTCAACATTTTCAGCTTTACAAGATTCTCCATTCCCTTCACCATTGACACCGCCTAGGTCTCCATCTCTTGCCCAGGTCCTGGAAGATGATGAAGAGGAAAATCAAGGCAAAGATAACTCGCGTCTCGGAGGTCTATCACGCGAAGACAGCCTTCCGCAAGACCATTTTGGGACTGCAGCTCTTTACCTACGTCGAAGACGTCGGGCAAGTGGTGCGGAGGTTCTGGGTTTGCCGAGTGCGCGCTCTGTACCATCGCTACGTGATTCCGTTCATCGTTCCTCACCATCAGTCTCGTCTCAGCGTTTTACATCATTATCGTCTGTGCGTCATCCGTTTTCGCTCAGCGCGCTGCACCACGTCCTTCAAGGTGCCCTCGCCTCCCGACGATATTCTTGTGCGCATCTTCTTGCTCTTCGTTTCACCGAGGACTCGGAGGACGAATCATATTGGGAGAATGTACGGAGTGTCACTGCTTTGTTAATATCCACACTTGAAGATGCAACCGCAAGACTAAACGTGGCGCTCGCTGAGGCTGATAATTTAAAAAGGCAAGAGGCTCAGCCAACGCCAGAAAGCAGTCCAGACAGTAGTCCTGCTACAGCGCCAAACGAGGAGCTGCATGCTTCGCGACCTCCCAGTATCCATGCCACAGGTCCTCTGACATCTCCATCACACCACTCCAAACCCTCCGCACTTCTGAATCTTCCGAATTCATCGACAAACGATATTGACTGTTTCGCACCTGTACCAAGTGCTGTGGCTCGTTTCGCTTCCCACGTAGATGCCTTATCATCGTCTCTAGGTGACGCGAGGGGTCATCTGATAGAGAGTGTGGAAGAGTTGCGCGATGTACAAAATGTTGGATTGCCTCAATCATCCGAGAGGACGACTCATAAGGCTTCGGAGGAATCTGTCATGCAATCGTATGAGAGACTACGAAGGGAGCTCGGATTTGCACTTCGTGAATGTGAACGAGGGAGGGCTGCACTCCTCGACATATTCGAATCTCCGCGCTTGCGAAGTCTCACACTCGGCGAGGAGGACGAGACAGACGTTGTCGCCGGCGAATCTCCGTTTAGCCGCTCACGACTCCACCCGCTTAGTAGCAGTTCAAAAGACTCGAATGATAAAACTGACACGGATATACTCACTCCGGATGAGGGTAGTCCCGTTATTCCGATACTTTCGTCGCTGGATGACGCGAGCAACGAACGAGATGTTGACGATGCCTCCCAACATCTTTTACTGTCTACGTCAACGACCCATCTTCCTCCTCCTGGCCTCGAACAGATCTTTGAGAGCGAGTCGACCCCTTTCACATCGTTCAACCGAGAACGCTCAAAAATGTCTCGGGAAGAACGAATACGGCTTATGAAAGCTAAACGGGAGAGCATGAACGGCCGTGGACTTGCTGCTCAGTTAGACGATGAGGACGATATCGGGAAACCCGCCAGGCGTGGAAGCTGGGGTCCTGGTACAGAAGTTGTCGAAGAACTGAAGGACGTTATTTGGAAAGTAGGCGAACGTCGACGAAAAATGGCAGAGGAATCACGCGCACCCTCTGCAACAATAGGACCAACATCGACAACAACTATACCCTCCGCACCAGAACTTCATAATAATAATATCTCACCGGATGGATCGAATGATTACGATACAAGCCTATGTACATCATAGGTTGTGAAGACAGATGCTTTTTCTATTTCTATGTTTTTTCTTTCCTTCTTTTGCTGTTCTACTGCTCCTCTTTCGTTTTGGCTTCCTGCTTTTCTGCTTTCTGCTTTGTCTTATGGTTAAGTAATGTTTTTTCGCTCTGCTTAATGGTCACACTCGTTTGCTACTCTCGTAGAGTTATGAATACAGGTATAGCACTTTTATATATAGTTAATTATTTTGTCGTCCGCTTGGTCTTGCGTACGAAGCGTGATGTATTACCTGCATTTGGGAGTAATATAATAACTTTACGAAATGTTTGTTAGTAGTAGGCAAGTTTGTTGCTTAGAGAAACGGATTACTCTTACAATGTAAAAGTACATCTTATCGTAATACCAAGGTAACCCCATTGTTGAACGCCTCACTTGACTGAGGAAACCACAAGAGGCCTTAGTTTCTGGGATTATCGAAACTCAATCTAGACTTTATGCCGAACTAAATGATGCCACATCTTTGCAACTGAGCTACATAAGTGAAGATTTAAACGGTTCTGGATCCTTGCCTGCAAATCGCCATCTAATCATGTAGCTGCTGCTTGTAATAAATGCCTTCAGCGTGCAAATTAAAAATTTAAGTATAAACTACGTGTTTCACGGGTCGATCTCAATCTGAGTCGGGCTCCTTCAGGCGGCTGAGAATCAAATGACAGAGTTTAGACCTAGTTGGTCTCAATTGCATCTAGATCAGTACTTGGACGTGAAATTAGGCAGGACCACATAGTGTCATTTGTGAAGACGCCACGGCCTTCATCCCGTTCTACTATTATTAGCCACAAATTAGATCTCAACAATACATTTGCTTGTGCCTCTAGTGCAAGTTTGCAACTGAGTTGTAGATATCTGCTCGAGAGCTTTATCGACTGCACACCTGGTACATCCGAATGGACTAGACTGACTAAGTTTGCAGGAGCCAATTGACACAGCACAAGGACGGGAAAAGTGTATAAATTCAGGAAACAAGTAAAAGCCACCCAGCATACGACCGACATGAGTGAAGGTAGGCAAACAGTCGCTACTAGCTGTGGCGGGGCTGGAGATAATGGAGATAACGCAGGTAAAGATTATCTTATCCAAAGTCCGGGCGCGGAAAGCTCACTTTGTTGTACTTTCGTGCACTGCTATAGGGGATAATAATGACCGGCACTCCCAGCGTGACAGCCGACCTCATAGAAGGAGCAGACAAAGTGACGACGACCAGTCAACGGAAAATCAAGGCACAGAGAACAGCCATCACAATGTGGATAAGACGGGTAAGAGGGAACCCAAGGCTCGTTAATCCTGAACTCTGTTGTCCTGAACCCTTGTCGGGCGGTGGAAAGAGTCCAAGCACATGTAACTGTATACAGATGATGTATTTCATGATGTATGATCTTCCGCAAGGTCAGAGGAGTCACACGGACTGAAACAGGAATCAATATTGGGGGACGCCAGTGGCACCCCACAGATCAAGAATGCCATTGTATTATTAGACAATATTAATGTGCAAACACCACACTTTCAGTGGGGTGAGATGAAACAGGCTTGACAATGCAAGCAGGTATTCTAGCGTAACGTGGCCAATAGCCTAAGTATTGCTCTCCAAGAGAAAGTACTGCCCCCCACATGCTGGGTGTTAACGAAGCAGGAGAGATAGAAGATTTGCATGCACGTCGGAGAGAAGTTCCTGAGTTTACCAGTATCAGCTCTCCTAGATCGTTTTGAGCAACGTGAAAAGCAAAAGAATGTGCACGAAGTCGAAATCGATGCAACCAGAGGGCTATATGACGAGGCAGTTTGTATTCCGTGAATTGAGAAGTTCTTCGTGAGTCGCAGTAAGTTCTGGACGAAGTTTATGTTGTGAGGCACAGACGCGATATGGCATAAAGGAAGGGACGTTAGGGCCGGTAGTATTGGTCATGACTGCTACTTCGAGTGATGTATTTGAATTATGATTGAACAGGAGTTCGCCAGGATCACTTGACCAAAGCAGCACAGCAAGTTCTAATTCAACGAAGGATAAAACCATGTCTTCTATCCCCTTTAATTGCTTACCGTCACCTTTGCATGCTGTGAGCTTGTATGGCGACTCTGCCTGACTCTGGATCTGGATCATGCACCAGCAGTCCATTCCAAGTAACTTATCCATTCGACAAGAAATCCAATGCCAATGGGACTCACGCAGACTTGGTTCTTCGCTCCGCGGACGGAGTTGATTTCCGTGTGATGAAGGACGTTCTCGCTGTGGCGTCGCCCGTGTTCCAGGATATGACTACTTTGGCGAGACCACTTGCAATAGGCACCAAATGCAGTACTAGTCCTTCTACTACTGACGATCAGTACTCTGAGGAGGGACTCCCGATTGTCGTCATGTACGAGTCCAATGCGGTCGTACTTGACACAATGTTAAGGATTTTGTATCCTGTCGTTCCGCCGAAATTGGATTCGTACGATGTGCTTGATGGTTTATTACGTGCTGCACAGAAGTATGACATGGCGTTGGTCTTACACGTTGTAGAAGAATCGTTTCGTCGACTTGTGGATGAGAACGACGGACAACGGGCCATGGAGGTTTATATCCTCGCTTGGGAGTACCAACTCGAAGAGATTCTCCGCCTTGTACTAGACGCGTTCCTAAGGTATCCCTTCAACCAGTCGTACTTCTCTGGTCTCGAAAAAGCCCCAGCAAGCGCCTTATTCCGACTATTCGACTACCGTCAAAAAGTCTCCAACAAAGTCGACTTACTCTTCTCACCCTTAAAATCGCCAACTGACCTACCTCAACCACTACGCTGTATCCTACGAGAGATTGAATGCTCAACAAAGAACATCAAACCCACCGAAGGGTGCGGGTCCAACGAGAATGGTTATTACATCGACAACAGATACTGCAAACCTATACAAATGAATACAGAACTATACAAGAAACGAGTGCGTCCGTTCGTGATGGATAGGAATTAAATTGAAATCAAATATTACGTAAGGTTGGGAAAACATAAACTCAACCAACCTGTCACATCAGTCACGGCACAGCCACATACTCCTTTTGGAAGGACCCTACGGCAAAAATTTCTAGGTCAGAAAAAATTGACTTTGTTTTATTAGCTCTAGCAAGTTCAAAACTTATTCAGATACAATTATTAATGTCTAAAGTTAGTTTTTAAACAGTTATATAGTGTTTGTTCAACTTTCTAAGTGTTTGGAAAAAATTACTTTAAAAAATGCTGACAAATGTATTATTATTATTAATATTACGTAACTTTCGGTATTATATAAGCGGCAAAAATCTGGGTCGAAAATTTTTAAGTAGTGCTCAAACTCATTAAAATGCAATTTTAGACCATTTTAACAAAAAAAGTTTTCTTAGGAAATAAAAAAATGTGTACTTAATATTTTTGAAAAATAAAAACATACATTTGTAGCTACAGATGTCCTCTACAATTCTATGTTGCCCAAATATTCATTTGAGGTTATTTGAGGAAGTTATTTCGTCCATCATTGTATGGCCCAAAAGAGGCTAGTACTGCCGCCTCACAGTTGGTTGAGTTTATATTTTCCCAACCTTAGAAATTGTCGCGCTCCGAATGGCGTGGATCAAGGTGAAAGAAAATCCGAAAAGGTCACTAGGGATGGTCAAAGGTAACCTACAAATCAAGCAAGTCAGTTCGATAGGCTCAAGCACATATTCATCTATCCACAATTAAGTAAACACCTCATCAGCCAATTTCCGCATTTCCTGCCTAATATTCTTCTCTAGCTCGTTCAACTGCCGAAACACATTCTTCCTACACTCCGAACAACACTTCCACGACGTAGCCGATTCCGCAATAAGCCCAATATTCATCACCCTATCCCCTAACGGCGCCTTTTGCACTTCACTACGAGATACTACTCGCAATTCAGACCACCACCCTGAAAGTATTGTACTTGTAAGATACTAGGACTTGTACTATAGTCACCAGTTATTTTGCACGAGTAGCCAGAAGGAGCGGACTTACACCTTTCTCCGAGCAGATGAGCTACCAGCTCACCAGGAAATCATGAAGTCAGCTGGACATACATCACACAGATCTAGTTTTTCACTCAGGCGACGAAGGTTCACCGAACTAAGAACGCTCCTTCCTTCACTGAATAGGAACGGTAACATCCAAGCACCAAGTCTGTTTCAAAAATATATTGTTATTTGTATTCCCAGCCTCGCTGGACAATTGCAATTAAATGCAGTAATATGCAGAAGACGAAACAAAACGCTGGTATCAAAAATGAACCAACAGCAGCTCTAATCAAACACAAATTGCATATGTGAAATAGATGAAAGGCAAAGGTGAGGTGTGTTAAGTCGAAGGGCGAAAGGTGAAGGTAGAGGTAGAGGTAGAGGTTAGGACTAAATTTAAAGATGCCACGGAAGCCAAATCACGCGGGTCTAAGATACATTTATATTTGCTGGGATAATACCAGATGAACTCGACGTGTGCAAAGGCAAAGGGCAACGCAGGTGACGGGTTTGGGGTAGTGGGGGAGGATTACGTGCCAGGTGATTAAACGTAAAATTGTGTTGCGGTGTTAATATGGTATTCCGTTGTGGAAAGCGATTGAATGCGGAGGACGTAGATGGAATGGGCCAAGAGAAACGAATTGTATCATCCCTTATGCAACAGGTGTACGAGCGTACTTGCGTCGGTACTTCGAGTCGATGCTCTCGAGGTAGTAAGAACCGGGCCAGATGTTTTCTATTGAACCCTCAGGAATGTATGCGCCTGCGTTGTGGTTCTTTTCACGGAGCTGTGTAAGTAGGCGAAAAGAAAATTAGCCGATTTGTTCTCAAATAAATAAAATGCGACAAGCACGAGTTGGGGGAAGAAAAGCCTGGGTCAAATAAGACGAGACTTACCGCCAAGGAGTCAACGTATTCTTGGCACGGAACAACCTTCATGGACGCGAGGCGGTTCAGAAGGTCCATCTTCTCGCGGATCTCCGTAGTGTCGCCCTTAACGCGAATGGTGTAGAATGACGATGCGCAACCAGAGCCGTATGCGAACATGCTGATACGCTTCCCTCGGAGCTCCTCGGGAGGAACAGCAGAGACAAGTGAGGCGAGACCGCCGTATAGTGAAGCGGTGTACATGTTACCACAGCGTTTCGCGCAGTGCATTGACGGCATCACGGCAGTCTTGTGCTGCGCGCCAGCAAGGGCAATGAAAGTTTTCTCGATGCTCTTGTCCGTGAGCGATGCGGCGTAAGAGGCGTTGAGGAGCGCTTCAGGATCAGTGATATTAGCGAATTTAGGCGTCGAGGGTTTTGAGAGGAAGTCGTTGAAAAGGAGGCGAGCATGTCCCTTCTGCACGAGCTTGCCGTAAGGAGAGTGGAAAACGGGGTAGTCGACGCTGTCGAGGGAGAAGATAGATTTCGGGTCCTCTTCCTTCTTTTCGGTGCCGTTTGCTTCGCCGTTCGTAAGCCCGGTCTTGCACTTATAAGCCCTGGCGGTCTTCTCGCGGAAACGCGAGTAAGAGTTGTCCAGCGCGGTAAGGTAGGTCGTGATAGATGCCGGTCCATCGACCTCTGGGTACTCAGAGTCGAGCTTCGGCTTGTAGAAGTCATAGGTGTTGGCCATGTACGTGCCGTGAATGGCTATAAATTGTAGAAATAAGCATAAGCTTCGCAATTCAGAACCAGGATGTAAGAAGACGCACGGTCAAAGACCAACGGGGCGTTCGGTCCGATCAGCATGGCACACGCGCCAGCACCACCAACTGGGCGTGCACCACCTTCCGCGTAAATCGCAATGTCGCCGGCGAAGACGATTGCATTACGCCCGTCCCAAGACGAACTCTCCATCCAGTTGATTGCGTTGAATAACGCAGCAGTGGAGCCGTAGCACGCGTTCTTGGAGTCGATACCCTCAATGTCGGTGTTGCCTGCTACCGCGAACAGGTCCATGAGGACGGTCTTGACGGACTTGGACTTGTCAATGATCGTCTCTGTGCCGACATCAAGTCGGCCGATGGAGCACGGGTCAATGTTGTATTTCTCGAGCAGGTTTGACACGACTGCAGAGGATCACCGGCGTAAGCAGACACATTCCGACAGTCGGCGAGGTACGCAAGCCAAAGGTTTGTACTTACCAGTAAGAGCGAACGAGTTGATGTCTTCACGGTCATCAGTGCAAGCCATGAACTGCTGTCCAAGACCAATAGTGTATTTGCCCTTGGCAACGCCGTCGAAGACCTCCAGGTCTTCCTCCGAGATGCACTACGGATGACACGCCACGGTCAGCATAAGTAACGTTAGGAAAACAAGAGACGACATACGCGACGGGGGAAATACATCTCCATACCCAGGATACCAACATCCTTCGGACGGGGTACCTCGACACCGTCAGCTACCTCGAAAGGCGAAACGGGAGTGACAGGCTCTGAGTTGGGAGCAGCGACCATATTGAACTCGGACAGGGTGACACGGTACGGGCAAAGAATGGGAGAAGAGTAAAGATTGGGGGGAGTAGAGTAGAGGCGAGGGCAATTTATATGAAGGAGAGGAGGAATAAATAGAGATAAAAAGCATCGGCTGAAATGCACTTCACCTTTTTTTGTGGTACGATACCGTAGTTTATTTCCGTCACTTTAATTCATTAGTACCTTTCCTAATCTGGACATGCACACCCTCTCACTTTCCTCATTCAGTGTCGCGTCAGCTATTTGTCCCGAAATTAATCTAATTCTCCGGCTTCTTTCTCCAATTCATATCTATCGCATCACGGAACGATACAGTCAAAAAAAATCGTACGACGACAACCACGCATGTTACACAGATACTTAGACGTTCCCTGCTGTGCTTGCTGTTCCCGCTGCTGGTCCGGCAGTGGAGGAGGAACCTGAAACGGTTTTATCATCATTCTCCGTTTCCGGCGCAACGGCGAATTGCATTCTAGTCTCCGTTCACTGATACCCATCATAATTGGCTCTCGTCCCACCATTGGGGATCTTTTTTACAATAAGATTCTTCCGTTCGATTATTCAATTGTCTCAGCCTCCATTTCAGTTGGATCCGCTGCAGGTATATCTTCTCTTGCCCTCGACCCTCGAGACGAGCAAAGTGCTGTGATCTTCTTGTACCTTGTTCGAAGGTTTAAAATACTTCAGAGTGTGGGTACTTGTACCCATTTATTATTTTAAACAGCGCCGACACTGCCAAGCTGCGAGATAATCATGTATCAATACTCGGAACCATTAGTACAAAGTGGCGCTCAAGATCTGTTGGTTAGTGCACAGGCATATGTAAATGGCCGTAGTGCGACAAGTCAGGAGTCGGGATAAGGCAAGGAGTCAAGACAAGATCAAATGCCACTAAGCCGTGAATGTCATTGATTGGACCCACATGTCAAACATGTGTCCATTTACAACAAAAAAACAGGTGTAATGAACAGTCGAACTGAGCATAGTTATGATATTGATGATTGGGCGGGACTGGCCAAAATTTCGGTGTAAAAAGGGGCAAAAAAATGAGAAATGGAGTTGGCTGATATTTTTACTGTAAATTATTAATAAGAATATTGCGAGACACCTAAAAAGTCCGGTAAGTCCGGCTATCGGAAGGGAGCATGTTCGGTCAATCAAGGACCAGTCCACATCGAAGTCCCTCGTCAATCACGAGTCCACCGCTCCGTGCAGTGCATAATGCCGATGTAGAGAGGCCGACGAAATAAGTGATTTTATCGTATGTAGTATGTAGTATACCTGTTCTGCAGGTCTTCCGTATTACAGAAGAATCCAATGCTGATATTATCCGACAACGCGGAGCAGACTCGGATTCCTCTCGTCGGATCCATCCAAAGGCAAGGACCACCATAAGCGGAATGTCCCATCCTACGCCAACCGTTGAATTACCACTGCGTTATACTTTGGGGAGAAATCGAGGGATGATAACATTCACATCCTTACCGAGCGCCGCGTTACCCCACTGGTGATACCACCCTCAATTCATTTCCACTGCTTTTCTTTATAATATCTTGCACAAGAGCAAGTGATACCATATGCTCGGGGTTAATCAAAGATAAGTAGACTGGTATAACCATTTTTCAGGTCCAAGATTATTGCTCCTCCCCAACAGTCTTTGAGCGTCTGCCGTAAAATACCCGATATTGATGGAGTTTCAGGTCAATGAGACACACCAAGAGATAACCTATGCTCGATACAGGTTCCCCCCAAATATTACTCCTTGTACGCTGTGCTGTTTAATAGCAGCGAGACAAAATTTGGTCTGCAGATAACTTTAGTAATGAGCACGGTTCAGATTTAGAACCAGCCCTTCTTCGCGTGAGAACCAACGCGAGTTTGTACCTGGAAGACAGGGTCGAGGAGCCTCTGCAGAGCCTCTGCCGTAAGCAGCCGTGGACGTGAGATTGCGTGGGGTCTTGGTGTGATAGGCAAATCAAATAGCAGAGCTGGAGTGAGCCTATGGGGCGGATAAGGCGCCCGCCGTCACTTTGATGGGCGTTCCCCAGAGCAACAAAGACATTTAGGAGAGTTTCTTGGTATTTGGGGAAGACAGTCCAAGGTAGTGATTAAAAGAATCGAGAGTGGAAATATTTGATAGATAGCAGCACTGCAGGTGGCGAACGAGCAACCACGACAGAAAAGGCTACGAATCCTCCAATTGAATCATGGCCTGCCGGAGTCTCGTACTGCCACAGTGCCACTCGTGGTTTCCGCCGCGTTAAAACGATCAAGAGCGATAAATTGCTAAATATCACGAATTTTGGAGCGAGGGAGACATTTAAGAGAGTTCCTCTGAAGTTGAGGAAATTAGCATAAAATAGTGGATAATAAGGTCGAGCGTGGCAGCATTTGATAAATAGCGCTGCAGCTGGACATGCAGTCGGGAAATAGAAAAGACTCAACTGCTTCATGTGCTACAAGATTCCCGTACGGTTACGCGTGACTTCTGCCGTAAAAGCGATCAAGGACAACCAATTGCAGAATATCAAGAATTTTACTTGCACTTGATGGTAGACAGGAGTTTGAGATGCGCTAACGAACGAAGCTGATCTATGATTCATAGTATGAAGAAAATCTTATTTTAGCATACTATTCGATCACGTGCCCGACAATAAAGAATGCGTCTCATTCAAGTTGTATGAAATCTTCTATTAGCCATTCTCATCTGCCAAACCACCTTGTCTGCATAATTGTTGGCAGTCAGTATAATTTCCATAATATCTGTGAGGATATTGGGACTGACAAGCGTCGACCTGCTGCTTTTAAATTCAGACAGGTTACCTGTCTCAGCGAAATGGACGAAGACTCAGACGTTGCTCCCTCAACATCTGAAAGCCCGGCATGCAAGTCGAACGATGTCGAACTTGAGCCTGTTATAACCGCCGCGTCCGCACCATTTGACTCGCCATACGGTGATGTCATCCTTCGAACGTCAGACTCGGTGGACTTTCGCGTGCTGAGGTTCGTTCTAGCATTAGCTTCGCCCGTCTTCGGTGCCATGTTCTCCCTTCCACAACCTGCCACAAAACTGGACGAACCTGCATCAATTCCAATTATTCCGATCAGTGAATCAAGCGCCACAATTGATTTGCTCTTGCGATTGTGTTATCCCGTTGAGGTACCCCGACTTAGTAACAGGTTGAATGTACCTCGGATTGGTCTCGTACTTGAAGCAGCGCTGAAGTACGATATCAGTCATGTCGTCAGTCATGCTCGGGACGCTATATTAGAGCTTGCGGAAAAGGACTACGACTCCGCCGTTGCAGCATACGCAGTGGCGTGCCACTTGAAACTTGAGGAGCTAGCGCGTGCAGCCGCACTTGCATGCCTTAAATGGCCTTTTCCAGGACCTACAGTCCCTCAACTTTCTCTCATGTCCGGCTTAGATTATTACAATCTTCTCGAATATCATAAGAAGGCTGGAGAAACTGTGGCTTCGTTATTTCAAAAGAACCGATACAAGTTCATGACGGAGACATGTGTCGCAATCACACCTCGAAGCCATACTTGCCAAGGGAGCACAAAATTATCGTACACTTTAACCGATAACAACGTCGAAGTCAACGAATATCTCTTCTGGTCTGAGGCAAAGAATATCTTGTCCGAGGCTTTCAAGACTTCCCCAAGTGCAATGGAGAAACTTTCCTTGTCATCACTTGCTCCAGCGGTGACGGCTACTAATTGCCATATTTGCAAAAATAAATTCCTTCATGGATGGGATCAGACAAGAGAAGCTATCGCGACTGTAATTAAGAAACGAATAAGTAAGGTATGCTTGCATAATCTATGAGAAATGTCCATCATAATGTTAACGTCGTGAACGTAGGTGCCACTTTCTCTGTCTTGGATGTGACCCGGCCCATCGGCAATGGGCGGGCATGCATACTTCGAGTTTCTGTGTATTGCGTCACATGAACATCTACGCGTGCAACGGATGAATATGGAACCTGAAACTTGCACGAAACGACATAATTCAGCTACAGGTTTTGCATTCCATTCAATTACCATCTACACGACTGGGATCGCTTCGCGGCGTCTGTGGGCACGTTACATAAATCAGATTGGTGTCGAATTCTCTGTCTGCAGACATTCTTTTATGGAGAGAACTTCAATACCTCACTATTGATGGCTTCAACGCAGTCGACCGGCATCAATTGCGGACCCTCGGATGATAGGATTGCAATGGATTATCGGAACAAACTTCTACACGTTCTTTTGTGTGTTTGTCCCCCCTCCCCTTAATTTTTGTAGTTCATCCTACTATCCTCCCTCGTATCAAACCTGCAGCATCGAAATATGATTGATGTGGGTTGAGATGCAGTATCAGTCACTTTACGCCCAAGATGTATGGCATTACTATACCCTGCGCTGCTCTTAATTCATTATTATACTGATGCCGCAATGCATGTTCCAATTTTGTACAGAAATACAATAGTTCTCTTCATAGGTTTCACTGTGCTAGCATACACTTGTTGTATACATATGGATACGTAGTTCGTCTCGGACATTCGTCACAGAGTGTACTTGTAACCACTCCACTTGTCACCTTTGTCCCGTCTCGCTTCATCTACACTTTCGTAACACCCATTCTTCGAATTCATACCCGGTTTGCCGTCATTAACACCAACGATGATCTCGTCCCGTTCTCCACGAGCACGTTTAGCGTTCTCCCTGCGCAGGAAGTAGAACATCGTGTTGGCAGCAATGAATCCACAACTGATGTAGAGGATGACGATGCCGTGTCCTAGGACGTAACGTGGAGCGTCGCGAGCGCGATACTGATGCGATTAAAGGAACTTAGATATGGATCGGAGAAAAGATTCGGTGAGAACAGCTTACGGCATTTGAGGTGGCAGCGCCGTTGATATTACCGCTGGAAGATGAATATTAGAAAATAAACACTATTGAGTGGTGGTGGCATGACATACAAGCCAATGACCCAGCCTAGGGAAACGCTCCGCTTGTAAGTTCCCTCAACATTGTTCGACACCCAAGCGCTATGAAAGACGGTCAGTCTAAAAACGCGAACGCAGGAAAGTAGCACACATAATATTTGCTGTTATAGAATGTAAATCAATGGACTTCAACTGAGGAAAGATTGAGATATCTTACGAATAAGAGGGTAAATACCGCTGCAAAGACATGTCGGTCAGACGTCTTTTTCTATTAATATCAGGCGAGAACCCACCATGCAGCCATATATACGGCAAAGTACGATAGGGCTGCGGACCTGGACAAGATTAGTATGATATACGCCGCGAGACCTGAGAGTCGTTAGTTTGGCAGGCAGACTAGTAATTGGGACTACGCTTACCAAGTGAAAAGCAGCCACTTCAACGGAGCTCCATTAGACAGTGAGTTTGATTCATCCAATAAGGGGTGCTTACATTGTGAAGTATCCACGTCGCCCAAAACGGTCAGCCAAGAATCCGACAGTACATGTCCAGATGCAAGCGACGACGTAAACCGGAACTGTTAGTAAGTTTGCAGGTGTGGCCTGGAATCCTGAGAAACGAGCGTCTCTTTAATACATCCTTCAATACCCATTTGGCATTCAACATACCGAGTTGGTTGATAATGGACGGTAAAAAGAGGGAGAATCCATACAGCGGTCCGTTGGCACCGGCGTATAAGATCACTGGTATGTCATTGAGCTTAACTGCTTATCGATGAAACGGGAGGCTTCTTACTGCCGACCCAAGTCTTCCAATCTATGACGCTGTCCCAGATATACTTCCATCTCGCCTCCTCGCCTCCCGCTGAAAATTGACCGTCATTTTGCAGACGGGAAATGACAAAGGCCCGCTCCCTTTCGTTAAGGAAGCGTGCGGTATCGGGAAAGTCCTGAAGAATGAAGAAAGAGAGAGCGCCGACAATAACAGATAGCAAGCCCTCAAGGATAAAAATCCATGCCCTGAAATAAAATTAGTGCGTGGGTGAATGCACGTAGATCTTTATCTACCATGCAGGTTTCCCACCAATACCGTTCATGTTTGAAATACCAGCCTGAGTATCCTCGGTTGAGGAGGCAGTGCATCTTTTTCAATTGAATCACACTTACCGCCAATAGCCCTCCGAAGGCACCCGACACAGTAGCTGCTGAGAAGAAAAGAGCGGCACGAAGGCCAAATTCTGTGCGTTTGTACCAGCTGAGAAACGAATATACTAGTGAGTAAGCACTCTCATCAACATATGAGAGCAAAAAGGTTTGTTGTGCCTGACATAAGACCGAATAGTTGGCGAAGAACGAGGTGGAGAGTTGGGAATCTGACCAAAGAAGATAGAAGATGGACCGAAATAGCACGAAAGGACATAAAAATTGGTAAATTTCTCACCAGGACAAGTAGTAATTTACTCCTGTGAACACAAGTTCCGCGTAAGTTCGTTGCCCGTTCACCGCAGTAGCTATTACAATAAACATACCCGGGAAGAGGCCGGCTTCGAATGTGCCAAGCATCCATCGCATGGCTATGATTAGGTGGTTTAGTAAGATAGGCCGGATGAAAAACACGAGCACTCACCGAAGAGGCCCCCAAAGTTGTGGACCAATCCTTGAATAGTCTGTGACGGTAAATGCGCTGTAAATCGCAACAAGCGGGGCAGTGTGCCTACCATCATGACTCCCCATAGTAGCATTATCGAAGACAGCCATATTGACGGACGTAGCCGCTTGAGGAAGATGTTCGACGGAACCTAGAGAAAAACGTTAATATTAGCACGTATCTAATCGCAGGAAATCCAACGTACATCTAATAGCGAATACGGTATAAAGAATATAGACAAGCAAATCAAATATTGAGTGTCCGTTATGTGGAGGTCAGTTTCCATGTTATACAGCTAGAAAGAAATCGCAAAATTTATATCATTAGCAATATGTATCATGATTAAAAGGGTACTCACCTTTGCGTTGCCTATACTTGACCGATCGAGGAAAGCGATAAGATACAAGAACGATAGCCACGGTATAAGCACCCAATCGATCTTTCTGACGAGTTTCTTTTCGTCTATGGGCACTACACCATCTTCGCTTGTACTGGAGGGGACACCTTTTGCTTCGGTAAGCACGACAGGCTCCTTTTCCTCTATCTTCGGCGTTAATGATGATGACCCCGTGGAGGGACGGTCGACCTTTTCTAACGACATGTTGGAAGTGGCAAACAAGGGTTCCCGGAGAACTGGAAGAGTACGAAGAACGAGAAGATGAAGCGGTGCTCCCGATGAAGAGAGGCGAAAGTTAGTTTTGCTCCAAACCTCTACTTATATGCAATGCGCATGGAAATCCCACAGAATTTGTAAGTTACAGTAGGCTGGCGTACACAGGCGAACTTCTATATCCACGGTCTGCCGACGAATGCCGCTCCTCTTCGTCCCGCGTGCAAATGTGCTTTCCCGGAAGAAAGAGAACTTGGCGCCTAAGAAGGAATCCAGCCTCACATGCTCAGATAGGAATAGTCGGTGAAAGGAAGATGGAATGACTTTCCGAACAAACCACTGGCTCTTCGACCCTGTTAGCGGAAGTCGGGATACATAATCCATAAAACACTGGATTCGACGTCTTGTTCGAGAGTAGCCTTTGATAGCCTTTGATAGCCTTTCAAAAACCGAGCGGATTCACGGAAGATCTTCTCCGTGTCCGTGACCATTGACCGTGGCGATGTTTTCGCTTGTTCCAGTCATCAGCCCCCAGGTTGGTTCCTTTATACGCTGAGATAGAGCGGACTCCGTGTTCCGTCATTTTCTGCCAACATCGGAACAGACAATAGCAGACTTATCTCTCCAGTGAACATAAGGCGCTGGTTGGTCGAAGATGTCACAATTTCAAAAGGATCTAGTGTGCAGGCAAAAAAGGTAATACGCTCACGTAACCAGTGTACCGTAAGTCAGCACAAATAAATGCAAGCGTATACTTTAATTTCGGGAATTTTTACCTACCACAAAACAACGCGTCAGTGGCGTGAGAATCACCAAATAAAGCCAAAATTAGCGTCATAGCGCATATAACCGCGTCGTCAAATCCACCCTTCTGCATACAACCTTCAGTTAAACGGGCTTAAAAACGACTGTCATATTATAATGGGTACGTATGTAGAGTGTTCCTGACTCATCCCTATTTTCTAATGGCGTTTTCATCTTACTTAAGCAACTCGCGAATCCGTCGAACTCAACGAGGCACACAAGCCATTGCCAAAAGCTATTGAAGCCTTCAAAGCTGTCAAGTCCAAAATCGTCTCCGAGCTCATCAGGGAACGTCACCACTGGGACAAGCATGAGCCCCACATGTTCAAACGCGCGGAAGGAATACCTGATGCCGAGCTCGCCAAGTTCTCTATTGATGAGGATCTGGTGTTAGTACGCGCTGGACAGACAGCGTATGGGACAATCATCTTTGGCAAGATTAGATTACCTGCGATCAAGGAAGGAGGTGAAGGATACATCCATGTCAGGTACGCGATCTTCTCAAATCGCTTGCCGATGGCTTTCTCTGACGGGAGGACGCTATTATACACTCCTGATTTTACTGACATTCGATTATGCCGTTCTTGCTCCTAATCTTAATTGATGACATTGTGTATGCAGAGTCCATGATCCCCCCAACAGTGTATGTAATTACTTGAAGCGTCCTATATCAGTCGCATTCTGACATAAATTGCATCTGATAGGGTGAAACTGATGTAATTCTTCACTCCATCCTCACAGAAGAAGGCGACAGGGACGCTGACGGACATCCGACATCCTGGAATGCGATTCATACGCTCGAGAAATCATTGGACTTTTTCAACGAGTGATCTTCGGATTTTAGTCTGCTGAGAATGCAAGATTCGAGCCTATTGGATTTATAACTGTACGACAGGAATGCTGCTACTTGAATACATGTATGGGGACTTTCAACGATCTCGAATATATATGGATGGAGGATAAATAGTAACGAACCCAATGTATAATGTGATTTAAGCTTTGAATTGAGTTTCTGTATTTTACAACTGACCAGACCAGAGAGCAGGAATATGGAAAGAAGTAAATGGTAATAGGACTCTGACTATGCCACCCATGTTCAACAGACTCATTCATTCTTGACATCACCAAAACGAACACGAAAATGTATTGGAATTTATTGCTAAGACATATATTTTTGCATATTGTGGATCCTTATATTTGCTTATAACGTCTACATGTAATTATATTGCCTTGTCAGACTCTGCACGTCTTGGTGATGTTTTGCCCATAATTAGAAGCCTTGCACCCCTAAATGATTATGCGCGCACATGCGAGCACTAGTATGGGCGCCCGCCAAGTTGGTGCATTATCCGTCGCGAAGGCGCAGAGCTATTCTTCCCTGACCAGATGAAGTGACAATGGGCGCTGCTTCATGATGACAAGTCGCAGTCTGCGATGATTTCTCATTCGTAAGCCATTACCCCTTCGGGCCCTTCCGGCTTGTTGGTGAAGCACAGTGGCCAATCCCTGGGCACAAACCTGTTTCAGATCACTTCCCCCTTTGCCGTGCTAGCACGTAAAGCATCTTCGTCACCCAGTTCGCGTAAGTGCAGTATCACAAATCTACATCAAAATGACTTACGGAGGTAAAGATTCCTAATCAGAACTCCTGTTAGGCATTGTCGACTATAAAGACGAGAAATATTTCATCTGTGCCCCTTGTTGTCTGGCAAGTGAACGAAATGCCCGAACAAATCACTCTTTACACTGGAAAAGTGAGTAACTCTTTTTATCCGTACGCAAAACCTGGATGTGCTCAGACTGACTGGATACGAATGAAAATAGGCTTGTCCTGCCGGGCAGCGTGTAGGCACTTGGCTCTTTATCCGGGTCTGAACTAAACTCACAAGTAATGATGCAGGTTGAGATTGCACTCGTAGAGGCAGGCGCGGAGTTCACAAGATATGAAATTGACCTGCAGGACAAGCCGGATTGGTTCACCCTAAAGATCAACCCTGTAGGAAAGGTACGGACTCCTGCATGTCTAAGAAGCGCAACATGGGTAATGTACAATTCGTGACGCATTGCATAGATCCCAGCCATTTCGTACGGCGGCCCAAAAGTGCCTCCGGATCAGCCATCCCCCGAGTCCGTCAAGCTTGCAGAGTCGCTCGTTCTGCTCGAATTCGTCGCCGACCTCTTCCCAGAATCAAAACTTCTCCCAAAGGATCCTGTCCTGCGTGCGCGTGCACGCTTCTTTATAGATGCCGTGAACACTAAATTCCTAGATGGGTTCGTTGCCTTCATCATCAAGGGTGAAAACGTAGACACATTGTATTCTGGTGCTGAGACGATCCAGGCGTTGCTTCCCGATGACAAGAAGTTTGCGGTATCCGATGATTTCACAAATGCGGATGCTGCCATTGCCCCGCTCTTCATTCGTGTTATTGTGGTATTGAAGAACGATCTTGGAAAGGCGGCACCTGGTGAAGGGAAGAAAGCATTTGAAGTATTCAATAGTCCGCGATTCAGTAAACTCATGGACTACTTCAAACGTATTGAAGCACATGAGAGCGTCAAGTCGACATTCGACGAGGTAAGATGATTTCATATTATTCCCATCATTTGATTGCTTAAGACATTCCAGGAATACAACACAAAATCCTTCGAGAAATACTTCGGCAGGACCAAGGCTCCATGAAAAGCTGCATCAAAGTAAAGCTACATTATGGTAGTCCATGAGCGAGACGGTATCCTGCCTCTGCGCCATAGTCAAATATTACATAACAAATACTATATGTTTTGACGTTTTGAGGGGCAGCGGGATCAAACTTGGTTCTACACGTTGCAAAATCGAGCTAATCGCTCGATTTACGGAACCTGTGTTCGAACCAAGTGACATTGTAAAATACTGAATACCTAGCCCCAACAAATTCCCTGAGTGAGAAATGGGCGGATATTACGTTGTTTTCGGATAAACTTCGAAACTATGCCCAATTACAAGATTCCTAGGTCAATAAGTTCAGGATATTTATACATAACGTTGTTGTTTTCAGTGCCAATTTCCCCGCCTTCATATGTACTTCACGTAATATATCTGTACCCACTCCACTGGTCCCCTTTCTCTCTCCTCGCATCTTCAACAGTCTCGAAGTACCCATTTCGCACATCGCCTCTACTACTCTTCGGGTCACCGATAACTTCATCACGTTCCCCACGATCACGCCGTGCGTTCTCTCTACGAAGTAGTGTATGGAAGGCTGTCGAGCCTATGAGGCCGAAGACGATGAAGCCGATGGTGACGCCGTGGCCTAGTGTGTACCAGGGCGTGTCTCGGGCGCGGTACTGACAGCCCATTAATCATAAGCAAAGAACATTTCAATTTGAGGGAACGGATACTGACAGTATTGGAACTTATGGATCCCGTCAAATTACCACTGAGTTGTTAATCAGTAATCAGCAAGTAAACCAAATGTTGGAGGTGCAAAGAGATTACTAACAAGCCAATCGCTATTGCCATCGAGACACTGCGTTTGTAGGAGCCCTCGAAGTTATTCGCAACCCATGATACAGCGTTAGCTGGAATTAGTTTTGTTCAGCAACATCGCTACATTAATAAGTAAGAATAGGTGAACTCACGTATAGATGGGAAAATCCCACTGATAAGGTGGGATGATAAAGTTATTTTTTCGACACGGAATAAAATAGTGATAGACAATCTCACCATGCAGCTATGAACGTCGCGAAGTATGACAGCCCTGGGTGCCTTGAGAATATCAGAATTAAATATCCCGTCAAGGCTACAGGTAGTACGCGTAATATATAAGCATCCTGAGTGCATTTTGACCGTTTTTTTTAGAGCATCTCACCAGTTAAAGCCAATGCACTGTTAGGACGTAGAAGAACATCAGCAAGCGTATCAGCGGCCCTAAGCCTACGCAATACTCACATAGCGAAGTAACCACGTCTTCCCTTTCTGTCAGCCATGTAGCCGATAACGGCAGTGAAGACACATGCGATGAAATACACAGGAACGGTGAGTAAGTTCGCTGCCGTTGCAGTGAAACCTTGAGACAGCGTCAGGACGAAAACGAAAACTCGGCTGATAAATGTTTGTCGTCTTACCGAGCTCCGCAATTATACTAGGAAGGAACAACGAGAACGCATATAGCGGTCCATCCGTACCTAAAATAGACGATCGTGTCAGACCTATCTGTCAATTATTTTTGTCTCGAAGAAGATGCAGACCTATTATAACCGACGCGCCCACCCACGTCTTCCAATCCGTAAAGCTCTTACGGGCGTTCCGCCAATGCAGTTTCTCCCCCGAGGCAGAGAACTGATCGTCTGTTTGCAGACGGCGAATAACGTATGCGCGTTCTTCCTCGGTTAGGAAACGAGCGGCGTCGGGCCAGTCTTGGACTAGGAAGAAAGATGCGAGGCCGCAGATGACGGTGATAAGGCCTTCGACTATGAAGATCCAGGCCCTGTGATCATTGATGTATTTGGGTTTAGTACGTGAGAATTGTGTGTGAATGGTGAGGATTTGAGGAGTTATCGTACCATGCAGGCTTCCCACCGACACCCTCCATGTTTGATATAGCCGCCTGAGTAGGTTGCAGTGTCAAGCACTTATGAAGAGTGGTTTGGTATTTATGGAGACGTACGGCTAGAAGACCACCGAAAGCACCCGCGAACGTAACTGCAGAGTTGAATATCGCAAGTCGAAAGCCGACTTCATTTCGTTTGTACCAGCTGTCGATAGGTATATAAAGAAGCAGACTTAGTACCGACTCGATCTTGGCCAAACTCGAAGCTGCAACGCACCAGGACATGATGTACGCCGATCCAGGATAGAATCCAGCTTCGGCTACCCCAAGTAAAGTTCGGATTGCTAGGAAATATTGTTTGCTTGAGGTCATTACTAAAGCGAACGAAGGAACCGACCAAAGAGGCCTCCAAAGTTATGCACCAGGCCTTGGACAGTCTACCCATTTCAATGAGATTAAATCCACTATTCATGGGTACGGGAGAGACAAACCATCACAATACCCCAAGCCACCATCGTTGATGAAAGCCACGTCGAAGGCTTCAAGCGTTTCAAACACATGTTTGCAGGCGCCTAGATGTATTGCTTTCGTTATCTACTCGTATACGACGAGGTCAAGAGGAAGAGGATTGCTTGCCTCGAAGAACCAGTACGTCACAAAGAAAATAGACAAGCAGAGGAGATATTGGGTATCTGTAATATGCAAGTCGGCTTCCATCCCGTATAGCTATACCGCTCGAGTCAGAAATTCAATTACTTGAGAAGTAGAGAAACGACGTACTCGTGCATTCCCGATGCCCGCTCTATCGAGAAAACAGAGCAAATACAAAACACCGAGCCAAGGGATCAGAGCAAAGTCAATCTTCCGTACAAGTCGTTTCTCGTCTATGGCAGCAACAGTAGCGTCCTCTATGGACGCTGACTTATCGCTTTTGCAAGGCGATATTTCTACTTCTTCCAGCTGCACCTCGATTTGAGGCTTGTCGGTATCATCTTCAGACTTCATCGTCTTGAAAATAGGCTTGATATCGATATCGTCTTGCATCTTGAGATATGCGGTAAGGGCGCACTATCAGTCAGTCATGAGGAGAGCTTCAGTCTCTCTATATCTGTGAACTTGAAGGCAAACACCACGCGCCGAAGACGGCTTTAGGACTGAATTAGAACCGTGGAGTATCAAGAACATTGTGGCACAAATAACTCCTCGCCCTCGCACGAGGACAGGCTCTGGAAAAGTTAGGTTCAGGATGCCGGTCTTCGTCGGCTTCGAAATGTCAAGGCTTGCATTAATCGCGTCCTGGGAGCCCACGCCAGTGCATCGACAATTTAGCTGCCTATCAGCTGACGGTTCACCTGCCGCTAAGTTTTACTGAGCATGTTTGGAGAACCTTGATTGTGATATATATCGAGCACTTGATAGCGATTGGAAGAGCAGGTTAACGTCCAGATCATTGCAAATTTTCTTCTTCAAATCAGTGGACTTGCTATAAGCGGATATCTACGCTCACCACAAATGTCCCGGTGAATATCGAAGACGACGATGATCAAGCACACGTGCGGTTCTCAGATGTCTGACTGAGCGAATTTGAAAGTGAAAAAGGTTGCCCTCTTCTATTTTGCTTGTTCCTATTTATACGTGGACACAAAGGAACAAATATTTACGCCACGCAATTCAACGTTTTATTGCACGTCCGAATCCGCACGGGACGCTCAGGGAGAAGAGAGGACGCGAATTAAGAAGTGAATGAGGAGACGTGGTCTTCGACAACCTTCTTGATCTTCTCCTCAAGCTCTGCGCTGACCGTACCCTTTGCGATGTCCTCGAGCAATGCAGTCTGGCTGCTTGTCAAGTATGACCGGAATTCAGATTCCCAGCGAGTGATCTGGTCTACGGGAATGGGGTCGAGCTACGCGAGTATTTTTTAGATGAATTGGAGTTTGTAGAAATGAAGGTAACACTTACAAGACCGTTGACACCGGCGTAGATAATGGGAACCTGAACCTCAGTTGGGAGAGGCTGGTATTGGCCCTGCTCTATATGGATGTTAGAAATTGTCCAGTAAAAGTCGCCGTAAGGAACGTACTGAGGAGTTCAGTGAGACGGGCACCACGGTTGAGCAAGTAACGAGTCGAGGCATCGAGATCGGAACCGAATTGAGCGAAAGCTGCGACTTCACGGTATTGGGCAAGATATAACTTAAGAGAACCAGCGAACTTCTTCATGATCTTGCTGTAAATATAAATTTAATCATCAGAAAGTTGACAAATCACTAATTTTGTTTACTCACGTCTGTGCAGCGGAACCGACACGCGATACAGAAAGACCGACGTTGATAGCAGGGCGGACACCACGGAAGAAGAGCTCAGCCTCCAAGAAGATCTGACCATCAGTGATGGAAATGACGTTGGTTGGGATGTACGCCGACACATCACCACCCTGGGTCTCAATGATAGGCAAAGCGGTCAATGATCCACCACCGAACTTGTCGTTCATCTTCGCGGCACGCTCAAGGAGACGTGAGTGAAGGTAGAAGACATCACCAGGGTAAGCCTCACGACCAGGAGGACGACGGAGGAGCAAGGACATTTGACGGTAAGCGACGGCCTGTTTCGACAAATCGTCATAGATAATCAGAGCTATAAAGATTAGTTAGGAATTATCTCTACCACCAAAACTGAAACGGATATGCATACCATGCTTGCCGTTATCACGGAACCATTCACCCATGGCACAGCCAGAGAAGGGGGCGAGGTACTGAAGCGGAGCAGCCTCAGAGGCGGTGGCAGCGACGATGATAGAGTACTTCATGGCGTCATTCTCTTCAAGCGTCTTGACGAGCTGCGCAACAGTCGAACGCTTTTGGCCGACAGCGACGTAGACACAGTAGAGCTTCTGGGTCTCGTCGTTACCGTCGTTCCAACGCTTCTGGTTGAGGATAGTGTCGATAGCGACGGCAGTCTTACCCGTCTGACGGTCACCAATGATCAGTTCACGCTGACCACGACCAATGGGCACCATGGCATCGATGGGCTTAAGACCAGTCATCATCGGCTGGTTGACGGAACGACGAGGCAAAATGCCCGGTGCCTTGACTGACGCACGGCGACGTTCAGCAGCCTCAATGGGGCCCTTTCCGTCGATGGGGTTACCGAGAGCATCGACGACACGACCGAGCAATTTGGGTCCGACGGGGACATCGACAATCTGCCCAGTACGCTTGACGGTGTCGCCTTCCTTGATGAGACGGTCACTACCGAAGATGGACACACCAACGTTGTCGGCCTCCAAGTTCAAGCACATCCCGCGAACACCTGACGAGAATTCCACCATTTCCTCGGCTATTTTTCACACAGATTAAATTAAGAGACGTCATAAGAAATAAGTAGTAAGGATGAGGTACTACCTTGGACATTCTTAAGACCGTAGACACGTGCGATACCTATTTGTACGTAATAGGCATTTCGTTCGCATTGTCACTGACTGCCGCAACAGTAAAGTTGTAGTAGAAGTGCGCACCGTCACCAATGGTAAGAACACGTCCAGTCTCTTGCACGTCACCACCAAGAGAAGTACCAGCTATCCGTGATTCGAGGATTGAGGAGACCTCGGACGCAGCTATAGCGTGAAGTTGTACGTATCCCGAATGTCCGAAATTGGTATTTCAACGAAAACACAATACTTGAAGTCAGCAAAAATTGCAAAACGCACAAAATTTTACATACCGGGCTTAGCAGTTGCATACGAGCGTGCGGCAGCTAAAGAAGCGGCGCTCTACAGCGAATGAACGTCAGTTGAGGATGGATTGGGGCCGCCAGCGCAGAGGACGCGATGACCAACCTTTGGTGCCGCAGACCTGGCGGCCAGCACAGAAACATTTCTGAGCGCAATTCTATGCATTGCTGGCCGATAAAATATGGACAGCTCAGCAGTGGCAACGGCGACGATGGCACGAAGAGGATGAAGGGAGTTGAGAGAGAGCTCAAGGACTGCCAGTTGCGAATGAGAAAAACGCGTCGGGTGATCCCGGATGACAAATAATCCCTTTTCGTCTCTATTTCTCTGGTTCACCCCTTACGCTCGACTTTTCGTCTGGCCAGCATACTATGAACGTCCTACGAGGTATGTGTAATTTCTATTTCGTTGTGTTCGTTGCTAATCGCGACATTGAACAGCAAGCTGCTTCCGCCAGTCGGCCTTACGATACCTCAGAACCGCTTCGGTCTCGACAACAGCAACTCCAGTTGCATCTTCCTCAACCAGCGTACATCCCCCGTCGAACACACAGGATGCCCTGAACCACCTCCGTGCTCAACCCTCACACTACGTGATTGCATCTCTCATGGGCCGGCGATACTTGCTTGCACCGCGTGATCTGCTGACTGTCCCGAGATTGAAGTCTGCACGGGTCGGCGACCGACTGTCTCTATCACAAATTCATGAGGTCGGCTCACGTGATTACACTCTTCGTGGAGACGACAATGGCACGGAGGCACTCCCACAAGGAGTCGTAAATGTCGAAGCTACAGTCGTCGAGCATACTAAAGGCGCGATGGAACGCATAGTCAAGTTCAAGCGCAGGAAACATTACCAAAAGACCATCGAGCATAAACAGCCGTATACACGCCTACGTATTGGCCCCATTAGATTTGGAAGCCCAGTGGAGGTGGAGCAAAGAAAGGAAGTTGAAAGTTTATAGGATATCCCATTTAAGGCGACCATTCAATTTCCAGTTGGTTTGTACTGCAAGAGATCTTATAATGACCTCTTCTCTCTAGTCTTCCTATACTACATCCTTTACTGCTCATTCAGTACTCAAGCATTCTGCTTGTTGCTGTCCATTCAAAGCTTGTTATGCAATTAGATATATTAATTCATGTTCACTTTACATGGGTATCAATGACACTTAAGACCAGCGGTCGTAAGACAATTGCAAGCCTCCCAGGGACTTCACAACTTGCAAAACTGTAAGATCATGAAAGCTAATTAGAAGATTACAATTTGACTTAGGGAAACAAAATGTTATGTTGAACCAAGAGAAGCATCCATCTGTATAGTTGTCACTTCCACTTTGTTGCTAACCTTGCACGATACTTTGTGATGTGAAGCACATATCAAAATCGAATTTATCGAATTTGAAGCATTATAACCGCCATTCCTATCTCGTAACGGTACGTTTTGACAAGATAACAAACTAAAGAGCACCGAAGCAGGACATAGCTAAATCTCTCCCTCTTCCGGAGTCTCCTCACGTGGCGGCGGAGCTCCACGCGGAGGTTCAAGGCTATCATATCTTGCTCTCTGAAATGCATAAGATCAACATTTGTTCAATAAGATGAGCAATATACACACCTTTTCTGAGCGGTCCGAGTACTCGCTCCGTCCTCGTTCCCTTTTCTCGCCAGTCCCTTCCGCATGGTGTGGGTCATCCGGCGGTAGTCTCGGCATGGATGATCTGCGACGCTCACGATCATCCCGTTCCTCGCGATCTTTGTCACGTTCGGACCTGTCCCGTCCACGCTCATATCTCGTCCTATACCCATCCCGGTCTTTCTCCCTCTCTCTGTCGCGGTCCCTCTCCCTGTATTCACGGTCTCTGTCACGGTCGAGTCTGTCTCGATCACGATATTCACGTTCTCGACGGCCTTCATAGTCTGCCTCGTGGCCGCGGCGATGATGTTTTGAACTTCTGCCGTCCTCGCGTTCACGCTCGTAATCGCGATGGTCTCGGTCCCTTTCTCGCTCACGGTCTCTGTCACGTTGTCGTTCGCGGTCACGATCCTCCCGGCCGCTGTCCCGTAAAGAGGGCTCTTTTCGCTTGCGGCTGGTTGCCGAACCTCCGTCTTCAGACATCTCACGTTCACGCAAACGTTCCTGTATAACAAAATGAAATCAGCTGAACGGTCATGTATCGTATCAAATAGCTGACTTTTTGTCGTTTTATAAACTTGGCGAATGCCGCACGACGGCCATCTTCCTCTAGCGCTTTGTATTCTGGTAACTCTTGCATAAGAGGAACAGCGTCTTCGAAACTCAAGTTCACGTCAATCGCGTCCGGTAACTTCTTCAGAGCGTAGCGAAGATCGTCCTGCATGTGCCTCTGCTTGCGCTCTGCTCTACGACGCTCAGCTTCTTGACGCTTGACAGCCTCACCGTGAAGCTAAAACGCATCCGTTAAAAAACAAACAATCAGACGAAATGGAAGAAAACACACGAATTCGTAAATTTCTTTCAAGTGATCATCATTGAGGTCCTGTAGCTTTTCGTTGTCCTTTCGGGCAGTCGTGATAATGGAAAGGAAATCATCCTCTGTCGTTTCCGGCTTGACTTCGAAGACTTCCTCGTCCTCCTTCGATACTTTTCGGATTGCACTCTCGACGAAAGCGATTTTTGCATCCAGCTCTTGATCGAGTCGGTCTACGACGTCCCAGAAGAGTTCAAGTGGATTCGACCCAGGTTTCCCAAGTAAGTTCAAGTAACGCTCGTCTTCTTGGAACTCGGGATATACGTCCTTCCACTTGCTCCGTGCCTTGATGCACCCAGTATCAACTAATTCACGCAAAACAGTCTTGAAGGCCTCGCGTGCTTTACGTTCTCGACGCGTTTTCTCGACATTCTCACGTCGCATCCTGTCCTCGAACTCACGTTCCTGAACTCGCGCATAGTCTTCGAACGCCAACAGGATGTCCAGTGTCGGGAGGCGTTGTAGTTCTGCATCGTTTGCCCAAGCTTCCGACTCCAGGAGTGCATTGTACGCACTCCGCCAACGTGTCAGGACATCGACTTCTAGTTCTTTGAACAAAGCGACGACTTTGCTAACGCTTCGAGCACGCACCGCTCGTGCTTCCTGGAGCTCCCTCTCCCCCAGTTCATCTATGTACTCTTCGAAGATCATTCTACGTTCTGACTCGACCTTTGCTTGCTGCCAAATCGGATGCTGAGCAAATAGGCGATCCGCACTAGCGAAAGTGGAATAGTGGAAGACATTCGGATTACCTTTCAGCATATTACGAATAGCTGGCCTACTTTTCGCAAGTCGGGCTTCACGTTCTTCACGTTCTTTTTCTTTCAGGCCATCCACGTACTTAATGAAATAATCAGTCGCCTGGACGTTTATTTACGATAATAGACGACTCACCTTTTGCCAACAAGCCTTCTTCTCCGCCAGAGAATTGAGTGCCTTGTAAAGTGGATCTGTGATAATTGCGCGCATCGTTTGGTCCCAAGTCCACTCAGCATTAACACCTGCCTTTCTCAACAAATGCGTGAATGCCTTTTCACCCTCCTCAACAGTCGCAAACCCGTTGTGCGGAATAACAGGGTCATCTGGCAGGCTTGGGCGCCCGGGAAGGATGCCTGCAGCAGCTGGTGTGAACGGTAGTGCACCTGTGTGCTGTCCGACAGCGGTGGTGATAGGGACACCATTAGGCGGTTGCTGGTTCTGTTGTAAGGAAGGGTCTGCACCACCCAGAGGGACTAAAGCACCTTGTGTTCCCGGGGTAAAGCTAGGAGGTGCCAAGCGTGGGTTAGCACTGCAACAAATATCGGAATAGTTTAGTTCCTGCTGCAGAATAATAAGATAAAGAACGTACGCTGGTTGGGTGACTATATTCTCCTTCTCGACCTTCTCGAGCAACAGCAGGAGCTCGTCTGGCATATCCCATTTTGATTCTTTGCTTTCAGTCTTTCGTGATCCTTGTCAGAGAAGTAAACGGACTAGACAGGGAGATCATACATTGTAATAGTATTTGCGTCCGCCAGAGAAATACTCCTTCCACTGCGTTTGACTCAACGCTTTCTGCAAGAGTGTCAGCTAAATGCCTCGAAGTGAAAGGCAAAGGAATATCAGACCTCAAATGGCGTTTTCAAAGCTGTAAATGTACGGAAGCTGTAAGAACCTGGAAAGCAGCTACAGAGTACACTGAGAAACGTACCATCAGGCTTCTCCCAGACGCTCTCTTTGGAGCTCGTATTGAACCAATACGTACGCCCCTCAGCATTTCTGTGCTCCGTCTAAAACTTGGGATAAGTTTCCAACGCCAAAAGCAAGGAATTAAGCCTCACCCAAATGCCGGACATCGCCAGCCAGTTTGAAGAGAGTGTGTGTTCTGAGTGGCCAGAAACAGTGTGACAAGACAGACTTGTGACGACGCCCATCACGGGCGTGATTACCATACTTATTGTGAAAATCGAGATTACTAGTTTTGTCTTTCCAAAGAACCAAACCAAAAGTAACATAAATAAGCTAAGGCGAGTATAAATGGAGTAATTGTACTGTATTAACAGAAACTGCACAGATTAAAACATGCTAAACATTCCCAATGATCACAAAAGAGGTCGAGATATCCGTATAATTTGTAGTCCGCAGTGCGCACTAACCAACGCAAATCATATGTACTCACAATAGAACCAAAGGAAGGCAAAGTTCACCTGGAGCAAGCATGAATAGTGTGAATTTATATACAGAGGATAACGAAGCCATAGACTCTACAAGAGCACCCGTACGGTCTACCCCAAACGCCATGTGCGCCGCTAGTATTCCTCTACCTTAGTGGTCGAGGTGGCGATAACGAAACTATTTAGCGAAGATGAATCGGATGTGGATGTGTCGAGCTCCGTTTCGAATTTAATGAAATTGGTGGCGGCAACCGGAGATGGAGCAGGCGGCAGGATGGAGATGTCGATAATTTCGTAGGTTGCCAATGAACGGCGGACTCTTGGCCAAGCCATTGGCGCGATTCGAACGGGTCTCAGTATGCCGTTTACACGAACGTTCACAGCGAATGCGATTCGTGAACGCGGAACGGCGAAGAGTTGAGGAAAGACTGATTGTGCATAATTCAATGCTTCCTGGTAGTTTAGCCTTTTGAGCGAATGTTGAGAAGAGGCAGTTCGCTTTTGGGACATACCTCGAAGTCATTTGCAGGCTGGACATAAACCATTTCCTGGTCGAGACGGTACGTGATCAGCTCCGCAGGTGTCTTCCTTGACTGTGTCTGCTGTGCAGGTTGCTTGGCGGAGGAGCGGAACGTAAGGATTGGAGAACGCCTCAACATCTTAGAACGGTGAAAATTTTTTAAACTGCTCTTTGATGCACTTTTTGCTCGAGTAGAGGGGAGGCTGTTGGTAAAAATGATGCGTCGCCGAAGGCTAGTCTTTTATATCGCGGGAGGTTGGCCCATTGGCGCCTTTGAAGTGACCTCGCCACATAGCCCTAGCAAAAATTGAAGCACCCCGGAAGGCAGAGCTGTAGCCTAAATACATCCGAGTAAATAGGTATCGCGCTTTACTCGCCAGCACAAGTTCGGCCCCTTCCACATAACAATGGCGCAAGCTGAGATCTTCGGTATAGTCATATAATCCTGAATATTTCAATGTTGGTGCACAGGAATTTGCACTGCGTTTAAGCGCGGCCATCTGGAAGTTTCTTAAGTCCATAATGCATTTATGAATGCATCGGGAATGCAGTCGCCCCAATTGTTCTTCCAGGCGGCCTTGCAATTTATTAATACCATTATCTATAGTACAATCTAGCATGCACATTGTCAGCGATGGCAAACAATTGACATGTCAAGTGGGATCTCAGTTGTTATCGGTGTCAAGCATCAATCTAGAATGCACAAGTCGAGCGACAACCGCGCCATTGACTGGGATGTCATTCCCTTGAAATCCCTCTGGATAGTTCGGGAATTGCGGTACATTTGGCCGGGTGAAAGTTCTGCGGGAATCCGATAATCAACACCAATCTCTACGCGCTTTGGAAAGAAAGTAGACAACTTACACGTTATCCCAGACTCCATAGTGAACCATTCCTAGAGCACGAGTCGTATATTCATAATCAAATGCAAGACCTTGGGGGTAGAAGAACTCTATAACCGTCGATCGTGCAGTCGGGCGCATCCAAAGGAGAGACGTTAAACCGTTCCCGTGGACACCCATCATGATCTAAAAGAGAGATTAGCTGGAATCAAATACTCGAAAAGATTTATTAGGGACGCATACAGTTGTGCGACCAGCGAGCTGGAATTGCTCCGCCCTTGAAAGTTTGTCCATGCTGACGACATTCACTTCGTAACCATATCTGTCTCGAAGCTTGTACAACTCTTCAACAAGCTTCTCGTGGTCTGCTTGACGAAGCATTCGACGTCCCCATCCCTGTCTCGAGATATACGTGATCACGAACTTCTGGTTATCCGCAAGCGCGCTAGGATCAGCTCCAGTGATCCATTGTTCAGGAAGCCCACTAAACTCGAGGACACTTTTCCGAATAGGTGCCCACCAATGAGCACTACCACGAAGGTCGAATGCGTTACTAGCGGTCCGCCAAGTAGCTTTGAATGGGTCTCCTTCGCCCGCAGATGCGCGATCTGCAAGAACAACGCGGTCGAAAACAAACGGCATGCCCATTTCCGCACGTGTTGCCCATTCCTCCATGAATTCCATGCTGAGGGATGGGAAGGCACCACGCGTCACCCATTGGTTCATAGACGCGTAATCACGCCATTGACCAGAATTGATATGTCGGAAGAACATACGTTTCGGCGGAGGCAGAGTCGTATGACCGTCGGTGGAAATGAACGGATCGAGAGACGAGTATGTACGCCACATACCAAAGAGCATTTCTGCTGCCCAGTGACTGCGGATGGTTAGAACTGCTCATAAACTATGCATACTCGAGAACTTACTAGTAGTGCGTTATGAACTGTTTTGGGTCCGTGTTCATGAAATTGACGCCATCAAATCGTGATACTGAATTAGTACGGAAAAGCCGCTGAGCTTCATCTGGGGAGATTATGCGGATATCACTATCAGAGGGTATTCTCTGCAAAATCCCAATGTGGTCAGAGTTCGGCCGCCAAGAATTGATCAATATCGTTATACCTTAGCTCTCTCAATGGGACCGTTGAAAATAGGATAACCCGAGGATGTTAACAGCCTCAAATCCGGAACTTCCTGCGGAGTTGATGTAACAACAAGAAGGGTCCCATTCATCAAAAACAAGTTATCGAGGATTGTCCAACCTGAAGACCATGAATGTCAGAAGTGCAAAAGACCCGCTAACTGGCAGGACAAATCGCAGACAACCACTATCGAAGCTGTCTTTTGTGCGACATCTAGAATACCCGGGTGTCCATGAAAGTGGATACATACCAGGGACGTGAGCAATGATCTTCGTTTCTGGGACAGCTTTTGTCCATGAAAGCCTCGGTTCTGGATAGCGAGTGACACCGGGCGCTGTAGAATTGGTCTTCAAAGAGCTCACATCCGTGCTCGTGGGGTCCAGTGAAGCAAAATATGAGCTTTGCCTGTTGTGAGTCAAGTAGAGCAACGAGAATAACAATGCAGTGAGGAGAACAAGCTCTCGAGATGTGGGGACGAACTCGAAGGTGCGCATCGTCGCATATGACACGGGGTCGTGTCGAGGGGAGGTTCAGGAAGCCAGATGTTGGCATCTAAAATAGTCGAGCCATCGGTTCAGACGCTCGGACATTCTCTCTACTTAAAGGGTAAATAGAGCGCAACCGGGTCCGGGTGATCTAATGATGAGAAACCGAAGCGATTGAGTTGGGCGGAAGTAGTCGAAGTCGCTCCAGTGAAGCACCCTGAAAATCCTACTCCACCCCGATTATCTTATCCGCTAAAACAGGGCATTTAGACGACGATGTGGAGTGTGCGATGTCGACCTTGAAGGATACAGCAGCAAAGTCTAGGGAATCGGCCTGCGGCACTTGCTACCAAAGACGGCGTGAATACCTGTTTCGTTAATTGATGCAATCACGAACTCCCGCATGAGACGGCGATTCTGCACCGTTGAACTTCCCAACAAGGTACAATTCATGCCTCAACTGAACTTCTAGTATCCGACAATGGCATAATATCATCACAGTAACATGTGCTTTGCCGTGCTGATCCGAACGAGTGACCCTCTTCGAAGTTCGAAGTTTACTCCGAAGGCTTCTTGACAAATGAAAGACGAAAATGAGTAGATTGCTTCCTCAAAGGTGAATTGAATCGGACACATGCCTTCGGATATCCTCAGAGGGGAATGGCGCATGTGGTCGCAGATTGAGCATACGGGGAGAAGATGAAAGTGACGGGCGCATAACTTTTCGCTATTTATAGCACTTTATTTTTGACTTAGTGAAATGCGAGTGTAACTACATGTGGCCAGTTGGAGCTAACCAAAAATGGGCCGTGGGACTCAGGGCCTGGATGCGAAAAGTACGCGACTGTTTATACTCTTTCTCTACCTTACCAAAGTTGGAGATGACAAACTCTGACAAGCTCTTTGCGGAACCGGCAGTAAACTTAAAGTTGGTAAACGTGATAGGCGACTTTTCCTTAGAAAATACATGTTCCCCTCCCCCAATCCCAACTAACACCCAACTTAACACCAAACATAACAGCCCAAACTTACCCTAAACCTAATTCGGGGGGGCTCTGCCCCCCCCAAGCCCCCCCTCCTAACTTCTCACTCTGTTTATGACAAGGGCCACCATCTGCAAGAATTATGTAAGTGGTTGGTCAGGGTCGTCCCTAATTGGGCCGTGGGATTCAGGGCCTGGATGCGAAAAGTTAAAGAGTGAGTATAAACCCGACATAGTGTGACGTGGCAGTCTAACCCAATTGGGATGTAAACAATGATAGCAAAATACAACACTCAGTATCCCAAAAATACAGATTTGAGCTGCATAGATAGATTAAGCTTATCTGACCTACAAAAGTATGTTTTTAATTTTAAAAAATATTGAGATTTGAGTGACTTATTTCCAAAAAAATAAAAACTTTTTTTTTAATTGCCAAATGCACAGAAATGCAATTTAGTGAAATTTTCAAAAAATTTTCTCAGTTCTTTGCCGCTTCGGCAAAACTAATATTATATAATACTACTATATATAGCGTCTTACTAATTATGACCAATATAATATTGGTCAGCATTTCGGCTATTTATTATAAGAGTCAGAGGCCTAAAATAAATACTTACTCTAATGATAAATATTCAAGATACAACCAAGTATTATCAATATATTGTTAATTTGTAGTACTAATAAAAGCTATACAAAAGATTTCTAAGACCTTTTCTGTATGATTAAAAAAAAGGTCAATGTCCACAGCTCAATTTTTGTCAAAGGGTCCTTCCTAAAGGGGTAAGTGACTGTGCTGTGACTGATGTGACACCAGTCGCGTCTTTTCCGCACCCGGACCCTGAGTTCCACGGCCCTAATTTGGTTAGCTTGAATTGGCCACTTACAAAATGACTTGAATTTCACTAAGTCAAAATAAAGTCTTTTTCTAATGAAAATACATGTTCCCCTCCCCTAATCCTAACCAAATCCCAACCTAACACCTAAACCTAACAACCCAACTTAGCCCAAACCTAATTGGGGTGGCAGAGCCCCCCCAAACCCCCCTCCTAACTTCTTAGTCTGAGAACTGCCACATAGGTATTATGTAAGTGGCCATTCAGAGTTATCCCTAAATAGGCTGTAGGACTCAGGGTTTGGGTGCAGAAAATTAAAGGTCTGTGACACTCTATGTCAGGTTTATACTTTCTCTACCTTAGATGATTAACACTACTTTCTGAAGAGGAAGGACCTGAAAATCTTGAAGCAGGATTTTACCAGTACATAATATAGGAAGAGATGTATGAACAATTAATACAGGTCTAAGATAGTAATTTCCTCAAGCACGTGCTAACCAAGAGTTTAAAGCAATGACACATTAACTAACTATAGTACAAACATGTGTAGGTACAGATATTTTCGAATGGGTAGATCTGTATGAATGCCTAACTAGAGCAGATTTCTCTCACAGAGAGGCATCTAAGTATAACAACATTTGCTGGTGGTGTTGATTCAACCCAGTGTCAAATTGAATGTAGCTTAGACAATGTTAAGCATAGAACACATTATACAGCCAGGTGCTGAGGCTGGCTTTCCTCTTCAATCCAAGGTATTTCAAATTTGACCTTAACGTGACATAAGCCAAAATGAAAACGAAAGCAGTATGAAGGCTTACACTGACCTCTGAAACGACCCGTTTTATTCTGTTCACCATAGAGTTATACAGCTTTTCCATGCCAAAACGCAAGATATGAGGCATACATTTCGAGCAAGCATTCGAGGCTGCATCCCTTAGTATCTCTTGAGAGAAAACTTCTTTCGACATAGGGCCTTTAGTATGTACATCCTGTTCTGCAGCTTTGATCATGTCCCAGCACCACTTTGACCAGCGAAATGAGCGTCCGTCAGGACCTAAGAAATTGTTCCCTGATGCACACTGGGGACAACTAATAGTACTTATAATGTCCGCAAAATACACCATTCCGGAGAATAGCCTTGCAAGCTTCTGCCGAACTTCAGCATGGTATCTAAACAGGCAAATGACAGCTTTCCCAGAAACGTCATGCAGGGCATTGAGGAATACCGCGTTGCGAGATATCGCATCCATTAGGTCAATTCGTAGGGATGCTACCGCACTTGCTTGTATCTCTTCTGACAAGCGATGTGTGTAGGCAAGAGCGAATGACCTCGAAATAGACTCGTCATCGCTCGAACAGAGATCGGAGATAACGTTTGTCGGATTAAAAAGAGGGAGATTCATCTCGTATTTTTTCGTCGCAAGCAGAACGCCAAATGCCAAATGCCACATCCACGGATACGATATTGGGTACATTGGCTGGACAGATATAACGAAGAAGTGCGTCGACCACGGGACCTGGCTCAGAGACATCGACGACTGGTAGGACATGCTCAATGTCAGACTCCTCAGCGGCACGTGGTTGAGGCAAAGAAAACATGACCTTGAAGATTGTGGAAACCATTGCGAGATTGCCTTTTAGGACATGGAAATCATGACCGTCGCTTGACCGAATGATGAGGTCGGCGTAAACATTAGCAATGAATGGCTCATCGACGCGGAAAGGAGCTTCGACAGTATTTGAATCAGTCATCAGTGGAAGGTAGGGACGAACAAAGGTAGTGAGTTGATGTATCGAATACTCTACGTTAAGACACAGGGACCGAGGTCGATGGGCCACTGGGGTCTGGACCTGTTTCAGTGTTCGGCTGGAAGAAAAAAGCCTCAAAAAAGGTAATCGGATGATGCCGAGGATGATGTAATCTACGCGCTTCTATTCCGCCTCGAGCTGGTTTTTCAAGCGACAGAAGTGCCGTCTCATACCCCCTCGCTCTCACCGCCTTCCCCGCTTCCACCCCCGTCCCGCCCGACGTCGGTCTCGCTATCTGTTCGGTGCTGAGGCCGTTGTCGCTCTCTGACGAAATCTACGCTCTTTACTCTGTCATTCTTTTGGATTACCCTCATTTTCTATTGACTCTCCACTCTGGTCGGCCGACGTCTACCGCAAGGTTTATTTATCACGCTATAAGGCTAAGGCATGGCTTCGGAAAATGGTCAACTCGTGAAGAAGGCGCGTATGCTGCGGCATTCGCAGCGTAATGTGCCGAATATTCTTAAAGCGAGGTTTTCGCCGATCCGTCCGACGACGACTGATCCGCTTGCGCCTACAACGACTCCGGCGGCTGCTTCAAACCCTCCTGCGCAGACCGTTACTAGTGCTACTCGTGAGCAGATAGTATTATCTTTCGGTCTGTGTACTTGCTAACGTTCAGTCAGCGAATCCAGTTCCGCCAGTAGCGACCACTCAACCAGTGGTCCCGCCGTCAGCAACATTGGTGACGCCGCCGGTCTTGACTACTTCGCCATCAGCTATCGCTATTACACCGTCAACCACCCTAACGATCGTTAGTACGACCAGTACGATTCCAACAACCACGTCTCTGCTGACTCCCACGGTAAATTGACTGAATTCTTTCTCATTTATCAAAATTTAATCGTTCCTTATTACGCACTTATTTATAGACGACTCCGTTAATCACAACTCCAAGCTCGCAGACGACCGCTATTGTTACAAGGACGCTTAGTACTAGTGCGCATGACATAGCTTCAAGTGCGGCTTCGGCAACGGCAACTTCGACTTCGTCCTCTGGAATTAGCACGGCTGGCATTATCGGCATAGCCGGAGCTGGTATTGTTGGCGCTGCTGTGTTGGCAGGCCTTGCTATGTTCTTTATGGTATATTATCGTTTATTATCTGGGAACTACTTCCAAAGCTGATTGCATTGACAGCGCCGCATGAACCGCAAGGAGGATGAATTTAACCCTCACGAGTTCAGGCGTCAGTCGGTAGTTCTAAAGGATGACAACGCATCTCTGCATCGCGGAAGCAGCAATGGTCATGGGCCACGCCCTCCGACGATGTTTGAACGTCATCATCAGAATATTACCGCCTTTGGTGTGCCTCCGCCCAATGGCTATCAGCCGCCAATGCGGTCGTATAGCGCACCCAATGCATATAATGATCTCTCAGCAGTACAACCGCCGCCTTCTTTCGTGCCTGGTATGTATATGCCGTCTTCCACTGCATCGCAAGCTCCGCCGGCACAATACGCAAATGTGTCGCCATTCTATAACCCGTCAACTCAGTCGCCAGTAGGCTCTCCAGCGACAGTCACTTCCTACGGTGGAGCTGCTTTTGATGCCCAGGGTGACGGTGTTGTTCGTGCACCATCCAATGCAGCGGCATCAATGTTGTCGCGCAATAATTCGCTGCAACAGTCTCAATACCGTGCTGAGTCCGATTATGCAGATCTCACTCGCGCAAGCGTGACGCCCTTCCAGGCGGCTCAATACGAAGCAATTTCAAGGCAACTGAATATTCTGCCACCCAAACCGCTTCATCAGGTCACTGAGGCTGAAGAAGAAGAAGAAGCCCGCCGTGCAGTTAGAGATAGCCTGCCTCTTCCATTCCCTGATGAACCTACTGCAAGGCCCTCGACGGAAGCGTCACCCTTCGCGGATCCGCATGTGGGCTCTTCTGTTCAAGACACGAATCACGCTGCCGCGGATGAAGATGACGGACAGGTCAACTCAACGATTCCTTCCATGCTTGTACCCGGTGCGACGCCCTCGCCTCGCATAACTTCTCAACCTCCGTCTCTCCCTGAGATACGTATGATGAGCGGCTCATTCTCGCCTGTGGCATATAGCTTCCCCGTAACATCGTCACCACGCAAGGGCTCATTCGACATTCACAGCGGCCGTGCTTCTCCAAAGGTCGACTTACCTCCTCTCAGCCCGGTCACGACGTCCCCTCGACGCGCACAGTTTGTGGAGGGACTTGAAGCTCGCACACATGATGGCCATGAGACTCCGGTCGAAATCGACTTTGTTGCGGATGATAAGTCCTCTGCTAAGACGGAGGCTAAGCCCGAATCTGCCAAGATGAACGCTTCTCCCAAGCGTCCTGAGACTGTTTATGACGATGAAGACGCTTATGGAGGCATTTAAACAACAAATCAGCTCAATGTTCTATGTGCATGCATGTTGCGCGTTGAACATTGAGCGTGTGCTCCAATTCTTGTGTACAAGTACCGTGTTACCGACAATGATCGCTGGGTGGGCCGGCTCCTGACCGATTTAAACGAACTGAAAAACTTGTTCTTGGGCGTTGACCGCTGTGCGCTGGCTGGCTGCCGTATTTGTTTGTTATTTTGTGCCTTTGCGTTTGATTGCTGTTTCTGTTCATCGGGCTTTTCTTGTGCTGTTGATGAGTTATACCTTACCTGTCCGTCCCCTTTACGTTCCACCCACCCCGTGTTACTTCGCATGCATTCTTTTCGCCCAGACAGGTTGCGGGCCACCTCCCGCATATACCTCTTATCCGTCATGATACACGCTGTCCCAACTCTTGAATCTTGACCCTGTTTCAAGTGTCGGTGTCGTGATTTGCTATTGAGTTACTTATCTCTGGAAGCTTTCGTGTGCTTCTTTTCCCTCCTCTTCTTTTTGAAGTTTTTGTTGTGTATGTGTCGTTGGTATGCTTTTTTTGCTTTGTGACAACTTGGGCGCCATTGTGTTTTCTTATGTTCATTTTCTGTTTCCAAGGAAATATAGGATTTCTCTTTTCTGCGTTTGTATTGGATGCTTGGTTGAGGGGGGGACGAATTGCGGAATTGAATGTGATGTGCAAGGCTTCGAGCATGGGAGTTTGTACTGAATTAACCCGGTATCACGGTTCGATGATTGTGGCACACCACAGAGACCACACAATCACCAGCATGATCACATTCGCGTCTTCAAATAGGAGCTACATCACTCGATACCCTCCTCAAACTTAGTGTAAACTCTCATGTGTGCTGAGCCATCTTCCAACAAATGAATGGTTCCTACCTTCCTTTCGGACGGAGTGATCCGACGAATAGACGTCGAGCGGAGTCCCGTGTCATCGTGTGTAATGCTAACTGTATTAATGTGTAATGTAATGTGTTTCTGTTTCAACCATCATCTATCCTCATGACTACCAGAATTCATCCTGGCTGTCGAGTGTTATTACTTAAAGAAATGTGCGCTACGGTCCTGCGTCTGTTGTGTCCATCCGCTCGCCCACTACTAGCACTTCCAGTTGACTGGTTGTTTGCGGGTCCTCTCCTCTCCCGTTTCATATATAACATATGAGCTCGAGAGAGCGGGAAGGCGAGGAGGGCGATGCGCGGACCGAATTCCGGTTATGCGACGACTTCACTACGACCATTACCACTATCGGATGTTCTGGGTATTCTGTTATTCGTTCTTCTTGCTTGTACGATTTTCCTGATAGCGACGGCGCAAGTGGTGCAGAATGTAACGTTGCAGAATACGGATGATGACCTTATCTATGTTCCTGAGCTTTGTGTGGGTGGGGAGGCGTGTCTGGGTGGATGGTACGTGCCATCACTACCATTTCTACCACTTTGGGATATTGGAATATTGACGCTAAAATTATGCCTGACTATCTTTGCTGTTTTTATTTCGGTCTGTAGGATGGTCGTTGATCTTGCGGGATCGTCAAACGGCAGTGTTACGACCACGAATGGACCTGATGTCTCGTTTGGGAACATCCTTCCCCAAGTGTATCTTACATTCCGAGGTGCGTTCCGTTTCTCAAGCTCATTTTGAAGATAGAGCGTCATTCATTAACGTTTTGACGCTCTCCAGGGTCAGCTCTCTATGTCAAGACCTCCGACGTCTCAAATGCAACCGCCAACTTGACAGTATCGTCTCTACCATCTGGTACGCTCGAGAGCAGGGTATTCGAGCCTTCACGCGATTTTTGGGCGTTCGAGGATCTTGACGAGTCCCAGTTGACGACGGTCGCGGTTACTTATCTCCCCGACCAAGATGGAGAAGGACCTTCGCGGCTGGATATTGACTTTGTGAAAATATCCGTGTCGGATGCTAGGTAAGGATAAGAGGATATCATTGAGGTCTTATTTTGACATTTTGCTGATACTTTACGATGTAGTGTTACGTCGTCCTTCCTGCCTTCACCAACCCTCCCCACTTCGGCCTTCACACCCAGATTCGCACCACCCTCAACTCTCTCCGCTCCACCACCCACCATAACGAGCTCCTCCTTGCGTCGTCAGCCGACAGGAGCTATTGTCGGAGAGACCATCGCAGGCTTCGTAGTCGCACTTCTGGTCATCACTCTTATAGTGGTCTTCGTCTGGCGTCGCGATCGCCGCAAACGGGCTGAACAAGAGCGTAAGGAGACGAACGCGTTAAATGCGGCTCAACAGATCCTACCTGTGGCGTCTAGGAGTAGGAGAATGCAGCAGCTAACGCCGCTGAGGGTATAGAAGGTATAGAGGGTATGAGATTTGAGGAGCTAATCGGGAGTAACTCATGCGGCAGCGGCAGCTTGGAGATACACAATTATATCCTGCCAACGTCAATGCTTTACGGACGAGTGGGACGAACGGACGGAGCTGTGTCATTGATACTAGCCGGATATTTGGTGATGGCCCTTCTGAACCATTTGCATTTGCTTGGCTTGTACTCTCTCCGGAGTCGGCTTGCACATCCGGAGATATGTGTTCATATGCGCTCCGTGGCAACTGCGGCGACCACGCAACTCGGGCTACCCGTAGGCGTAGTGGAAGTGGATAAGTGTACCGCTAGGACAATAATCTTGAAGTTGCGGCCTACACTAGTGATACTATAGTCATACACATGAAATGTTCTAACGCCAGCATGTCTAACGATAATCCTAGCTATGTCAACGATCGAATCAAATTGTGCAATTTATAAAATAATAAGAGACTGGCACACGACCCTCGAAAAGCGAAAGGGGAATAACCCGAAACTACAACGCCACACAGCGACCATAACTGCCATACCTAGCCTGCTTGCACCAACACCAGTACACACGGACAATCACAACGCGCTAAAATCCCATTTCCAGACTACGGATAGACCCTTTGGGGACAGATTCCGGATGTGACTTTTGTAAATTGTATGTGTCCAGGTTTCCATTCATCCTTATAGGCTTCCGACGACCCGCTTATGAGTTGCTCTGGACCAACGACCCTCCAGCATCCCTTCCTTATTCACCCTTCGCCAACGTAAATAGAAATCCAACATATTGCTGTGCCGGACATACAAAGGCACGAGACAAGGGATTTACCAACCAACCTGCACGCCACACAGGGCTTTCTCATCCACCGCCGTAACGTGCTCGCATGTCGAATTCCACAACCTCGGCGCCGTCATCTACTTCATCTACACTTTCTACACTTTCTCACATTTCGCTGACGCCTTCCGTTACACAATCTTCTTCCTCCGACCAACCTACGGTGTCGACCGTAGAGCCGACCGTGGGCTTGAGACCTCATCCGCATACAGACGCTGCGGCGATTGTAGGAGGCGTTGTAGGCACGTTATGTGGACTCGCCACGTTATTCCTCCTCGGCCTGCTTTTCTGGAGACGGCGTAAGCGACGTGTGCTTAGGGAGAAGCAGATGGCAATCCGCCGTATGACCATTGTCGGGCCGCCATCGTCCGATTCGTCGTCCGCACCACCCACATTACCCTACCCCTTCACTGGGCAAGGACATCGTCCGGAATCCTTCGACGGCACGAGCTTTGTCGATATCGAAATGGCGGCAAAAAGCATTGGGTCCTTGAAAGATGAGGAAGCTGGACTTCCATGGTCGCTACCTCCTCCTGTACCTACGCCTACCCACAAACTTCAGCGCCAACGGGCTCACAGAGTTCCAAGTCGAGGGCGGAAGCCAGTTCCTCATGCTGGATCAGACTCGGCAAGTCTCTATAGCTCGAAACAAAGCGAGGTTGGGGAAGGCGATCGAATGATCCTGGTTAATGGCGTGTATGTTCTTGCACTGGAACATGAGAACGAGAACGAGGCCAAGATCATAGAAGAAAACCCCTTGCCGCCGCGCCCGCAGGACTGAGCATGACACACTAATGTAGGGGCGATCCGATTCACGCGATACCTCAAAATAAACTACCCGCAGGACGGGGGCGTTAGCTTTCGTATTTGAGCGAAGGCATGCACTATTACATCCCACGCTAGTTCGTGTAATTCCTCGCACCGACGGACGTCACGGTGACTTATTGTAATTAGTAGTAGTACCTCACCTTGCTTCGACTTCGCGCTCTTGCGCTTTTCTTGGTCCCATCAATAGACACCGAGTCGTATATTTATTGTGTTATTTATCGTCCACACTTTGTTGCTTATTGCTGTGACCTATTAGCATACCTTCCCCTTCTTGATGATTCCAGCGAGCTTGAGTATTTGCTAGCTAATAGTTGTGATTCCTATAATTCACTATTGATGAAGACCAATTAGTATTCATGCCTCTTTGATAGCAATATGAAAAAAAAGTCAGATCTACAGCCGAAGCTGCTAACCCGAGTTCTCGTCAATGCCCCAGCGCACATCCCATGAGGCGGGCCTGGGGCTCTTAGAACAAGGATGAACAAGGCATTTCATCGCTCATACTGAGGGAAAGAAACGGCAATGGCTCACCTTAGTTCTCCTGACGTGAATGTACTAGTCGCACAAATTCATTGTCTCTCACACACTAAATGAAATGAGACTGCACAATTTTCTGTCTATTAGTGCATGTTAAGTGGTACTAGGACAGCCGTGAAATTAAATAGCCTTCGCTTTGACGAGTTCTGAAAAGCATCGTAATCAGAAGCTTTCTACGATACATGTCAAAACATGACTTACGGTCGACCTCTGCAAGTGCATTATTGAGAATTTCGCGCTGGGTCCTTTCGTCACCAAGTTTTCCAAGTACAGAGTCCACGATAGTTTTCGTAAGCTGCGCCTGCTCATTCTCCTTCTCCTGCTGCTCGTAGCGAACCCAACTGTCAAGAACAGCCTTAAGTTCTGATGCAAGGGCAACACGCTGGCGTTGGACAAAAGCCTCGGACTCGAGTTTTGCGGTCTCTTTAGAGAGTGCGAAGAGACCCTCAGTAATAGTAGCGACGTCTTTCATTTGAGCAACAGAATCGATTCGTGCTTTGACAGCTTCAGTATGCTCAGTACGTGCTCCATTGAGGATGTCGCGAATCCTGTTGATGTGCCCCTCCGCCCAGTTCTTGTACGGTTCGCGCATGACCTAGGTAAAGTTTAAAATTAAAAAAAGTAGCGCACAATATATACATGAACGCCGACTTACCTTGGCAATGTACGTGAAAAGAATGGCCGTTCCGACGAGAATGACGGTCTCTTCGTTTACGACGTATAATTCCTGGGAGATGGCTGCAGCGGTGAGGCCCGTTCCAAGAATGACGGTACCGGTCTTCGTGGCAAGGCTCGTTGAAGGAACGGAGTTAATGATAGCAGACGCACGCTCAGCGGGCGGTTGACGATCCGACGACATGCCACGCCTATTGAAATCGGATGTATATTTAAGTTTACAGGATCCAGCTTTGGTCAAATAGTAACGTACGAAACGATGGCCTTTGGTAGAGCAGACGCTGCCAACGCAGGTCGCACTCTGCTCGCTGTTATGACACGTCAGACTTATCCAATGAAATGGACCTTTCTGTAGACACATACCAGCAGCACGGAGAGACGAGACAGCTACTCTGCTTGCCATGACTGACAGCACAGTGAGCCCGACAATGTTACGATTGTAAGTATGGTTGAGTGCGGAAACGAGACGAAATTCACGCATAGGACAAAGTCGGAAAGAAAACTCCCACAGCACAGTTACGTCAGCTATCAAATCCATCGCTGCTGTTTTTTAACCTTTTTTATAACTTTTCAGTATTTTACTTCTCGCTCTCACCTTCGTTTCCTCTGAATGTTGAGGAAATAAATCCATATATAACGTTGTTTTATCTAACTAGCTTTGTCCTGTTCTAGATTGTCCTTGATCGTATTTACGACATTAGCTCTTAGTCGCCTGTCTTTTTGCGGCCTTCGGTAGACCTGAATTTCGCTCGCATCATATTGCCGTTGAACCGTGGACGCCACAATTATTCTTTTCTCAATCTTATCGGCTCTCAACATCTATGCAAGTTTCAGCTTTCAGTGTACTGATCGCAGGTAGATCTTGCGGGACGTAAAAGGGTTACAACTTACAAGCATGTGGTTAGTGAATCAGCGCTAGTTCTCTCCGAGATACCCTGATTAATACTCGTCTCCGTCTTGATTTATCGTGTTGCAGATGAACCAATCATTCATAGTATGACTGTTCATGAACATCTTGATCTACGGTTGAAAATTCTGCAGGGCCGGCCTTCGTACAACTGTATGTCAAGACGACTAGTACTGAATGAACACAGGGGCTGCTCTTGTTTGACTAAGATGGCTGATTGCTCGGTATTTGGCGCAGTCCAATCCCCTACTTCTAACAATTGAGCTAAAGAATGGATAACGGGACTATCCAGATATCATCATGCAATCCACTCTGTTCTCCGAACTCTGCTAGTATAGACGCTCAAGGCACAAATTGACATACATGTTATCCTCAAGAAGATACACTTACCTTACTACGGCTTCATGCGCTTCCTCTTGGGCTTTCCATTGATAACAAAGCCACAGTAGCAAGCCTTTTCAATCGATGTGCGGCAGTGTGAAAGAACAATGGCTGCATTCCTTTTCTTTCTATCTTTACCGATTTCAACTAGGATCTAGTTCTACACACGCGGTATAAGAGTCCGTATCTCCCTTACGATTAGCGTTTATACCTCTAAAGTCATGAAGCAGGTATTCTTCCTCGGGGCAACAGGCTACATAGGAGGTGATTGTGTCTGCGTACACTATTATGTGCGTGATAGCTGAACGACACCTAGGTTCTTTACTTGTAGCATTGATCAAAGAACATCCCGAATTTCATTATGTGACACTTGTACGCTCCGCAACCTCGGAAGAAGCGGTGAGAGCAATTAGCGCAACGGTTATATCTGGCTCCTTCACGGACTTCGAACGAATCACGGAATTGTCTGAACAATCAGACATAATCATCAATGCTGCAGATAGCGACAATATCGAGCTCACGGTTGCAATTCTGAAAGGAATGAAGTCGAGGTATACGAAAGGGAACGGCGTAGGGATTCTTCTTCACACGAGTGGTACATGCAACTTCCTGGGGGAGAAGCCGCTATCTGGTGACCCAAGGACTACGGCCTGGACTGTGAGTATCCGACCTCCTTTTTTGCGTAGCTTGTTGAATTGAGTTTTCGTTGCTTTGGCATCAGGATTCGGAAATGGATGTCAAACTAATCAATCCTTCCATGCTTCACGGTCAAGTTGACACCCTGTATGTGGCCCGTCTGTGTGATTCCTTCTCTTTTTCGTGTTGCTTATCGAGCGCATAGGATACTGGAAGCTGGTCAAGAAGGGTACATGAATTCATACATAATTTGTCCCTCTATGGTTCATGGGCAATGCTCCGGGCCGGTACCTCGGACTCCGGCTCTCGTTAAAATGCTTGTGTCATGGATGCTAGAGCGTAATTATGCGTTTTGTAGCGGATCTCCGACCACTTGCTCTGGATTAGTAAGCTAGACTCGTTTCCGTATGTTGCCCGATACTGAAGTTACCTACTATGCAGATCAACATGGAGGACCTCATTCCCGTCTATTTGATTGTCTTTCAGTGTGCTCTCCAAACTGGTTCATCCTTGTCGAAGATGAGCCCATATGCGCGATATTACATCGCGACTGGGGAAGAAATGACTTGCATGGACACATTTGTCTTGGTGGCAGAAGCACTGCACGATAAAGGAAAGCTAGAATCGTCAGAACTGAATAGGGTATCCCCAGAAGAACTAAGCTTAGTTGGGAGGTATGCTTCTGCCATTTAATCATGTGTCTGTTTTCGGAACTGATCGCGACATTGTGAAGCATTTCTACGCTCGGGATGCATGTATGCTGCGAACACCTTTTGGAGATGGGTTGGAATCCAGGTGCTCCAAGCTTCAGACAGACAGTAGCGAATGACGTTGATAGCGTCTTGACAGAGCTGCATCTCTAAGAGACATCAGCTCAAAGAGTGTTATGTGAAAAGTTCTATGCAATATCATTATTAAGGATACAAGTCCCAGCCAATTGTGTTCAGTCAGTTGAGAATATACTTCCAATGCATGCCTTTCTTGGAAAACCCCGGTTCCGACTTCCCAAAACGAAAGACAAATCACGGATATCGTATGTTCTTTCATCTTTCTGGCAGTCCGATAGCGATCCCGTTATGATTCTTCTGTATTAGGGTTCGATTATATGAATGCAGAAGTCTACTCCTGGGAAGATATCGCTATGCATACACAAGGTGGCCACTGAACATCAGTCTCTAAAACGCCCACGCCAGTGTCAAATACCTGCCTGCGTAACTACCGACACGCAATGCCACCATATGAAGCTACGCGATACAGGAACAGGCCCAGAGAAAGCGGACGAAATCTGCGCCATTTCACTGTCCAGCCGCCCTTCGACGGGGATCCCGACGCCGATGTTATTCTACAATCATCGGATGGCGTGAAGTTTCTTGTCATCAAGTCCATCCTTGCGCACGGGTCTACGTTCTTCAAGACTATGTTGACTCTGCCTCAACCACCAAATCGTGCACCTTTACCTAAGGATCCAATGTTTAGTACCGGCTCCCCGACAGAATCCGGACTTCCAGTTATTCCCATGACAGAGTCGGACGCGAAAACAATTGATGTATTTTTGCGGATACTATATCCCATCACGTCACCAGACATCAAAGACCTCAATCTTGTGGACAGTCTCCTCAAGGTCGGAGTCAAATATGATTTTGACCTTGTAGTGGATCGGGCGAAGGACGAATTATGTAATTCAATTGTGAGAGATGAAGATAATGCCATAAAGGTGTTTGGGATAGCTTGTCGATATAGGCTAGATGACACCGCCCGTCTTGCTTCATACATGACGCTCAAAAAGCCTTTCTGTTCAAGGCTTACTCCGGACTTCGAGGAGCTTAAAATGAGGGACTTCTATTGCTTGTTCGATTACTATCGGAAGGTGGTAACAGCGGTGCGATCGTTGTTTTTAGATGAGCAGAGCGGCGTGTCATATTGCAGGAATATCACGCACTCCATTTTAGACAGGTCAGGGCGATGCCCGCGTAGCCATCGTGGCGAAGTGATTACCCGAAGTCACGACGAGTCTGGCGTAGTGGACGTTGTGGAACAAGTATATTTCCTCGGCTGGTGGATTGCATTCAGAAATTCGCTTTATATTAAGATTGCCCAAGGACCTGCGTCGGAAAAATTGGTCACCTTCGAGGCAATCTGGAGGGAGGTAAAAGCCTGCTGTCCTCATTGCCAAGCAACAGTCGAGATGGATCTTCGTTATGGTTTGGCGGACGTTGTCAATGCAGAGATCAAGAGGCTCATCAATAGTGTAAGTAGCTTTCCATGAGAGTATATTATCACAATTGATGTGTTCCTTCCTTCGCCACAAGGTGAGCCTTGAGATACCATGGGATTGAAATTGTCATGCGTGTCAAATTTTATACAATCAAAGTGATAGTAAGTCGACCATCCCCTTTTCCCCCCTGTGAAAGCTCTTACTCAGCATTGATGTACAGTGTCGAAACGTGACAAAGAAGAGTTTGCTGTGCTGTTTGCTCGACAATAGGTAGCTTGACGGCGACTTTCGTTAAAACTTTCCAAATTTGTACGTTTGTGGTCCATTGTTTGGTTCGCGCGCACGTGTCAGCCAAATGCATGCAAACATTGATACACTCAGTCTCAATTCATCAAATAATCGTTATCTACTCTCCGTAATATGACATGAGTCGTTCTTCCATCGCCAACCTCGATATCGACATTTCATGCCCTCTGGCTGGTCAAGATGCCTCAGTGTGAAGGACTTCTGGACACTCAGCGAATATCTGGTGGGGTTTTGATCTATTTAATCTCACAATATAAGAGTTTAGCTGGGTGTATCAATGCACTTCTATGTCGTAGCATTCGGCCTGTTACAGTTGACAGAGAAACTACTGAAGAGCTTCCAAATTCCGGAACCGAAGCACAACATTGAAGGTGTTATATTTTGATTTCCGAACAGTTCAGGTTCTCATGCAGTGGATGCATAACTATGTCGTCGTTACATACCAAAACCAGTTTAGGCTTTGAGTATATCTGTTTCTGCTTTGTCGGTGCTGTAATGAGGGGTGATATCATTATTGAAATTGGTCTTCTGGGTGCTACAGACACACTAGCTAAAGACTTTGATTTTGGAACGAATGGCTTGGCTTTCGAAACTTCCTGGTGGAAGGACATGTTCAATAGAGTCTTCAGCTTACTGCCATTCGTCATGTTACTATTTTATATGAACAAACTCCAAAAGAAATGAAATTGCTGTATATATTCCTTTATTATTGAGGATTCCCGTATGGCAACTAAAATAACTATTCTCACAGAGAAAATACCAGAATCTATTGTATTAAAGGGAAATACTTTAGATTTTACATCACATTTATAGTGCTTCTTCTGTATTTGAGAGACTTGGTACCGTGGCGTCTGGACAGTTGTTGTTATAGCCAGAAAACACTGGTCTTATCTTGGAAATTTAATACAATTATTACTGCATATACTCGTATTTGCTCCAACGGGATGACTCTCATTAATAGGCAGAGAAAATGACCGTGGAACTGTGAACTGGCTTGTGTGTCCATATGTTCATCCAACCATGTCTTCACTTCCCAGGGCTATGAGATAATCGTCCTAGCGTCAAATTCAAAAGTGAATCCAACGAGTAGGCGCGTATATTTGTTCATATATACCTTATGCGTACATATGGAAAGTCGTACATGTGTATTTAAACGCGCCCATAAATCCGATTTGATTTGATTGCGTCGTTGTTAGGATTGGCTGTTTGGTGAGATGGTTGATTGGTGGTATCGATGAGATGTGGACTCAGTTGCCTAAATGACGATAACCCGCATGCAGAACTGATTCGGACTGAAAGGAACGAATGAAATATTTGCCTCACCTTACAGTGCTAGTAGACTAAGTGTTCTATGTGGGAGCGTTAATCTACTATGTGTGTAAAGGATCTTTAATGCAGATGTCCCTCTATTCTCTTGGCTACTAATCTTGTTAGCGACTTATATTCCTTATAAAATTGAAAAGGTCCTTCTGACAAACTCAGTGAATATGAAGCTTTCATAAAAAGGAAGCTTCCTACCGTCCCTTCGTAGCATGTCGACATAGTATCATTATTGTCATACACTTACCTGGTCAAATGGTGGTAAGATAGCGGCCAGGCACATCCCTCATGTGCAAAGTATACACCTTGAGACACGAGCTCACTTAATCTTATCACTTCTTTCCTTAAAATTAAAGAAGATAGACACGCTGGGCTGTATACGCCGCCTCGGTGAACACCAGTGCTAGTACTGTAGTATGACAACTCTAGGGTCTCCTGAGTTTGTATGCAAGAGAAGCGGCCCGAGGAAAACTGCTCCCACCCTTGAAACAAGGACTTACCAAAATATCAATGTCTTAACTCGACCTAGCACAGTAGTTGTATAGCACAGCACACAAGAAACCAAAGATGTAGAATCCGCGTATACGCAAGAAAACGTCGTATTCGCTCTATCAAACAAAAAAAGCAGCTAGTTAGGCAGAGAGACAAAGAAACGAAGAAAGCGAGAAAAAAGAAACGGGAAAAGAGAGAAAGAAAGAGACGAGAAACAGAGAGATAAAGAGAAAGGAGTTAAAAGATTCAAGTATCAACACTATCCACAACCGAATGTATAAGGCAAGCAACAAAAACAAAGCAAAACAAAACACAGACGCAAAAAGGAACAGAAAATCAGACGAAGAGAAACGAGAACCAAAGAAAATGCAGACACGAGGTAGGTAACTCTTGCGGAAACACAAAGGAAAAATAATAGGATACAAAGACAAGAAGTGGCGGGAGTATGATATCCTGAGGTAGGTCGGAGCAAGATGATAAGGGTTATTCCGAGAGATGTGTGTATTTGTGGTAGTTGCAGTTTGCAAGGCGGGATATGGATAACATCGAGGGGAGAGCATATAATAAATAAAAAAGGAAATAGGAACGGAGAGCGGGGACGCACAAGCAAATATGGGGAAAGAAAAGAGGAACAGGAATAAAGAAAGCTATGAGAAAGATCCGGCAGGGCCTTTGTGGCTAAAGCTGTTATTGCGCCAAGTTGTGATAAAACAAAGCGGATCCAAGGGAGGATAGGAACTAACTAAGGTGAGATGGAGCACAATTGTACAGGATTCGAATAAAGGAGGAGGATGACCACCGACACGATGAGCAGGATCCAAATCTGGATGCGACAACGGACGATAGGACAGACGGGAGTGAAGGGAGGGAGAAAGGGGCGCATTGAAGCGGACCAGCTCCGGGTAGGTGTGAACGTGAAATAGTGCAAAAGCTATGATGTCCCCAATCCGCTCATGTCTCCACTGAACCAGCTCCCGAAGTCGCGATCAAAGTCAGTAAGATTGTCGTCCCTGCCGAACATAGATGTAAAGTCATCAAATCCAGTTGTCATGAAGTCGAAGTCGGGCACACTCGTGGGCGGTGCACTCGCTGGTGGATTAGGTGCTGACAGTGGAGGTGCTGATCCAGGTGCTGAAGCGCCTCCAGACGGTGGGTTCGACGCGGCGGTCGTTGGCCGTGATTGATTGGTAAGTGACGGCGATGGCGCACTCGTGCCTACCTGCCCTGGACCCGGGGCAGGGGTCGAAGAATTGGGACCCGACGGTCCTGATGCTGACGGCGGCGGTGCATTTCGTGGAGAGTTCTCCACTTTCCCTGCATTTTCTGGCTTAGCTTGTACATTCTGCGGAGGCTTCCCCTGCCCATTTATGTTTGTGGTTGTAGCAGGTGAGCTGGGTGGTAACATTTTTCCCTGGTTCATACTTGGTCTTTGACCCGCTGGGAACGGCTGAGGACCTGCACGCGCCTGACTCAGATCACTACCAAGTGGTTGCATCTGCTGTTGTTGCGGATCCGACGGCATATTGGAAATATTTTCGCCAGAACCTGATCCGGGCATCGGTTGTTGCATGGTCATACCCGCCATTTTCATCATATTAGCGTACGCAGCAGGATTGGTTTTGAACTGTACAGATATTCGTCAGTTAGAGTCTACATTATAATGAGACACAAACGAGCTTTTAAGAAGCAATGGAACAAAGGAGATCCACTGTTGCCTCGAAAAAGAAACATGAAAATTTGGACGAAAACTTACTTGCTGGTTTGCCATGCCAGGATGCGGTGCTCCTGGCGGCCCCATCACCATACCGGGCGGTATCATGGGTCCCATTTGGGGCGTGAATTGCGCGCCAGCTGGCCGCATATTGGGGACCATCCCGCCTTGGTACATCATTGGATTAGGGTTCGCATTCGATGGCCCACCTTGCGGCGGCGCGGACCCCGCGGAGCCTGCGGTGGGTGGCGCAGGCTGTTCGGGTGAGCGCCGTACCCGTTTTTGTGCTGGCGGAGACGCTTCGCCTTTCGAAGGAATCTCGGCGTGCTGTTCGTGAAGCTTAGAACACCGTTCGGCAGCAGGAAAATGACGGCTCCTTACCTCATCCCCTGGCGAGACGCTATTTCGCTTCGAACCCCGCCCTTGCTGGGCTCGTGCTGGATTACTCGGGCCTGTGCAATTAGATAACGAAATCAGGACGAAATGCCACTCAAGCTTAAACGATAACTCATGACCCACCTGCGGTGCTTCGGTGCTTAAAGGCGTTTAGTAATCGATTCTGAAATTCCGTGTCCAAGTCGGAGAATGGTTTAGTTCACGTGAAGATTCCCGAAGCACGCCGGAAAGTATCGCACTCACCTTCTCGTCCAGAGTCATGGCAGCAGGGTCCTTATTTCCAAGATTGAGCTCTTGCCGGAGTTCGTTCAACGTTGCCGGGTCAATTTTGCTAAGCTCCATATTTATCTGCTCGAACGGCGGACCTCGCCCAGGTGGGACAGACATCCCACCAAAGTTGGGTGGCGTGGCCGGAACCGAGCGATGCTGCATACTAGGGCTAGGTTGCGTGATTCCACTGCCGGCCGGTTGCGCTGGAGTCGGTGCTCGGCTTCCCGAGCCTGCAGCGCCTTGTGGGAAATTAGGCGATCCTGCGGCGCCCGGAACACCGTTTGGCGCACCAGGAGGCGGCATACCACGCATATGTTGCGGGTACATGTTTGGAGGCACTCCGCTTGCGTGTCCTGGGTAGGGAGGCGGAGGACCACCGGTCTGCTGGTGCGCCATTGTTGGGCTGAAATACGGCATCCCCGTGCGTCCAGGCTGACCTGCACCAGGAGCGGTCATTGGCGCACGACCGAGTGCAGGTACTCCATTCGCCTGCGGTTGGTGTTGTTGCACGTGAGAAGGGAAGCCGAGCGGCGCTTGTGAGGGTTGCTGTGTTGTCGGCGCCTGTTGAGGGTGGGGACCCTGGCCTTGTGGCTGCCCTCCTTGCTGCTGCCCAGTGGGTGTGGGGCCGACGCCATTTGGCATGGGATGTGCATTAGAGGGCTGACTTGGATGACCGGGATGTGGTGGTGGTGCGCCAGCTCCGAGAGAATTCGGTACGGCCTGCATTGCGCCGGGTGCGCCAGGCATGACACGCACGTTGTTTGGATAGCGCGTCAACTGGTGCATTCGTGCTTGTGCCGCCATGTGGTTCTGTTGCAGATAAAGCGTTAATGCGGCTCAGGAGGCGAAAAGAAGGACGGGAGCAAATTTGCGGCGGCCTACGCACCTGCATGTACAACATCGCATCCTCAGACCCGGAATTGTTGCTTTTTGCAGAAAATAACACCCAAAAGACACTCCACCACCTACACAGAGAGACGGACAGAGCGGTAGCAAAGCAAAAACGAAATACTCTGAGTCAAAATGGAACAAAAAGGCAGTGAGATTTTGGACTGACTCGTAGAGCAGACCCTGCTTTGCATCTATGGGCGGCCGAGGGTTTGGGTTGAGCTTCGCTTCCTCTGCGAGCTCCCGTGCAGTGTTACTGTATCCTCGTTTTACACAATAGTCCCAGATATAGATATTAAACCTATCAAGTCAAGAAGCGAAGAAGCGCCAGAAAGGACTGTATGAGAATGCGGCTGAGGAATGAATGAAGTGATATGAGCACGCACATTTTGTCGCCCTCCCATAAGAGGTCGTCTGCTGACGGCGAGGGGTCCGTTGAGGTGGAGGCAGACGGGGTGTGGGCCGAATTGGCCTGTGTCTGCTGAGTTGTGGCCATGCTTCCGCGGAGTGCGGGGCGTCAGAGGGCAGCAGGGCAGACAGCAGCAGGGGAGGCGAGGACGAAGTTGCCTGGCAGAGAGTGGATGGAAGAAGAGAAGAAGAAGAAGGCAATGTGCGGAGGAGGGGAGAAAGTGGGTGATGGGAGGACGATGAGGTGGACGAGAGCGGAATGGTGAGGCAGGATCGAAGGTGAGTGCTCACAGCCAGTCAGCTGAGCCACACAGATATGTCAGCGCGGTTGCAGACGTGGTGGCAAAGCGCACACGCGGCCTGCGGGCTGTCGTGGGTGTCGTCGACAAGACGGATTGTAAGACAGAATGTATCGTCGGGGGACGAGAGCCCTTGCTTGCCAGTTCAGTCAGTGAGAGCAGACAGGGAGTGACAGACAACAAGAGAAGGATCACACGGTGACGCCCCGTCACTAATAACTAGCGTGGCCGCCTCCTGTTCATCAAGTATATATCATCAGTAAATTAAATATTATTCCCCGTTCTGTTCTCCCCTGCCCTTCCGTATCCTATCGGTCTCTGCCAACGCTCTTGGTCCTCGACAACCGCCCCGACGACGATGTCCCCGACGTTGACTGCAGTCGGCGTGACAACCGAATCCGCTCGCTTGCTTCCGTACCCTTCCCTCTATCAGTCATACATGTCAAATATTTCCTTCATAGGCACAAATAATCCTTATACACTCTCCTCTCTTCTTAATCTATACTCTCTACTCAATCTACGTCTCCACATACGCCATAGCACCCTGCCCTTGCCCTCTCTTGTGCATCCGCCTCTACTTCTCCGACTGAAATCACCAGAGACAGAGTATGAGTGAACTGCATTCAACGAACCCTCCAAGAGAACTGGGGCGCCCAATTTCTCCGCGTCTCGGCCTCCTCCTCCTGCCTTGATCACTCATCTCTTCGTCTTCCTCCCTATGTCATTCGTCAGAGAGCCGCAGCTGTGCACATGAGATGTGCAAATAAATAGGGGCCGCTCCTTCGCGAAGTCCTTCATGGGATGCCAATACATATCACAGTATTCTTATCATATTAATTTTATTTACGAGCACCTTCGAGCAGTATTTCGTTTCAAACCAGCTGCGATTCTCTTGTGTGTAATGTTTCAGCTACGTGTTTGCCCCAGAAATTGATGTGGAAACCAAACATCGCTTCGTCTCAGCTTTAACAGTCTTGAGTAGCCGTAAATAGAACCAAATACGAATAAATGATGATGAAAAATTGGTTCCGTCGCCGCCTGCTGAAGGAGGAAAGAAACACGAGGTGCGCACGTGTTGACTTCTCCGAGATATACAAAGGGACAGATATGTTTTCCGACCTCCGATCGCTTAGAAAGTCCCCGCACGTTATTCAAAAAAATCTTGCTCTGCTGACTCTTTATGTCGGTCACATTCGTCATTTCGTCCTTCTAGCTCGCCAAGTTTATCTGTATGCGAACGACAAATGACCCGCGAACTATGCGAATACGGGCGGGTCACCGCCGTTCTTCGGACTTTAGCCGATGTGGAGAAGGATGCAAAACGATTCGAATTTCGATCGTCGCTCGCTCACTTTCTCTACTACTTTTCTACACCGTCAGACATCTTTCCCTCACACCCTTTGTGTTCTTGATGACTTCTGACTTCTTGTCATATTGGCGAAGCACAACTACTTTACTACATTCGCCGCGTTTCTCTAGCTCCGCATCACTGTATCACCGTGTCACTATCAGCACACCTTCCCAATCACTGAATCATATCTACCTTGTGTCTCCGTGAACGGACGTTTCATCTCGTCAATGCGCCTCAACTCGTTTAACAGAATGATAAAGAATGATGCTTGCTTTGTTTCGCGGCCTCCGAGAAAAGGATCTTCTCAAGTTTCTTCCTTTTGTTGCAATCTCTTTTTTTATTACTCGATGTTTCACAATAATTTCCAGTCGACACGTCTACAGATGCATGCATACATCCCGCATCCTAATTCCGACGTCCCCAATCTCTCATTCGTAAAATTGACATGCATCTCCGTCCGTCATTTCTCTTTTTTTTTCTCCTTGCACAGTAACCACAAAATAAAGAAAAACAGCATCCGCTCCGCAGAATTTCTGCACTTGCATGTTCGTCCTCCGTTCCGTTCCGTCCCTCGTTTCTTCTTTCAGTGCTAAACGGATTACCCCTATCTGATAATCCATCTTTCTATTAATATTTATTTCTTCAAGCTGAGCAGATCGGTAAGGTACCCACGAGCTATAATACCGCATCAGTTCTGCAAGTCGTTCATTTCAGCCCTTCTGAGTCTGCCTCTCCATAAAGCTATTAATTCTTTATACTGTATAAGTATTCTCCTTGCCCTATTTTGTCTGCAAGTTCAAGGAACTTAAAAGTATCGTCACCGTCATCGTCCGCGCTTCCAAGAGTCTTGTTCCCACATCCAAACGTGATCCTCGTATCTTTCAGGAAAGTTCAAACGTAAGGAGTCTCTCTTCCACGGACTTAATGCACGTCAGGTCCACCTAGTCGCATTAATCCTTGAGCAAGGCAAGACGAACTCTAAACACATCTCCGAGGTAGTTAAAATAAGATTTCCTTCGTCGTATTTTAGTACCCAGACCTCCCTGCCTCCTTAATTTCTCCCTCTTATATCTTATTCAGGTCCTCTCTCTTTCCCTTTTCAAGAGACAGGAATTTTAATTTACTCACTTTCGAACAAGGTTTGCCCCTTAAATCTAACTTAGTGATCAGTTAAACTTATGTGAAGATATTCAACTATGCTGAGCACGTAATAAAACTCTACGTTGTGCTTTATTAGTTCTTTGCTTCAGCTGTACTATAATTTATCAGATAATGCGATATTGTTCTGTCAAGACAACATATATATGCACAATAAGCTTCCTTTTCTTGTTACTTGATTTTTGATGCATGATGATTTTGATTTACCCATGATCTTATTGGCTATAGAGTAACTAAGAGAATATTTGCTCCGAGTAGGATAGTCAACGTCAGATGAGACAAAATTGAACGTCATGACAATTGGTAGTCTGAACTGGTAAATCATTTTGAACTAACGCCAGGTTAGCAGAAGACACATGATTTAGGACTGAACCAAAATACAAGTTCGTTCAATATTACACAAGATATACAAAGCGGATGAAACTCGTTTCCCGTGAAACACCAGGCAGTGCATGCATTTATTATTGACCTGCTTGACAAATTATGCACGAAACAGAGTAATTCCGTTTCCCTCTTTACCTTAGTATCCGTACTTGCGCTGAAACGATACAACGTAGGGATTGTAAGATGTTGACTACTCAATAGGGAAGCCAGAATGACGTACCCTCAGACTCTTCCCCTTGATCTGAATGTAGGGCACGATAAGAATGAACAGTCCTATAACGATGCTACCGTACGACACAATCAGTTATACATATTTAGTGATAAAAAGCTATGCAGGATCACATACGCTGCCTCAACACCGAACGTCTGCAAAGCTCCGCTCTTTGTGGCCCATGGGATCTGGAAGTATGGGATGCTGAATCCGCCAAGTGTACGCGCAAGGTTGACAAGTCCGGATATCTCTCCCTGTGAAAGGTTAGTTGCTGACTGAGCTAAGAAATGGCATTCTTGACCTTATATCGAGGGAAGCAGTCGTTGAAATAGGCGTCTGGTGAGGGGACAATGTTAGAACTACGGACAATAATATTCTGCCTTGGCACGGCTTACAAACGGCGACGGTGTTGATCATGATCGCGACTTGAGCAATGCCCCAACCCATTACCATGGCCCCTACGGACAACTTATTCTGGAATGATGCCCCGAGGACGAGGAAACCACAGAGATACAGAGGCATGGCAATATAACATGCCCTAAATATAGCACGAAATCAAATGTAGAATTGTCCCGTTTAGAAGAGTGGTTACTGACCATAGACGCGTTTCAGCTTCAAACACGCCGTTGTTTCTCTTGATCCCCATGTTCATGAACCAGTCATTCGCATAACGACCGATTAATTCACCAACGAATACAGCAACCTAGATTCAGAAATTGGATAAGAGGGCAGTGAGATTGCGGCTTCCAAACATACAATGGGCGTGCCGTAGCTGCCCGAAATGGCGTCTTCACTAAAACCATAACCTAGCGGAGCTGGATCGCCTAGGAATACCACATTCGTTACCTGTACAATAATTAAGCGAGAGTAATACGAGTGTGACTTGTCGGACGGGCACAAAACGTACGTTTATTCCAATCCCGAACCCGAACACCATTGCTTCAAAGAGCAGTATAAGAAATAGGTGCGGTCTCCAAGCGATAGAAGCCGGTGCGATAATCGCGCTGCTCCATGTCTGTCTGTATTTCGCCATGCGAGCTCCGGTTATGCCTATGAGCGTCTCGACACGGTAGCGCAATCCAGTGGACCGCCTCGGTGGAGGGCTCTTTAACTGACGGTCGTACAATCTGGAGGAGTTGTAACACTACTCAGAAGCTGCGTTAGGAGATACTGTGTTTACGTACGTCTCTTCCATCAAGAAGGCAATGAGGAGGACAACTACAACACCATAGAGTGTTGCACAACCGTACGCCCATCGCCACCTCAAAATATACTTCAGTTCGTAGCCAGTCTGAAAATTGTTCAACCTGGACGCACCCTTGTCGAGCAACGAGAAAACCCAGAGCAAAGGGCGACAGGAAAGGAGATACTATGAATCCCATAGTCCAGGTATTGAGCTAAAGGAGAAATTAATCAGTGTCTTGTTCAAACTAATCCCCTCAATATACAGACCATCCGGGCCTGCAAATGGAATGGATACATGTCTGCAATAACAAAGAGACCCTAAGAGGTAAATCCATAGTCAATATTCTGAATTTGATAGACGACAGCACGGCAACTTACAGTGACTTGCGGGCATGTTCTATTTTGACGAAAGAAGTTAAGGAAGAACTTGTTACTTCTTTTAGCTCTACGCACCCGAAGAACGCCGTTAGGCACCGGAAGGCTACGGGCCCGGTTAAGGACTAGAGTATGGACACGGTAAGTCATCACCCACCAGCAAAGCCTGCTAGAGTTGGTGCAAATGTACACCCAACCATGAAGACAAGTGCCAATACTTGCGACCAGAAAAGAACGGGAAGCCGCCCAACTTTACGCATAATCATAGCTGCAAAAATGCCACCCCATCCTGCATAAGGAAGTGAGAACAGGGATGGGCAATCTCCAGGGGAGCGGATTAACCTAGCAGGAAAATACTCCAACTAGATAATACAAGTTGTTAGCATGAGTGTTCTTGACACAACACGGCCGCCTTACTTTGAAGTAAGGTTATTTATTTCTCCAGTGGTTGTATTAAACTGCTGCGCAAGCGCAAAAAGAGTTGGGATTCCTGTAGTGCGAGCTATAAATACGTAGTTCGTGCATCGCTTAGTTGTATGCCGGAAAGCACATACCTACCGCCGAATCGAAGTCTGGAACGATGGCCGCCAGTGTGAGAACGATAAGGTGTATCGTCTTTCGACGGTCCGACCACTGAAATGGGATAGATTTGTGTTACACAATGAAATCAATGTATAATAAGCGAGGCTAACATACATTTTGCGGGTCTTCTGGATCATCAGAAGGCTATAAGTTAGAATTAGCTTTTGTCAATAACGCAGGCTATGTTTTGTTGAGCTCTCTGGTCATCTGGGGCCAGAGCACTTTTGTGCCATCCCGGGAGAGCTTGAGTCGCTTTGCTGCCGCCTCGCCGAATTCAGCTTTAGCCTCTCTATGTATGAATGGTTAGTCTGTGGAAGATGCAACGTAATCGATGGAAGCATATGTACTCTGGGTCAATCACTAAACTGCCCGCGTTTTCTTCGTGGTAGTTCGCAAGGTCGACATCCGACACGTCCTGATTACTCTCGTCGACAGATGTCTGTTCAGGATGGCCCTTCTCAGTGTCAGAGAAAGCTACTTTCTCGCTCGTCAGAACCATGAAATAGGATTGGCGGAAACGATGGCTAGTGAAGATAGAGACAAGCAGCAAGGTTGTAATGGAGATACAAACAGAAAAGGCTGAAAGTGACGAGTTTTATATTGAGATACAAGAGATTATTTTGCCACGCAGAAGCTCTTGAAACGCCGCTCATGGTGACGTATAAATATACAATAGGCTGCCGTTGAGGGAATGCAAGACCGGCTCCGCCTTGGAAAAGCCCAAATCAAAGTGATTGAGGTTTTCAAACACATCCCATGACAACCCTATAATAGTTGTACGCCAGAAAACCACGGCAAAAGATTTAAGAGGAAGTTAGTTCCAAGAATATCTTGTTGGATATGCCGTAGGATTGAGAGCAACAGGCTAGATCATAGGAGTGGAGCCTAAGAATTTCGTCCATATACTTTCGGCCGCCTGAGCGTGAGGTCCTTGTTCATTTGATCCCAGCAATACGCAGATGACCGAAAAGCTTGTCTCCTCAAACTTCGTTGACGAGTATCCCAATTAAGTGAAAATGCATCAGCATGGAATGTCCGGGACTCGTTCCTAAGCCAGTAGGGATGCGAAAGGTTTAGACCAAATATCCCATACGAAATTGTATTCAAAAGCTATTCTTGACGCAAAGACACTGCAGTCCCGCAGATTACGAAAAGAAGGCTTACATGAGCCAGGGAAAAGATGTCGGGTGTATGGTTAGGAAGGAATCGCGGGCAGTTGCTATAAAACATCTCTGTCGGCAAGGCAAGAAGATGGGAAGGTAAATATGTCGACCTCAATTTCAATTAATTGTACTAATTTGTAGTACTTCCTCGTTTCTCACGGTCACGGTGTACCCGACATTTCCTCCTCAATGAGTCCTCATAAGGTGTGTATATAAGTAAAAACTGACACGAAAAGTCATATGCACGATTAATGTAACAAACATGTACGAGAAACATTACATTGATGGTAAGTATTCGAAATTGAGAGGCAGATTGTTTTTGAAAATTAATAGGAGATGTCAAAAGCTAAGTCATTAACTTGAGTTATTGATATTTATCTAACCACACAACTTATCAACTCCTAACGCTGATACTCATATCTGACTATAATATTTTCAATCATGAATATAGACAGAGACTATAATATGTTGTCTTTGTTCGATGGGCTGGAGTAATACATTATACTTTGCAAAGTTTGTGCAAATCATTAATCATATACTGACTCTGTTTACTTACAAAACACAACACTGTCAGAATCAATACTTATTGTATTTTTCTAAGATGCAATTATTCCTTGCCTTGCCTCAATTCTAAAAGAATTCGGACCCAGGTATAGATAAATAATCAATCTACGGTTCTTATCATTTGTCACGTACTTCGAAAACGTGGTGGCAACATGCTGAATAACGGCCTTCTTATAGTCATGAACTGCTTTCAATGAACCCTAATCCTTTACCTATCAACAACAATGCGACTTCGGAACAAAAATAGAGACAGAGACAACATATCAAAAATAATATACAAACTATGTACACAAGAAGGCGAAGCACAAGTCATCCAATCAAAGCGACATAAACTGTTCCATATGAAATGAACGGTCATTAACATCCCATTAAAATCCTACAAAAGCGATTCTGTATCTTCGTTGGACGTTGTCGGAAGTAGCTTGTCCCTTGACTTCAGTATCCGTACTTGTGCTAGATGAAGGAGACGTTTTATCGTGTATGTGAGTCAAGTGGATAGTAAAGGGATGAAGGACGACATACCCTGAGACTCCTCCCCTTGATTTGGATGAACGGCACGATAAGTATGAAAAGTGCCATGACAATGCTACATATATTCATTTATAAATTAAGTTTTTTTAGAGCACTTGATATAGTTACGCACGCAGCTTCGACACCAAAAGTCTGTAAAGCCCCGTTCTTCGTTGCCCAGGGTACTTGGAAGTATGCTACACTGAAACCGCCGAGTGTACGCGCTAGATTGATCAGCCCGGAGATCTCACCCTGTGAAGAGTGTTAACAGAGAGATCCGAAAAAAGAAACTCATGAAGAAGTAGGGCAGCTGACCTTGTGTCGGGGAAAACAATCGTTGCAGTATGCATCTGAATGAGGTAAGAGGAGTCATAAGACGGAGTATAAGCGAATTACTTGTGAACTTACAGACAGCCACCGTGTTTATCATGACAGCGACCTCAGCAATACCCCATCCCATAATCACTCCTCCTATGGACAACTTATTTTGGATCGAACCTCCGAGCGTGAGGAAACCGCAGAGATACAAAGGCATAGCTATGTAACAGGCCCTAGAAAATACGTACGCTCGATTAGCATATACTCTCAGACTGAAAGGGAGGAGGGAAGGTTACTGACCAAAGACGAGTTTCAGCCTCGAAGACACCTTTGTTCCTCTTAATACCCATGTTCATGAACCATTCGTTTGCATAACGACCGACCACTTCACCGATGAGTACGGCAACCTACGTGGAGATGAAGAAAAATCAAAAAGGTGCGCTGAATGATTTTTGGATGTGCAAGCGCACGATAGGTGTACCGTAACTGCCTGAAATTGCGTCTTCGCTAAGGCCAAAACCGACGGGAGGGGGTGTGCCGAGGAATACAGCGTTTGTTACCTACATGTATCCAACGAATGTTGACTATCAAATACGCTCGTCTTTTATGTGATCTTGACTCACGTTAATTCCAATACTGAAACCGAACACCATAGCCTCAAACAGAAGAATGAGAAGAAGGTGCGGCCTCCAGACGATCGTGAGAGGCGCGAGGATCGAACTGGTCCACGACTGACGGAATTTAATCAAACGGGCTCCTGTTATGCCAATGAGCGTCTCGACGCGGTAACGAAGACCCTTTGATCGTCTTGGTGGGAGGCCCTTAATGTGTCGATCGTATAATCTGGAAGATATGTATCACAATTATTGCTGAGAGCTTGCAGTAGATGTTGTGTTTACGTACGTCTCTTCCATGAAGAAGGCGATGAGGAAGACGACTACGGCGCCGTAGAGCGTAGCGCAACCGTACGCCCAACGCCAACTTCAGACTATGTATTAGCATATAGCCAGAATAAGATGCTAAGCTGAAAAATACCTTTGTCGAGCGACGAGGAACCCGAAAGCGAACGGTGAGAGGAACGGCGACAAAATGAAACCCATAGTCCAGATATTGAGCTAAACGGGATAATTAGTGGAGTAGAACGACGAGCGATTACGGTATACGAACCATCCTAGCTTGCAAATGGAACGGGTACATGTCTGAGACGACGAAGAGACCCTACACGAATTCATACTCTATATTTAGTTCGGAAATGATAGAGAACGGGAGAACATCACATACAGTAACTTGTGGACACGTTCTATTCGCAGGACGAAGTTCAGAAAACCAAACGCAATCAAAACGCGCTGATAACTTCACTCACCCGAAGAACGCGGTCAAGCATCGGAAGGCTGATGGACAATCAGTAAGTCAATTCGTCGAAGAATGATTTTATTGAAGAAGCTGAACGTACCCGTGAATGTCTTCAGAGTCGGCGCAAAAGTACACCCAACCATGAACGCCAGTGCTAGTACTTGCGACCAGAAAAGAATCGGGAGTCGCCCTACTTTGCGCATGATCATCACAGCGAAGATACCACCCCATCCTATTAGAACAAATAAGCAATCATTGCCGAAATCGAAGTTACACAGGCCAAAATCCCGAACCTAGCAGGAAAATACTCCAACTATACGACGCGTAAATATAAGCACAGATTTTTTCAAGTTGAATAAATTGTATGCTCACTTTGAAGTTAAGTTGTTAATCTCTCCAGTAGTCGTATTGAACTGCGCCGCAAGTGCAAAAATCCCCGCAATACCTAGCAAATAAGCGCGTAAGTGCATAAGTCCACGCAGCCCATTCACTCCGAAAACTTCGCATTACGGACCTACGCCGGAATCGAAATCTGGAACAATTGCTGCCAGCGTGATGATGATGAGATGTAATATCTTTCGGTGATCCGACCACTAAGTGAATGAATGGAAGGGATTAGGTTACCGCGCCCGCGCGCTTATGGCCATTTTGCTTGAAACCGACGTACGTTTTGTGGGTCTTCGGGGTCATCCGACGGCTACATAACGGATATGCGGTCAATGAAGAGGATTCTTAGGCTTTGAGTTAAGGTGATCATTGAGTCCTCACCTGAGGCCAGAGTACTTTCGTGCCATCCCGAGAGAGCTTGAGCCCGGAAGCTGCCTTTTCGCCGAACTCGATCTTCGCCTCCCTGTGCACAACAGCACACGTGTATCAATCGAACTGACGACTATAGCGGCCGCGCCAGCGCTCTGATAAGGCGGAAAGAAAACGCACTCTGGATCGATGACCAAACTACCTGCGTTCTCCTCGTAATAGTTTGCTAAGTCGACGTCAGAAATCCCATGGTTGCTCTCGTCGATGGACTGTTCGTGATTGCCCTTCTCAGACTCAGTCGATCCTGCTATCTTTTCGTCAGTCGAAGCCATGGTGCTGCACTCTCTGAACGATGACTAGCGGCGGACAGCGGCGGCGCAGTGGTGAACACACACACGACGAAGGAAAGAGAGAAAAGACGAGAGCTCGCGAGAACGACCATGCTTATATATATACTTAATGTTGAGATGCGGCAGATTGGTATTTGCTTTGGCGGGATGGCTAATTTGAGCTGTGTAAATTCACAAGCACGCGGAAGTTTTTGAATGGGGTGAGGCGACAAAGGTAGGCACCATAGAGACCCGCAGATCTAAGATAGACTAGCCCTCGGAATAGAGCGTTCCAGTTTCTCATTGGTGAACCCCCCATGCGGCCGTTCGGCCAAAGTGGAGAGTTTGGACTCGGATTTTATTTGAGATAAGCCGTCTGAAGTTATGCACGTTCGTTGCAAGATAAAGATCTGCAGGAAATTTGTTTATTTGAAGGGTAGTAAAAGAGAACTTGGACTAGGAATGGGTTGTGAGGACTAGAAGATGGGAGAGGAACACAGGAATGGCGTTCATTCAAACACGACCGCGTGAGCGTGAGTGGATTGTTCGGTTGATCCTATCAACCGTCAAAACGATCGAAAGTTTATTTGCCTAACGCGGGACTCCGCCTTGGTTTCTTGGCCAGCCAACTCCATCTCGTTTGTGCATGTTGCAGCATAAGGTAGTGGGCCCAACACACTTGATTCGCTGACCTGAGTTCTTTGCTTACGGATGAACGGTTTATGCTTGGCATGGTCACACTCGACGACGATGGTTCTGGCGATCTTCCTTTCACACCCTCTCAAGGTCCCTCTTCGAGGCTCTTGGGGCCCTGGTGCCTGAGAAATACTTACATTCAACGTACCTAAGTATACGTGGACTTCAACTCGTATTCGTATTGTAGTCGCAGACTTCTATCTAATAATTGACAATGAACGGTGTTGTGCCTCGCGGATGCCATAATGTTAATACCACGAACATTAGAAGTTTGTCGAAATCGTATGATACAAGTACACAGTCAGACTAGTATGCGTGTGCTTCATCTTTGTATTGCAGTCGTAGACTTTCTATCTAATAATTGTCGACGAACGGCGATGTACCTCGCGGCTGCTATAAAATATTAATACTACGTTACTTACTTAAGTACATTAGAAACTTATCGAAAGCGTATGGTACAAGTACACGATCAGTCAGTCAGTCTGGCTGGAATAAAGTGAAAGCGCGGGGTTAAAAAAAAGCTTCTATCATAGGTAGGTTCTCATATCCCATTATTCCATTATTGCGTTGTTCTGATATTACGTTAGTCCTCTCCCTCAGCTAAAAGGTCATACTCACTCGCCTCGGTCTTCACGATAGGCATGCGCATGTTCATATGTTGATCCGGTCGAACGATGTGTACGTCTTTCTCTGACAGGAGGACGTGTTGGTCTGCCCAATTGATGTGGTGCGGACCGTCAGTTAGCGGAAGGTTCTCGTGCACTTCGACTTTTCCGTGCGCCACATTTTCATCCCGGGACTTCTTGTTAGGGAACCTGTCGTATATGAAATCGTATAACTGAGATAGCCAGGCGTTGAAACCAGCGCCCCAAGTCGGACGGGCGCGGACGTTTTCGACGAGTTTGGTGAATTGATATACACCCAGAGCGGAGAAAGTCAGAAGGATGGAGAGCAAGGCGATTGAAAAGAGTTTGAAGAAGAGAACTAAAGCTGAAAAAATAAAGACAAAGGAGTATTCAGCAACGCGAGGTATTTAAATGAAATGGTTGTCATAGACAATGGGACATACCGAAGAGTCCGATTACGAGAGCACTGAAAGCAAGGGCGACAACTATTGCGAAGGATACGGAAGCAGATAAGGTGAAAATAGAAGCACCCCTGTACGATGGTAATGAGTACTTGACTTCCTACGCAGTGATTGATAACAAAGGAACTTACAGGAAGGTTGTAACAGGGAAGAAGCCGAGTGCAGCATTAATTGCTATGTACAACTAAGAACATTCAATCGTTCAAGTCTGATTAGATTAGATGGATGAAGATGTGATAACCCACAGATAATACAGGGTAGACCTGGCTGAACACTTTGGCACGTTCGTAGGCAGGGACAAGGTACGCCTCTTGGATCCTTCACGTGTTAATGTGCCTCAGCGGAAGAGCTCAGGGATAAAAAGCGAGTCATGACATAACACACCTAGAGGAATGGTATTGCACGTTGGATACACTCCTATCGAAGAGCTGGCGGATATTCGTCTCAAGTTCGGACTCGGCCTCTTCGGTGTTTGCGTTTTTGGTGGTGGCCATGGAGAGATGATCCGAGCTTGGAGAATGCAGACGGAAGGAGCTTTGTTGCTTGATGCACTATTGACGGTGGAGTGAGCTAAGATGCGTTATTTCTTCCGTGGAGCGCCTTCGGCTTTATGTTGGGCAGTCGCTGCGCTCTAGAGAAGCACGACACGCTAGGGGACGTGTCGCCACGTTTGCCACGTGATTTTAGACTTTAGTTTGCCAGACTTTAGAGCAAAGATTCAGTTCGGACTGTACTCTGCTGAACCGTTAAATCTATGGACACGAACAGTCCAAATTACACAAATGCAGTGACGTGCGAAGAGAGCGAGAATCGTTCAGATGATGCGGTTTCAAAGGAAAATACATTGTGCGACATGAACTTGCAAAATTGGTAACTTCAGGCTGAGTTATATTCTAAATTGGAGTAGTTGTTGGATGCTAGAGGCTTCTGACTGAAGACATGCTCCATCAATTCACAATACAGCTGAGCCTTATACCCTGGCATAATTCTTGAACCATGCTCATTCACGCTTCTATGCCACTATGTGGTTCATTCTCACTCAAGATCCGATGGCGCTATGCAGTACCATTTCAATTTTCATCACGTCCGTGTATTATAATTGTATTGATATTGGCTGAAACGCTGGGAGCATGTGCGAGAGTGATCGAGGGTAAAGAAAATGTGATTGCAAAGGTGAACCAGGGTGACGGCGAGAAAATCGGGCGAGAAGAGGAAAACACGAGCGTTGAGCGGGCTGATAAAGTGGAGAATGGGTCAAGTGATGTTGTTCCGTAACCCCACATTGAATTCAGTCAAGGGAAGGTGTGAGGGTTGCGCTTGTGTGGCGTTCGGGAGAAGTAGGCGCAGGCGCACGTTGACTATGGTTCGCGGGCCGGACCGGGTTCGTTTTTGTGCACCTGTGCCGGCACATGGTTCCTGATGTGGCCACAGCCGCCAGACAACCGGTGCTGAGGGGATCAAACGGCGGGAAGAAGTGAGAAAAGAGCGTTATTTTTGGAAACAAGATCCATCCGGGGTCGACGAGCTGGGCCTCCTGTGCTTCGCCGAGCTGCTGACCTGGCCCGCTGCATCTACGCAATTTAAAAGGGTGGCTCACGAGCACGGAGGTGGGCGAGACGGAAGACTTCTTGTTGCGGATAACTTAGCGCAGAAGTAATTTCTGAATTTCTGTGAATTTTGTGATTGGCCCGAGTGAATTTCAGGTGGAAATAGAGGAGAAAAGGGAGGACGGATCGGTCTAGATTCGAAGGAATACCGGCCTGCAGCATCGTCTCTTGCACTCTCTCCACCACAATGTTCCGGCGCTTGCCCGCCATCACCTACCCTGCATAGCACTCTCCTCTCTTTCTCTGACTGCGACGGCCAGTCGTCCTTTCCCACAAGCGACGACACCCAAATCCCTTAGATCCGGCCAGCGAGCATAGTACAGCGTATATCTATTGCGCGTATCGGGAAACTCTCTTCCTACTTTCGGGCCCTCCATCTGTCGTGTTGTGTTCTTGTTATCCACCAGCCGAACTCGGTCCTTCACCTACCCTTACTCGACGGCCAGCGCACCTCCGTAGCATCCAGCAGGCGTCTTGGCTCTTTCGTGTTCTGTCAGACGGTTAATCCGTCGCCAACAAACCACAAGTTCCGTCTACACAACAACGCGCTTCTGTGCGGAATATGGCGAACTATCTACCCGTTCTTCTCGTCTCTGTCACCGCAGGTATGCCCGATGATGCCGCCCTCCAGCCTCTTCCGCGCGGACAGGTCGATTATCTATCACATAATTGGACGGAAGAGGATGTTTGGCGGTCATGGAGGAACATGACAAAGCAGAAGAATGAAATTGCAAACGGCGTCCGCCTAGAGAACGCCTCCTGGCGAACGTGGATGAAACAACGAAACAAACTGAAGACTGTATCGCCGGAGACACTTAACTGGTGCGTACTGAGATCTTATCTCTCTCCGGGAGGTACATCTAAACGAACTTTATCATTTGCATCTAGGCTTAAGGACTCGGACGTGACATGGCTCTATGGTCCTCTTCACACCGCCGTTGACTGGACGCCACCTCCCAAACCTGCTATCTCGCCGCCAGCAGCTCCCCAAGCTAAAGATGACGCCTCTGCTCCATCACCAAAGTCACCTGGTGCAAACAGTCTTTCTTCACCATCAAGTAGCGTGGCACTCGATCGTTTGAACCAACCAACCGGACGATATGCTCTTCCCCCGCACGAAGGTGGCACGATGAAACCCATTCTCAAGCATCGTAGTATCGCGGAAATGTTGACCAGTGCTTTGCCACCTGCTCCTTCTTGGGCTGAGGAGTCAAGTGAATTCACTCGGGAGGTTGATGGTAAAGATTACGAAACGAGGGATAATAGATTGCACGTACATCCTCAACAAGACCGACAAGAAGCCTCAATGTCGGGTCGAGGAGGTCGTCCCCCTCTTTGCCATACCAGAAGTGATACGAGTGTTCTCTCGCGTTACGGACATAGTGGCGCGATTAAGAAAGCCCATGTCTCGCCCCCACGTGTTGCGGAAGGTGCAGCAGACCATTGCCCTAGTTCAGGTGACTCGTCTCCTCAAGCGTACAGTGGTTCTCTTTCTCCCAACCAGCGGACTGGCGCTTCCAATAACTTGGCCGATTTGGCATTTAGCGTGGGAGCTAACAGAGGTGCACAATCAGGTGGACAAAGCACTTCGTCACCTTATCGGAGCACAATACCGCTTGAGGTCGTTGAAAGCAGTGGAACGAGCATTTTCACGAATGACACAGCGAGTAATGGGCGCTCTGAAAGCGAAGGAAGCATGATTTCACCCGTGGCTTCTTTGGCGCCTCAGAAGAAGCACATCAGCTTTAATGCTATTGTCGAACAATGCATCTCCATTGACGGTAGTTCGGAGCCTATTTCCCCGTCAGTGCGGGGCCATGCATGGTCGACGTATGCTGATGATGGGTGAGCGTGCAGATCCTTTTACCTTCCTTCTATTTGTGAACCTATGCTGACGATGTTTGTTTTTCTGCGTCTCCGGGTCGTGTCCCGACTCGGACACGGACGTGGGCTTTGACAGGTATACCCAGGATGTCGAAGATGGTTTGTATGAAGATATCGGTACAACTTTAGCAGGCAACTCGGATTCGGAGAATGAAGTAGCAGTTGATGAGGAAGAGGAAGATGAGAGGCTGGAGATTAAACCTCCATCAAGGCGGTCATCCTCCGGCAGTTTACAAGACTATCGCACTGCTTTTGCCACTCAACAAACGCCCACATCCCGTGCTGCTCCGTCTGATGCTTCAGAGCGACCACAGTTCCGACGCTCATCAACAGGAAGCAGCAGGTTCAGCCGATCACGAAAGAGTGCTTCTGCAGGCTCCGGTTCTGGCTCTGGGAGTAATAGTGGACGAACGAGCGAGGCTGGACGTAGCCGATCAAGTGTAGCACTAGATAGAGAGCACGTAACTATTGCTCCAATTGCACCGACTATCCTCAAGACTGGTGGCGCTGAAGATAACGAGGACGGGGTGCTCTATATGGCTGGCTCGCCTTTTCCAACCTATGGTGCGATGCTTCCTTCCTCGATAGTCGTCGAATATATGCTGAAGTATGGTTTTGAAGGTATTGAAGCAAGCTCCTCTGGCAGCAGTAGTGGTTATGGATACGGGTACGGTGGGTACGGGTTTGGAGAACATGTGAGTGCAGGGCGTAGCGACGCCTTCGAACACTTTGAGCGGGGAACCGATGCGGGTGAGCTGGTCTATCAGAGCCCGAATGGTAATGTCTATCCTTGGGGTGAAGGTGACGCTATACGCTTCCGCATGCAGACCGAGTATGGAGTGCCAAGTCCTCCAAGATCTCCTCCCGTTGCCTACGGACTGAATCCGCAACATCAGTCGTTTGCATATCGGATGGGCTCTACAGGTCCGTCTTCATCCCACGTGGTGGATGACACCGGTCGAATCGTGCCTGGACCTCTCGTACGCAGTCCTGGGGAAGTCTCCGACGAAGCAATATTCGAGCAATTTGATCCTGTGGAAGGACCGCTTGAAGCGCCTCGCGATGGACGTGAGCGTGGCGTTGATGGCCAGCAAAGAGGAGATGATACTGTATCACGAGCACGAGCTAGTGAACCGCAAGCGGGAATCCGCCGTGAGGACGATGCTGTACGAATAATTGAGCCCCAACCTAGTGGCAGTGCTGACAGCGTCGATTTATCCGGTTCGCCTCGCGAGCGGGAGCCTTCACCTGATTTTCAACCCAAGATCAACCCACGTATAGCGAGTTTGAAGTCTGAAAGCGGCTGGTGTTCCCCTCCGTCTTCCCCACCACAGACGAATACCGAGATCAACACCTCTCTTGCACCTTCGTCCACCACTTTAGCGATCCCGACGCCAGGGATTAGTCCCGCGCATGAACAAGAGTATGCACGGATGCGGACCCCTCCCGATTCTCCTGTTTTGCGTTCTGGGCTGCTGTCTCCACCGGACATGTCCCCACGTGGGCGGTCTATTTGCACCTCACCAGTCTCTGGATCTGCGACGTCGTCTTCCCAGGCTCGATCTGAATCTCGCTCGGTGTCAGAAAGCAGAAGTGATAGTCGTGGTCGCTCTCGAACTCGTAATTCATCTCTTGCTTCATCCCCGGAGCAAGGTGAGCAAGAGCGCGGGCGATCAAGGTCTCGATCAACAGCCAGTGGTGCGAACTCGCCTCTCGGCGATAACGGTTCCCCGAGTATGCGGGGTTCATCTCTTGCTATTGGTGGTATTGGCGTTGGTCTGGGTATTGGTGGGGGATGCAGTGCGCAGCATAGTGGACGCGAGATCCGAGACGGTCGTGGTATTCGCTTGTATCGCAAGACAAGTGAAGACTTCATTCGTGGGAATAGTGCCGATGGTAAAGGCGGTCAGTCGGATGTTTACCCGTCACATGGAACTCGTGGACGTAATCGAGAAGGGAAGCGCGTGAGTGAGTCGCTTTCCCCTCCGGTTGTTGGATCGCCCCCGGTGGACAGAAGGAGTGCTGTGTCGCCTCCACATGCGAGTGGTGTATATCGACCGATTCCGTCGTCGGGATTGAGGTCGTATCCTGCAAATTTGCCTGGACGTTCGAATTCGGGAGATTCTATACGGTCTCTTGGGTCTGATAGGAGTAATGTGCAATCGCCTGACGGATCATCCTTGCTGAGTTCTCGGCGTTCGAATTCTAGTAGGAGTGGAAGCCGCGAGCATACAGACTCTACGTCGGCCGATGAGACGCTGTCGACGTCAGCCTCTACGGTTATTGGGAACGGAAGTACGCTACCACCATGTATTCCTGAGGAGGATGAAGTGAAAGTACGGACGGGACACCCTTCAGAGGTACAGAATGGTGTTGAGAGCAAGGATTATAATCAGCCTCGATCGCAAGACAGGTCATCTTTTTCACCTTCATCTACCATACAGAAGCGGGAGGAAGGCGGTAGTAATAGACATTCCCCCACTATCGCTTCCTCCTTATCGTCACCGAAAGCCGAGGGGACAATGAATCCGGATCCTGGAAAGACTAGAGTATCGTCAAGTTCCAATTTGTCTTCGCCTGCGGGAGCGGGACGTAATAAAGCAAACGGTGCGTCTGAAGGTACAGGAGATGGTACGGGAAAGACATTTGCTGATCGCACTGCAGACCTTATGTCTTCCGCTCGTACGCTCCTGGGAACCTTCTGGAACAGCAGCAACTCGTAATGTCATGATCCGTCGGTCGGTCGGCTTCTACTTCTTTTTCCTTTTTCCTCGACCTATACATATCTGTTACAGTGTATTTTTTATTCTTGCCTGTATCGATGTGAATTGTCCTTCTTCTGTCTTACCTTTTATATATTACTCGTTTTCTACTCCATCCGTGTTGAGCTACACTCTTCTCCTCTCTGTGTCACGCCTATTGTCTGTTGTGTTGACATAACACATTTTCCTATCAGTTTTTTTTCCTCCATCGCGATCTTGTCTCATTTACACTGCTTACACTCACCACCTCAACCACAATCACATACAGCACGTCTCTTCTATACAGTGCACCGTCACAGCAGTATATCCAACTACCATGTTCCATTCCTACTTCGTTCTCACTCCTTCAGCGGTTTTTCGTTTCTTGGTATTTTTTCTTTCATCTTTTTCCCTCGAGGGACTTTATGTGTGTCGATTTCATTTATCCATTTAGCTGAGGGTTTCCTTCCATGTTCTGTGGTCAACGGTCAATTTGGTGCAGGTGCAATTTTATTGTGTAGTACGCTATTTTCTTTCATATTTTTTGTGTCTAGGTTAGGTGGCTTTTTTCTTTCTTTCCTTTCCTTGTCTTGTGAGTACATACATTTCTTACATGTAATTGCAATGTCGCATTGTGTCTGCGTAGAAATGTTGCTGTGAGTTCGTCAACACTCGAGTCTGTCAGGTGCTGTTGTGGTTTTGCATGAAGCGGCGTAGTCTTACAAGGTAATAAACATTCTGTTTCTATTTACCAAAGCTCGGAACTAAATATAGTGCGGCTAAACTACACTAATAAAGGAAAAACAGAGAGAAGAAGGATAAACCATGCGTGCGGGAAAAAAGCGTATATACACGTTTTATATATACATGCCAACTAACTAACCGCCACCAATCTCAAGCAACTTCTCGATACTCCTCCCGAGGTCACCACCCTCAGCTTCCAGTACCCACTGGGCGACTTCACGATCTACAGCGGGGAAGATTTGGAGGAGTGTGCCGAGGGAGGCGTCGGCGGCGCGTGCGTGGGCGAGGTCGATCTCTGCTTGGACGCCTGCGAGGTCTAGCGCGGGTGTTGGCGTCCGTGAGAGACCTTGACCTTCTGGACCCGTTGTACCGGCGCCTGGAGAGAAGTCAGAGGAGAGGCGGGATGGGAGGGGGGAGATGAACTCGCCGCCTCCTGGGCGGGTGGGATAGGTACCTGGGCCGATACGGGAGGGAGTGGGAATGGCGCCGAAGCGGGAGTCGGGGGTGCTCCAGCCTGAGTTTGATGAGCGAGCCGGAGTGTTTTGTGGACCGGTTTGGGTGTTGGGAGTGGAGGGCCGGATGCGTGGTTTGTAAGGCGTTTGGATGGGAGGCGTGGATGGAGAGAGGGTGTCACCTCCTACATTCAATTCAGATGGGCCCGCCATTGCAGTACCTCCGGGAAGACTTCCTCTCCGTCCGCTGCTGACACCCGGGGGTAAGGTATCCAGTCCGTCGAGTGCTTCACCGAGGAAACGACCGAGAGCGTTGAATGGTTTACCGATTGCGTCACCTGTCTTTTGGAGGAAGCGGCGTGTGTCGTCTGCGAAGTTCCCACCTGCTGTACCGAGACCACCGAGAGAAAGAGAAAGAGGCTGGGCGGACTCTTCGCCTGCATGTGGGGAGGCACCTGTCGACGGACCCAGATCCGGACCAAGACGAGGTCGTTGAGGCGTTGAAGGTCCGGATGTAGAAGATAAAGCTGAGAGTGAGGATGAACGTGAAGGCGTGGTGGGTCGTGATGACGGTTGGGAAGCAAAAGGACTCGGTTTTTCATTGGGTTCTGGAGAACCGGGGAGATCGTGGATGGCGAATTCGACGTTACGCTCGAATTCCTCGGCGGTGATGTGCGAGAGGCTGGTGTGGTCTAGAGTTTCGATAAATTGTACGGCACCCATCTAGAACGAACAGCTTGTGAGTAAATTTCCACCAATCGTGGAGTGGAGAGGACAAACTAGGCTAGATAAGTAGTATCCTGCTTCGCTTTGCAGTTTTTGCGGATTCCGGAAGCGTTGGATGTATCTATCAAAATATGAGAATAGGACTACGAGAAGGATAGAAAAGCATACTCGATATTTGAGATGAGGTTTGGTGGATTCGCTTTTAACACGACAAAGATTAGGATTGGTACGAAGGAGTCTGCATTCTCTTCTTTGTGAAGGTGCCTGATTAAACCTATGATAACGCGTCGAAGAAATTAGCATTTCATAGTTTTGTGAAATAAAGGGACGAGCTGACCGAATATGACCTTGCAACAGTTGAGTACGCAGATAAGTTTGTCACGCGGCGCTTTGTAGTGGTTTATCTTCAGTAACTCTAAGCAATTACAAAGAAAAACAAATTAGGGAGACGGAAAGCATATGCTGAGAATAGAGACTGCATAGACTGCACACCTTGCTGAGCGAACATGAGGAATCCACCGCCATCCGCTGAGTCCGGCACTTCGAGGTGTTTCTCCTCGATCCAACTGAAGAGCGCGATTCGTTGTGCGAGTATTCCATCTCGCTCCAAGTCGTCCGTTGTTATTGGACGAGGAGGTTGAGCCTCGGCCAATTGAGGAACAAACGTGCTGTAGGTAGAAAGGTCACTATTTCAACGCAGATAGACTACAGGGCAATAAAGGACGTACAATTCATATAATCTGTTCATGACCAGTTTCTCCATTGCCTCCATCGCGTTATCAAATTCATCTTCCGTAGCGTTTCGCCAGATGTCGGCATCTCGCATGCGTATGGAGATAAACTGTACTTTACATGCATCAACTTAGATTTTGAAAGCAACAAGCAAAATGCGTACATTCAGAAACTCGTTGATAACCTTAATTTGTTCGTTTATTGCAAGCGGCTTCTTCGCGAAGTTGCTCAGAAATCTAATAAAATGTTAGACTAGAGTCGCACGGAACGGGAGAAGGACAGACGAGCGTAGGTATTTTGCTACAGGTTCTGCACTCTTCGACTTCATCTGGTCCAAGAAGAGTTGGAAATCAAACGGAGGAGGTTCTCTGCGCGGATTGGGTGTATGCGACGTCGAGTCAGTCACCGGATCGGCGTTTGACCCGTTATCAGTGCTTGTATTTTGCTGCGAAGCGGGAGGAGCGCTTTGAGGTGTATCTGGTCGTGATCGCTGCTGCGCGGCGAACGTGGATATGGTATTGGGCGTGACGATGTTGGGAGGCGGTGCAATATCCACAGAACGTGTTCGGACCTTGGGAAGCGTGAACGATTTCGCAAGGTTGGCCAGTGAAGCAAGGCCTGAACCGATTCCAGGAGGAGACGCGTTTGCGACGGCGGTATCTCTAGGAACTGTCGTACTCGAAGGTACATCTACCGGTGAAGGTAAAGAGAGAGGCTTTGGGGGCATTGGATGACCGGTAGAGCTCGCCCATGCTTGTCTCGCGTCCGCTTCCTTCGTATCGGCGAGAGGATCGAATTCGCTAAGTACTTCTGCACTTGTGCGTGGTCTTGTGTCTGGTTCTGGTTCTGGTTCTGCTCCTGTACTCTGTTCGCCGAGAGATTGTTCTATGAGAACAGGATCCGGAGTCTTGAGCGGGGGTCTAACGGGACCTTGGACTTGGATACTCCAAGGATTTGAGTCAGCAGACTGCTCGTTTTCTGAGATAGATAGACCATTGAGGTCCGCTGTCAACGGCTCGGCATTTGCAGACATTATAAACAGGTGTCTAGAGGGGCATAAAATGAAGGCAGACAAGCGAGGTGACACAGACAACCCGCAGAAATGCGCAGTGTCCAAAAGTAGGGGTAGATCCTCTGCACGTGACTTCCCGATCTTAATTATCCTCGTCTGTTCAATTTGATGCAATCAAATACGCTATTACAATGATACACATGGACTCAGTTCTACTGCACAAGATCTCTTCACTTGCTGGAGAATGAATAGGCCAAGCAAAGCACAGCTTAATCACCATATCGCATTCTTAACCCATGTGCTCCGCAAACCTTCGTCATGTCGGGTCCAACGACAGCTTCCGCAAGTCAATTTTCAATCACATCTGTTGATTCTGTTCCTCCCCCGTCAGGGCTAGGCAACTTATGTCATACCTTCAATTTCAACGGTGGGTAAATCATGTATATTCCTGGCCTCCGTGTGACCCGTCAGTTTAACTTGTTCCTGCTTGTAGTGATGGAACCCTTGGAATGTGCGCTGAGGCAATTTGAAAAGGCATTCAAGGAGGATGCATCATCGCTTATTACTTTATGATTTTGTGCCGAATGCTTCTCGTGACCCTCCGCTTGATTCTTAATTCCGCAAACAACGCCGATAGCCCTTCAATTTTATAAATATAGTATAACCATCAAACCATGTCCCCGACCTGAATCGGGCCCTTCTGCCGTCCTTCCCCCAGCTTCTGCGCTGCTATCTCCAGCCTTCAACCACCGTACTGGCTCCTATACGGCCCGTCAACATGTCGTACGAAGGCAACGAGAAGAGTCCGTCAGGAAGCGCGTCAGACGAGAAGCAACGCTTTGAGGCTATCGAAAAACTTGCTGTTCCTCAGTATCAGGCCGATGTTGACACGGACCACATCGACGAGAAGAAACTCCTCCGCAAGCTGGATTGGGCTTTGATCCCCTGGCTATCGTTCTTGTATTTACTCAGTTTCCTGGACAGGACGAGCATTGGCAATGCAAAGGTACGTTGCTTATATACATGAAACCGTGATACCCACTAAGAGAGTCAACAGCTTTATCATATGGAAGAAGACCTCGGACTGACGGACACGCAGTACTTGATTTGTCTTTCGATCTTCTTTATCTCTTATGCTATATTTGAGGTCAGTATCTGCCTAACCGTCCGCTGACAGTAATCGCATTCTGAGCATATTCTGCTACAAGGTTCCGTCAAACGTCTTTCTCAAGCGTTTGCGTCCTTCGATATGGCTTTCGTTGTTGATGTTCTTTTGGGGCGTTATGATGGTCCGCTATTTTTTCCGTAGCAAATACAATTCTATTAGTTAACCGTAATGTCTTCAGACTGTTCAAGGGCTTGTTCATGACTATGGCGGCTTATTAGGTATGCGTCACTCGTTTTTGCGCATCAACACAAGTGCCTAACTATGCGCTTCTCAGCCATGCGTTGGATGTTGGGAGTGTTCGAGGCTGGCTTGTTTCCTGGCGTAAATTACTACCTGTCCTGGTAGGTACACACTCAACGTGCTGGATTTTACATTGAATAACACAATTGGGATATGTAGTTGGTACAGACGTACTGAGTTCGGAATCCGTGCCGCTGTTTTCTTCTCGGCTGCTACGGTTTCGGGCGCATTTGGTGGACTGTTAGCAGTATGTATCTTCCTTTTTCTCGAGACTAAGACACTCCACTCCATTGATGGATTTGCTCTCCCAGGCTGCGATTTCCAACATGGAAGGAATTGGCGGCAAACCGGCCTGGTAAGTCAAATTTCATTCATGCTAAGTGTACCAATTCACTTAGACATATTCCAGGGCATGGATATTCATTCTGGAAGGTCTCGCAACCGTAATCGCAGGAGCAGCATCGTTCTTCATCATCCAAGACTTTCCTGACACCGCTCGCTTCCTTACTGAGCCCGAACGTGTCTTTGTCATTCGACGGTTACAGGCAGATGACCAGTTCTCGGCCGCTGGCGAAAAGCTCAAGTGGAAGTATATCTTCCAGAGTTTCTTGGATTGGAAGACTTGGATTGGCAGTAAGTGACTAATGCAACGTATCCGAGGTTCGCGACCGATTGAGCTGATTATTTGCGCAGTGCTTGTGTATATGGGTGCAGATGGCCCACTCTATGGAGTAAGAGCACAACGATTGTTCAGAGATATGATCTAACTGACGATGTTCAATTCAGTTTTCTCTGTTCCTGCCGAGCATTATAAACCAACTCGGTGCGTCTAAGCACTGACTCTCGTAACCGGTATTTTTCTGACCACAGTGCTTCTAGGTTTTACTGCGACTCCTGCTAATTTACTTACCGTCCCGGTCTACGTACTCGCGTGTATCGTCACCTGTTGTGTCGGGTTTTTGGCTGATAGGTTCGGAAGAAGGGGATATTTCACGCTGTATGCTGCATTTTTTTCTTGGTCGGTATCTCAGGTACTCATTGCTTGTTTCTAGATGCTTCTTCGTAGTTGGTAAGTAGTCCTATGGACTTCATTTGAAGGTCTAGATCAAGGTTACTGAAACTTGCATGATCTCGTAGCTGCTGCAGGATATATTATTCTGATATTTTCGAGATCTGCTGCTTTGTCGTATTTCGCGGTCTATCTTGCTGCATGGTACGTTTTTCGTCTATATATGCGCTTTCTCTGCTGACGCTATGTTCAAACTTTGTAGTGGAATCTACCCGTTAATACGTGAGTGCCTGATTGCGATCCCGTAAAGCTTGCTGATGCTAATTGAAATCGATTCCAGCTAATATAATGTAAGTTGGTCGGGTATAGTCAGTTATCCGTTTCCATCCATAATGAATATATTTCCCAGCGCGTGGGTATCCAATAACGTTGAGGGCTCGTACAAACGGAGTGTTACGCTAGGGATGGTTATCAGTTTGTGAGTACTTATCTGTTTATTTTTGAACTCATGATTTGGAGTAAGTTTCTCACGTAACTCATGTTTAGTGGAAATATTAATGGAGCGGCTACTTCAAACGTGGTATGACTATCTAGCAATTGTTTCGTAGTCCAGATCGAGATAAATAATTCAATTTCTTTGACCTGCAGTACCGAGCACGCGACAAGCCATGGTACACACTCGGTCACGGCATAGTCCTATTATACATCGGGATCGGCTTCTGCGCAGCTACGGTTATGTTCATCCTGCTTCGTAGAGAGAACTTGAAGCGGCTACGTGGAGAACGGGATGAGGTTATCGTTGGAGTGAATGAAGGGAGGCCTGGCGTAAGTGAAAAGAATGGAAGATATGAGAATGTGGAGGATGCGAAGAGGGATAAGGGAGATGGGTGGAGTGGGTATCTGTACACGCTGTAGAGGGAGGGTTTTTTGGTTGAAAGCAGTGTGTATTGCTGCACAATAGACGTTGGGTATGTACAATGTTACGGAGCTTTCAGCTATGTTATGCCTTGTAATGAATATGAATTTGTTCACAACGATGCCCCAGGTTGGGGGATGTTTTATTGCAGCAAAGCAAATACGACATTGAGCTCCTTCATATATCATACTCTCGACATGTCGCCTAGCCTCTCGGAGTACACAAGCGAAGTCTCAATCAGCTAAATGTGAGCCCGCCCTGAATTAGAAGCACCGACGCTACGTTTCCCGCTTAGAACTAATTTACCCATCTCTGGTCGGAGACGTTGAACGGCGGGCAGCTTCGATTGACACGCTTTATTTGGAAGAGGACTTTTCGGTGACACAGTAACAATTTTGCTGCGAGGCGAAGATGAAGGGGGAGTTGTAGCTGATGCTTTACGAGGCTGTGGGCTTCTGTGAATAGGTGTCGGCAGGGAGCTTGTGAACGCAGATTTGTTTGAGGTGATGGATTCGTATGCAAGGTGCCTTGAACGGACTGACGCGCCTGGAGTTTCACAACGAAGTGGTTGCTCCGTCTTGTATTTGCTTTGTGTCATTGCCAGAGAGTTGGAGGGGATGCGATGAACTGGAGTTGATGGAAGGGAAGAGCGATCGCTGGCATTGGCGGGCTTACCTGGAGATGGTATGAAGGTTTCCGTTTTTGTGTGGAGTCCTAACGCCGTTTCTATTGACTCCACGAGTGTTCGGTCTTGTTCACTCCCTTTTTCGAGCATAGAAGTAGGAGTGGCCAGCGACGTAGCCGATATGTTGTGTATATCAAAGGAAGACCTAGGACTGTCCGATTCAGCTGAGGAATCATCTGAGTCAACGGCCTGGAGTAGACGAGCATGAGCGACAGTATCCCAGTCCCCCAGTACCGCATCAGAGGCAAGTGGAGCTGACAAAAGCTCTTCAACAGCACACCTACGCCTCTCAATAAGTTCTTGCACCCGATCCTTACGTACAGAAGAAAATAAATCAGAAATCCCAGTGTCAGAGATATCCGAGGGACTAGGAGTCAAAGGGCCGACATCATCTCCGTCATCCTCAGAAGAACTGGTAGCCTGAAGAGCAAGACGTTTCCAGTACTTAGCTATCTTCTTTACGCGCTTTGCCTCCTTCCGAGCAGAAAGTGCTATGTCGACCATACAGAGGTATTGTTCAGGCGTGCGAGGACCAGTGATTGGTGGTGGCTTAGGGAATACGTTTGACCAGGGGCCGGAGATATCGCGTGCGGCTTCTTGAATGACGGAGATGAGCTCGTCTTCGAGGCCTACCACGAGGCCTGATTCAACGAACGTCTTGGTGGTATTGATAACGACTTGCATGAGAGGAAGGGAGAACAGGATGCCGACGAGTCTGGTCTTGACAAGGTCTTCAGAGCAAAACTCAGTTGCGTCTCCCGGGGATCCACAAGGATATTCACCGCGATTCGATACTGGATGTGAGGAGGAAATCTGATCAAGTTCGGCCTCGAGATCAGCGATATGGGACAAGAGAGCGGAGACATCATCTGTTGCGATGTTGATAGTTGTAGTGTAAACAGACGGTGCTGACGAAAGAAGGTGAGAGTCTGAACTGGAGCGACTGAGAGAATGCATAATCAAAGAACGAAAGAGACGAGTAAATCGAAGGAGTGCAGGGGCAGGTGGTGGTGGTGGTGAGAGAGAGATGAGGGGAGTCAGGTTCGGTCATGGGTGACGGCTGGTCGAATGATCTCGAGGAGGCTGACTATTGGCAACTCAAATGATATGAACAGTTGACGACTCATATTATAGTTGCTTATGTAATCAACTGCTGAAGATCGGGAGCATATAATGATGCATTTCTCTTCGTCACTCCTTTACCTCCTACCTTTACTATCTTCCTAACCCTCTACCCCTAACACTATGTTGTTACTTCTGTTCTCTAAGTCTAGTCAAGTCCTCTACTTGCAAGCATCCTACTAGTAGGCACTCTACCTACTACAATATAGGTAATAAACATTACTATACTTGTCTCTCTAATCTACTATTGTAATGCCTACACTAAGTCTCAGATCCTACACTAATACTACTGAGCTAACTATACTGTCCTTTAACATAAAGTATAAGTAGCCAGTCCCTTTATAATAGTTTGTACAATAGTTACTCATCCCTCTCCTCCCAACTTTTTGTCTCCCTTCTATCCCTTCTACTCCTTACTCTGCCTCTTACTCTGCCTCTCCTTTATTGTCCTCCTTTTTTTCACATTCCTCTTCCTTTTTACATTTGTATTTGTACTTCCACATTGTTGACCAATACTAAACAACTTCTTTAATAATTCTATGTATTCATGTTCTTCTTCCTACTCTACAGTACAAGCAACAATCAATGAGTACATGTGAGTATGCTTGTAACAATGTCCATGTTGGATCACTCCTAAGGTACAATCCTCTCTCTAACCCTGTACATACTCTCCTTCCTCACTCTACTATTCTATACTTAACATTCTTAATAGACTCACACTGTGTACCTTTACATTCTCTAGTACTGTCTATAACACCATTTTGAATAACAGAAGCAGTGACCACTACTCACCCCTTCTGAGCTGAGTCTGTCCACACCTTACACATTGCCTTCTCCCTTCAAGCCAGAATGTCCTGGAGATACACCTTACAATTAATGACTCAGTTTACTACACCTCCTATAAGATACTGTAGATAGACAATAGAGTACATACACACAAACACAATTTAGTCTACAGTCCAAACCTGCTTGTTTAACACTCTGGATCTCAATCTGTATACACTACTCACACTCACTACACACTGTTATAGTGTGTTCATCTTTTCTTACTTGTTGCCACTTACTAATCTAACATCAGGAAAAAGTCTAAATTCTTGTATTACCTTATAATAGTATAAAATAAGTGAAAAAAGTAAAAAAAGTAAAAACACTTAGAACAGATCTCAGTTTCTGAGAAAGTGATACAAGACATTATAAAGTCTGGAAGGTTTGTGTATTTTGTAAACATAAATAAGAGTTATTCTCCTTGACAATATATAAAATGTATTACAATGGATCTCTGAAATTACAAGGTTAAATCACCCTTGTTGAGTATGGCAAATATTATAATTGTTTATAAAGCTCTTAAATTGTTTTAATATCTTTCCAATAGTCATTTTTCCTTACATCTGTTTGTTATTGAAATAACAGTTTATAATTATATTGAAACATTATATAAATACATTATATCTACAACAATTAGGGGTGAGACAGTTTGTGAGATTGATTGGCTAAGAGTGTGGGTGTGAGCATTGTCAGTGTGAGTGGGTAACTGGATTGAGGAGATGGATGAACTGTAATGGCGTGTAGCAAGTGTGAGTGGTGCACTGGGGTTGAGATCCGGAGCGTTGAATGAGCTAATTTGAGCCGCATCTGTACGTGCACACTGCATACTCTGACTACGTCTCGCAATCGGAGGTGCAGTGAACTGAACCGTTGACTGAGGGGTGTATTCCTGGGGCGTTCTGGCCTAAAGGGAGAGCTGCACCTGTGAGACAGGTTTAGGGTGATTAGCAAGTGGCAACAAGCAAGAAAAGATGGACGCACTGTGGCGGCATGCAGCGAGTGTGAGTGGTGCATGCAGATCAAGATGCAGAGTGTTGGACAAGCTGATTCAGACTGCAGACGAAATCCTGTCTGTGCGCGTACGCTCTATTGTCTATCTACGGTGTCCAATGGGGGGTGCAGTAAACTGAGTCATTGATTGCAAGGTGTATCTCTGGGACGTTCTGGCTTGAAGGGAGAAGGCAATGTACAAAGTGTGGATGGACTCGGCTCAGGAGGGGTGAGCAGTGGCCACTGCTTCCGTTATTCGAAATGGTGTCATGGACGGCACTGGGGAATGTAAAGGCACGTGGTGTGAGTCCATCGAGGATGTCAAGTATAGAATGGTGGGTGGGGAAGGAGAGTATGCACGGGGTCGGAGAGAGGATTGTGCCTTGGGAGTGATCCGACATGGACATTGTCGTGAGCGTGCTTGCATGTGCTCGTCGATTGTTGCTTGCGCTGCAGAGCAGGAAGAAGAACGTGAATACATGGAATTATTGAAGAAGTCGTTCGGCATTGGTCAACAATGTGGAAGTGCGAATGCAAATGCATAAAGGAAGGCGAGCATAAAACAAGAAGGACAACGAAGGAGAGGCAATGCAAGCAGCAGAGCAAGGAGTGGGAGGGATGGGAGGGATGAAAGACAAAAAGTTGGGAGGAGATGGATGAGCAACTATTGTGCAGGTTATTGTGAAGTGGACTGGCTGCTTATACTTTATGTTGAAGGACAGTGTAGTCAGCTCAGTGGCATCATCGTGCAATCTGAGGCTCAGTGTGAGCATTGCAACAGCAGATTGGAGAGACAAGTACAGTGTTGTTTATTACCTATGTTGTAGCAGGCAGAGTGCCTGCTGGTAGGACACTTGCAAGCAGAGGACTTGACTAGAGAGAACAGAAGTGACAACATAGTGTTGGGGGCAGAGGGTTAGGGAGATGGTGAAGGTAGGAGTAAAGGAGTGACAAAGAGAAATGCATCATTATATGCTCTCGATCTTCAGCAGTCGATTACATAAGCAACTATAATATTAGTTGTCAACTGATAAGAACATTTCAATTCAATTATTGTATTTAGGTATAAAATAAAATTATTGATCTACTTTGTAATATAGTAAAAAGTAATATAACATGTATATAGCTTTCTAAACACACTAATGTGATTATTACAAGTAGATGAAATATTTTTTACAAATATTGTAAACTATTTGTATAAATAGTCTAAGTATAATATACATATTATATACTTATAGTATTCTTTTATTAAGATAATAATAATATAACAAGTGCTCTTACACTATTATATACATTAATATACCTTTTACATAAATTATAAGGCAACAATAGTTATTGTTACATTATTATATTATAAATATAATTCTTTCTTTGAAATTATAATAAAAATGTAATGCAAGCATAATACTTTAGACTATCATACAAAGTTAGTATAATACTTGTAATAGATTGTATTTATCTATAACACTTACTTAGCCTTTATATACATTAACATGTTTTATACAAACTTTACAATTGATTTGCAAGTCTTCTAATTACTTTACAATATACATACAATACTTATGTTACTTTACAAAGTCTACAATATATTATAAGAAATATGACTTTTTCCTAATGTATGTCCAGGAGTCCTGCTAATACTTTCCAACATGTTATTACAGATTCTTAGACTGATAAAATTACAGAATAGCTATAATCTGATTTGACTCTGTAATAATGACAGTTGAGATGGAAGTTTCCATGATTGTATCCATTTCTTCTTCTGGTTCTCATGTAAAGGAGATGACAACACTGGAACCAACTTCAATATTTTAAATAGTATTGTTTCAGGGTAATTATACTGTGTACATACTACTTAATAAGGAATAGGATTGATATTGTTATACAAACAACAATACTGTCAACACTTCAACCTACATTAATTCAATTGTGTAAATGTAGGACCTCTGACAGTGTACACATTGCATGTCTGGAAATTTGTTTCCTTGATTAATGTGGGAGCATATGAATCTACTGAATACACACTAATATCCACATTGTACTTACTCACTTCTTAGTTGAGATAACCCAGATACAACTTGCTACACATTTGTAAAATGTTCCTTTCCATAATATTCTAAAATGGAGAAAGTACACTAAAGTTGAATGAGCTACCAAAAAGTTTGTGTATCTAAACTAATACTATGATAGCTAATACATAGACCTGTAATTGTACACAGGTAAACATAGTTGTTATTGTCTATAGTATTGACCCATTAGTAAAAAGTAGTTCTGAGCCTTGAATGTATTAGTGTTGTCAAGAAATGTTGATTCAGATGGCCATAACACTGTTGAGTTAAAAATTGCTAAGGTAAGGAAAGTATAAACTCAACATAGTGTAATACAACAGACTAACCCAATTTGGATGCAAACAATGATGGTAAAATACAACACTCAGTATCCCAAAAATGCAAATTTGAGCTGTATAAATATATTCAGCTTAATCTAACCTACAAAAGTATGTTTTTGATTTTTTAAAATATTGAGATTCAAGTGAGTTATTTCCAAAAAAAAAACTCTTTTTTTTGGTACCAAATGTACAGAAATGCAATTTGGTGAAATTTTGAATTTTTTCCTGAAGATTTTTGCCACTTCAGTTAAATATCTATTATATAATTATTTCCTTATATAGAACACGTGCCTGATGAGTAATGTACATTTGATTAGTAAATAGAATGAGGAATTAATGTTAATGGAAAATGTACACAATGCAAAGGTTTCAAGTGTGCTGACAAATCAGCACAATCAGTATGCTACTGTCAACAAATTCTGTTTAACTAGCCAGATTTTCAAGCTCAAAAGTTTGCAATTGAAGAATTGGTAGAAGGCTATGAACACAAGGCAGTTTTTTATCCTAAATTCTATTGTGAATTGAACTTCATTGAACAGTGCTAGGGTTATACTAAATTCAACTACCAGATGATGCCTGCCCCTACTATTAAAGCTCAAATGGAAAAGCATGTTCAAACATGCTTTGATTC